CCCATTTCAAATTTGATAAATAGGTCTAATAATTTGTTATAATATTGATATTCATTTTTTTCTATGATCATACTAATTAGGTGCCGTTGAACCGACGTTTGATTCGGCCGTTCAAAATATAACGGTTAAAGCTGGACATACAATTATTCTTCCCTGTAGAATAGAAAATCGAGGCACGAAATATGCGGTGAGTAGTATTTTTTCTTTCATTTTTAATCTCTCTATCATTGTATTATTAAATCTCGTTAACTCGTGATATAATTCGTGTTTTCCGAGAGAATCACGTGATTATAGCTTTACGTGTAAGGAATTAAATACAATAGTATACAATGTCATACTGATATGCTTGCCCCATTTGCTTGGAGAGAATGGGAGAAAGGAAATTATTCTTTGAGATAAACGGACGTATTAAAGAGATAAAGAGAATACAGTGGCAGATGCCGTTTCTTTCTTTATCCCTTGTTATTTTTTTTGTCTCTCCAGACATATAAACACAAATATTAACAACTATATGTTTAATTTATTACCAAGTGGACTCTTTAGCTTCCATCTCAACTTGACAAACAAGTTTTACCTACTTAAAAACTTGACTCGTTCAAATCAAAGTAATGACTTAAAAATCGTGTTTAACAACCCTTTTAAATACTTAATTGACAAAATCAGAAAAGTTGGGCGATAAACGATTCGATAACCGTCTAATTTGTCTTGCAGTCTTAGTTACAAAAATAAACAATACGCCTTACAAATTTGACCCTCGCAACTTCAATCTGGAATCACTTAACGCTGAATAAATTACATCCATTTCAATCATTTCCAAATCGAAGTTAACGACTAAAGCCGATCTAAAATTTTCTCTCATTAAAATAAGGCCAAAACGGAACTTTCTTTTTTTATTATTAAAAAACAAAATCAAAGTAATTAACTGTAGAGAAGTTTAACAAACTTAATAAATAAATATTTGAAGAGAGAGAGTGATAGATAGATAGATAGATAGATAGATAGAAAAAGAGGGATAAGAATAGCGGAAAAAAGAGAAGAAGAAGGGGGAGGAGAAGGAGGCGTATAAGGAAGGAAGTAGAGAGAATAAAAATCATTTCTCATAAGTCATCAGTATATCCATAAAAATTCTATTACTAGGCGTCTAATATGAAAATATTCCCTAGATAGTTAGGAGGAAGTTGCGTTTCAATAAAGTGCACTTTGCGATAGGGCACTAATGAATAATTTCATATTCTTATTGCCATAAATTTTTTTTCATATTTTTATATGGTTTCCATTGACAATTTATTTTTTACCTATGACATAAAATATTACCATCCAGCCACTTTTTAATTAATTCACCTGGAAGAGTATCAATTATCAATTATGATAATCAGTTATAATTGATAAATCAATTATGGTTTGTAATAAAACTCCTTCATATTTTAGCTATAGGTATCAGTTTATAAATATTGATGTTTTTTTGGAAAAAGAGACGCTAAAGAAACGTCGGACAAGCTACGAGCGAGAGAGAATAAAAAATAGAGAAAAAAAAGAATAGAAAAAGTAAAAGATAGATAGGAAAGTAATAGATATAGGAAAAATAGGCCTACAGAACACTGGATGCAGTAAAGAAGTAAATGTTTCCAAAGTAAATGTATTATTGTTTTTTTGATAGGAAAATAAATAAATAGATAAAAAAAGAGAAGGAAAGAAAGAAAAAGAGAGGAAATAAAAAAAATCCTATTCCTTATTTACAATATAGGAAAAAATAGCAATGTACTGTACAAGAATGAAAAAAATCGATTATTGCACGAGCCACTAGCTATCGAAAGTGACATGATTGAAAACATCATGCTCGATAGATTTATTATACAGTATACAATAATAATAAATCTATATAGTCTTTATACATATGGCATATGCAGATATGTAGAGATATAAGTATATATATATATATATATTTAAGTATATATTATATGTACGGTAGCAGTCTATCCATAGTACAAACATTCGAAATCGAAAGCTTTTTGCCTCGTCTAAATATACTACGTTTTGTTTCCTTCTCGCTCGCTTACTTTGCTCACTCACACATATACACATACACACACACATATATATATATCTATATATATATATATATATATACTCTTTTCTCTTCCTATGTCCATCATCAACTATCTCTTCTATCCATCTTCGGTTCCTTTACCATTTCAAATTGATTTTAATTTTGTGAAAGGGAAATGGATTTTATATATTATCCATTAACATTTTATATAAGCAGTTTTTTGAACTTTGGATCAACCACGTGACTTTCATTAAAAGCATCTTCCGGCGGCGAGCAATTAATAAATAAAGCCCAGATGCTGAATTTACTGATTTATGGGTTTCGTTTTCATTTTAGAAATTTACATAGGGCTATCTATTTCTTGTCAGGATTCTGTTCATTTTTTCTATAAGTATATATATATGTATATAATATATCAAAAGAGAAAAATCTTGGCTGTCTAACAAGTAAGATTCCCCTTTGGGAAATGAAAAGCATTCAGACGAAACATTTGAAATAGTTTTTCTCCTTTTTTTTTGGTTTTTAAAATATTTTACTCAACACCCATTTAGACAAGTGTAAAATCAAACGTCACCAGAGTCGACTATCTAAAGACTTAAGAGTCTTTGGTTTTTAGCACTCGACGCCTAATTCCGACCGACAGGAGGCCCTTTACCGTCGGCCTTTTCAATTTTACATGTCGAAAAAAGGTTCCAACGCTTTGCTAGATGGCTAAAGAGAAATCCTTGATAGTCATTAAAGGTGTCACAACAACGACACCCAGCATTGCTTTTATCTCTTATAATTTTTATTCTATATGTATTTATAGATAATATGGAAATCTCCGGACAATATTATCCTCACCATGGACTACCAACCACAAACAGATGAACCGAGGTACAGCATTATTGGGGAAGAAAATGAATGGAATTTGCAGATAACTAATGTTCTTTGGGAAGATCGAGGAAGCTACCAGTGCCAGATCAACACCAAGCCAATCAGATATAAAACAGTTAACGTGAACGTACAAGGTAAGACATATTACTTCTAAGCCAAGCCAGATAATTAGCATGTTAAGGTAATTAGGAGAGTATTCTGAATTGATTAGGTAATATTTACAAATTAGCCTAACAATCCTTTTTAAGCAGCTCTTTTTTTCCCATGTTACCATCTACTTACAATATGGTCTAATGAACTTGAAAATGTTCTAAATGGCTATGATAATCAGCGTGTTATGAGAGTGTTTAAATAGTTAATTAATGGAATCTAGTGTCCGCACTTTAGTAATATTTAGATTAAGGACTCTGATGAAACTGTTTATTTCAAGGTAAAATGAGAACAATTAAAGCTCTTTGATCCAATAAATAGTTGATTAGAACATAACTAAGACGAAAAGAAGTGAAGTATAATAGTAAAGAGGAAGTGAGGGCGGGTGAGGATTGACTGATATATTTCAGTTTTTATTATAGTTTTGACAAAATATCGTGTAATATTTCTTTCTATACTTTAATTTATTTAATGGAAAAATGTAAAATATAAAGAGAATAATGTTCACTTTATATAAATTATAATCCAGATAAAAGCTAAATGTCAAAATACAAAATATAATTGCTATTTTACCAGAGCTTTTAGACCATCCATAAATTGTATAGAGACTATTGTCAATCACTATTTTTTCGCCTATTACGACGCCTCCACGTGACAGACGTTGACAAACTAGTAAAAAAAAAAAGGAAACTAAAGGGAGGATGGAAGGGTAGAACGAAAAATACGTTCGTGACGAGAATATTCCTTTTTCGTTTTTTTTTACCAATTGGATAAGTTAAGGTTAGAAAAAAACATATCAATACCAATTTCCCGTCTAAAATGTAATAATCTATTCAAATTTTTGTATAAATTCCTTGTCATTATATTTTTTACTTACAAAAATTTAATTTCCCAATTGTTTACTAAAAGATATCCGAACTTTAGTTAGTTTCTTTCTTTGATGTTATACAGAGTGTAAAGAAGTCAAACTTTACCTCTTTTTCTCTTCTGTTAAACTAAAAAGAAATAAGAATTACTTCTCCTTTTTATACAGCCGAAACCGTTTCTTTTTCTATTACTCTTTTTTAGGGCTATAATCTTTGTTTTTTTAAAAAAAAAAAAACAATTAACAATACTTAATAAAATATAATTTTAGGTAATTAAACCAATTCTCTCCCTTTTTTTTCTCCTCTTTTGTTAGTTTAGTTAAAAATTTCCAGATATGAAAGAATGAAAATACAATTTTCTAATGCAATTTCCTATAGTATAACAAGCAAAATGGGTCGTTTCAATGTAAAATAAAAAATATATAGAGCAAAGAAAATCGAAATAAACTGTATTAATTGAAAAATTGTGGTTTAAAACAATTAAAAAACAAAGAAAGAAAGTTGTAAACAAGACGAGAACAATAAGGAGGAAGAAAAATTAAGAGAAACTTATAGAAAGACGAGAAGATATTGGAAAGAGAAAGAGAAAGAGAGAGAGAGAGAGAGTGGGAAGGGAAGAGAGACACAAAAAAATGACAATATACAGTATATACAGTATACTGTAACCCAACAGTATATATAAATCCTTAATATTTAAATACTAAAGGAATAATTATTAGTAAAAGTGTTATTTAAAGCATCTAAGATTCATTAGATCTAAGTAGTTAGATTAATCTTTCTCTTTTGTCTTTCTTTTGTTTGTTAATGTTTTATAGGCCTATTACTTCATATATAAAAAAAGAGGAATTAGATGAAAATGCGTTCTATATAATAGAGAATGTATTATACTAGAGATATAAATGTATAAATCATAGACTTTTATTCATTATAAAGTCTTAATTATTAATAATTTATTTAATCGTAATAATCTCTTATTAATTCTTCAAATTATAAATAGGTTGATTAAGTAGGCTATAAATATCCAATAACCTATATACTGTATAGAAAGTGTTTTTCTATATATTGGCCTATAAATTTTGACATTACAACAGCAGGATACACACAAAAAATGAAAAAGAGAAGATGCATATATGCATCACTTAATTGTGTTAATAGAATATATAATTGGGTTATTTTTACCGTTGACATTGTACTAATTATGTTCTTCCCAACACACTTTACTCCTAATGTAATGATGTTTAAACCCTCCTATCAACAATTAAACAGAAAACGCAGGTTCCCTATTAATTATACATATAAGAAAGGATAATATAAAGCGTTCATTAGCACGACTCAAATATAAAGTCAACTCTTTTTTTCGTTCTTTTTTTTGTTCTTGAGAGAAAGTAACAATATCCTTCAAACAATCATTATCGTTGTTAAGAAACGAAATCTTCACATTTCAATGTCCAAAGATACATATTAATATAGATGTTCAAATGTTGCACGATGTGTAGAAGAAAGATAAAGATATCTATAGAAAAAAAGACAGAGAAAGGACGCAGACTCAATGACAGAGACAAGCAGCAGTTTTATCATAGTCCTAATTAATGATTAATGATTTATACATTAAATAACAAAAAAGAAGACGGATTTTCATAATTGGCGAAGATTTCTTGCGGCGTTTATCAATAATTATCGCAATAAATCTAGCTTTAAGGGAAAGTCAATATAACCTAGATATCAGACGTATTTTACTAAATAAGCCATATAAGAAGTTTTGTCTTTTAATGGAAAATATTGTAATTAATAAGGTATTTGGAAAAGGGTGATGATTTTCTCCTTTTTTCGTCCTTATTAAAAACTACTTTTCTTTTAGTTGCTATGAATGCAGAAGAGACAGGGAGAGAGAGGGAGATAGAAAGAAGGTGGGAGAAGAAAAAGATTACAACTCTCTACTATAACTCCCTATATATCTATTCTTTTATAAATGACAGAATAGAATGAAAAAACAGTTTTTGGATATAGCTAAAACAGACAATGGAGAATAATATTTTGTAGAAATAAAATTTCTAATATAAAAAATTCCTATGGGAAACTACCTAATCTCTGATAAAAATGTTACTACTAGCTCCATAAATAGAATCTAAAGGCGTTTATATGTTTTTGGATTGTGAACAACAGATCAATAGTTGCTTCTCTCTCCCTCTCTCTCTCTCTAGTGAACTAACAGTCTAATTGCTGAGAAGAGAATGACATGAATGGAGATAGTGAAAGAGTGAGCAAGAAAGAGAGAAAGAGAGAGAAACGGAGGTATGGGAGGAGGGGTGTATGAGGAGTTAATAGAAAGAAACATAGTTTTCTTTCTACTGCTTATTAGCAATGCTTATATTATTAATATTGAGCAATTGAGTGCTAATTAACTCAAGTACAACTAAATTTTAGTACTTGAAAGTCTTATGCTCTCAAATAGCATAACTTTTATAGAGATAGGAGAAATGAAGTGTCAAACACACTTGTAACAATATAACATTAGGAAAAACGATAAGTAATTAAGAGAAATGGGGACGTGAAAAACGTACATATAATCTCTTTGAAACTTTCGAAAACAAAGTAATTTCGATCTTATATGATTGTAAGCCTATAAATTATTACTAGAGAACGCTCTGTTAATGCTTTAGACGTTTTCATAAGAAGAATAATAACGACGTCATTCCTACCAATGTACCGGAACGAAGTGAGCAAGTAACGGAAGAAGTCCTTTATTAAGATATTACTAACAGCATATTCTAATTAAGAGAGGCAGTTGGATAGAGTCAGAGGAAGAGAGAACGAAAGAGAGAAAGACAAAGAAAGAGCGAGAGTGACAGTGTGTGTGTGTGTGTGTGTGAGAGAGAGAGAGAGAGAGAAGGAAAGGGTGGATCATAAATAGAAAAGCGAATAGAAAAAGAGAAGATGGAAGGGTGATAAAGCATATATAAAACGACACGTGTGAAAAAAAAATTAGACGCCCACCAATATCGAAATATAGATATATAAACGGCTCGAATTGCTTCAAGGGACTGCTGTGTCCATATGATCATTAATCACGTAGCAGTGGCTTATAATTATCATTATTATACAAGGTCAAGGTCTGCTATAAGCAATAGACAAATTGTATGAGACGAAAAGAGGAAGAAGTTGGAGACGTATGCTCTACTTATAGGCTATAAAGTCAGCAAAAATTCGCTACATTCCTTTAATTAAAAAGTATAAGTAGCCTACTTGCAGAATGCATGACTTGGATCTTAAATATCTTACTGAATAGTTGACTGAGCCTCTTTCAATTGAGGTTTTCCTATAGGTCTTTAATGCGTTCTCTCCCTATAGTGTTTTCGTGCAGTCTCTTAATTAATGTTAAATAACGTTTCATCTTTACATAATTACAAATTTAAGACCAAGCTACATTTAAAATGTTGACAAATAGGAATAGCAGCAGAATTAAGTATAGGAAAGATAAAGAGCATAGAAATGAGAAAGAGAGTGTGCAAAGAGAGAAGAGCGAAAAGTTTTCAATCTAATTCCTCACCCAGAATTTGTTTACGTAGTAACGTACGCATCTTAGAGGTGACCCCTAATTGACCGCCGGCCGCAACCTAAATGATTTAGGCGTCGAACGCTAATCCCAACAGCAAACTACTGCAAAAAGGCGGGTACGTTGGTTAGTGCACGTGTTAATGCACTTTACCGCAATATATACAAGAGAAATATTTATCGAATTTCGTGCTATTTATCATCAGTTGGTTTATTTATAAAAGACTGTATATTAAACGGTTAATGTGTAAAATGACGTTACACTTTTTCAGTTCCGGCTGCCATTGTTGACGAATTTTCCAGTAACGATGCGACAGTTGATGAAGGGGAAACGGTAGTTCTTTACTGTAATGTCACCGGAGTTCCTCGACCAGAAGTCACGTGGTATAAAAAGCCATTTCGCGGTTTGGATATCGACAGGTTTGCTATTTATTATTTTCAAATTAACACTCGTATTCAAAAAGCCTTACAAAGAAGATGAAATTTTACCAATACTTAATTATGATATGAACTATACACGATAGGCCTATTCTAGTTAATAGTAAGACCAATAGACCAATATTAACGCTATTAGGAACTGCTTAATAGACTTGTATACACACGAGAATGTTGTATTTTTTTTTTAAATTTCCGCAATTATCTTAAAATTGGTTACGTAAAAATAGATACATTTAGTTGGAAGTCTAGGATGAAAAATAGCCTGAAATCTTATAAAGAGTAGAGAGTCAGATTCCAGAAAGTAAGTTTCCAATTTTAGGCCAATACGAACTTTATTTAAGGAGGAAAACATAAATTATATATATATATATATATATACATATTTCTATATTTATATATATTAGCATATTAGCGGATATCAGTCTATATATACTATATATATGTATAATTTATACAGTGTGAAGCTAGAAACAACTAAATATTTCATAATGCTGATTGTTTTAATATAGAAAACTTTTGGTCCCTAAAGACTATTGTAAAATTGATTAATAAGATATATTAGAATGTTTTAGTTATAAAAAAAGAAAAGGGAAAAAAGGGAGGGATCATAGAGATCATGTTGTACTCTAATAGAAGTTTTAAGATGAAAGAAGATAAGTACAGAATATCTTAGGATATAGAGGGAATAAAGTAATAAATAAAAACTTGGAAATCTCTCTTCTTCCTCTTTATCATGCAAGACTCGTTAAAACGTTTCCACTTTTCACTGCTAGCTAGTCGTTGTTTGCATATCAAAACAGAAAGGCGTTTAAATATTTACCGTCGCTTATAAACCAAATGCCCATTGATTTTTATAAACGTTTTTTCTTGTAATAATAAAAATATTATGAAATAATTTTACTAGAAAATATTTAAATAAAAGTTATAGAAGTAATAAACAAAAATTGTTCATTACTTTATCTAAATGTTCAATAAAATAATAATAAAGCAGCCATAAGAATAAACTGCAATACTGTAAAAAGCTATAAAACTGCTAAGTTAATTTAGGTCTAGTTTTCGTATAGTAAAATGAAATAAATAAGAATCCTTTTTACTAATTTAATTTTTATTTTATTATCAAATAAAAATAATAATAAAACGTAATTTTTTATAGGCAAAAATTAGATAAAACAGGCGAAATGCTTGTTATAAAAAATGTCTCACGCTATTGTGATGATATCTACTCTTGCGTTGCCGAAAATGGTGTTTCTTCTGCCGTTAGTAGACAAATGAGAGTGACGGTTGAATATCCTCCAGAAGTTACTCTTCCTTCTTCCAGAATGAGACAAATTCTGGGTAAAGCTACAATGTTTGAATGCAAGGTTAACGCCTTTCCTGTAGGAGAAACCAGTTGGAGGAAATTCGGTGAAAAAATACGAATAAAGGAAGAAGATTCTGGCTTCTCAACAGACGCCTATGAAATAGGTGGAAATACTTGGGTTGTAACGTTAACAATTACCAAGGTCAGACAAACTGATTATGGAAAATATGAATGCTATTCTAGCAATCCATTGGGTTCAGATTCAGAGACATTGGAATTTTTCCGTAAGTTTTTAATAATAAATATTCATTTTCCGGATTCTTTATTATTTTATCTTCTATTGTTAAATAAGTTCCAGAGAAGTGATTATTCTTACCTAAGCAAATAAGCAATTTGTCCATATAACGCTTTATATAATTCTTATAATTGCATAATAGAATAATACACGTAATAGTTATAATAATAATAATAATTATTAAGTATAGACTAAATGATGCTATTCTTAGACTTACTAATGCATTGAAATTATAGTATATTCAGTATATGTTATCATTTATAATAGAGAGTAAAAAGAGAAAAGAGATAAAGCCAGCGTTTATGTTTAAATTACAGCTTATTCTGTTGAACCGAAACCGACTAAAATAAGCGTTGAATACAATGATAAAGAGAAACATAAGCTGAAAAAATCGACAGGATACAAGCACGACAAAAATTCGTCTAACAAAGGTTTGTAATCGATGGAGTAAATATTAATAAAATTACGCCACTGTTTCTCTCATTTATTCAGAATTACCGATACGACGACGTGCTCGCAATGGTTCGGGTGACAGCAAAAGCAATATGACGTCGCTGCATCTGACCTTACTCGCCTTGACCTTGACTATAACTTTTATAAGTCTCATTTGCTGATTTCTCGAAATCGACGACCTTTTCGTTCCTTTACATTAAATGACTCCTCATAATGTGTTTTTTTCTGTCTTATTTTGGATGATAGTCCTCTTTTCTGTATACTACACCTTACAAAGTAATTCTCTCTCTCTCTCTCTCCTTCTCTCTATCTTACTCTCTCTCTCTCACCCACTTCTCTCGAATCTGCACTCAAACAGCTTCAATTTTAATCGACGAAGACTTTCTTCTTGAGTTTTTCGTGCTAAAATTTTTATCCTGGGTGAAGACTGCTCGGTTTTCTGCGATCTCCAGGCAATCCTGTACGTTGTTTTCCACTTATTTTTGTATAAGAAAAAATATCAGCAAAAACTTTCAAATTTTCCATTCAATTCCTTTCAAGATAATCGGCGAGAGAACAATTCCTTTTTTTATGGTAGTGGCGCCATCCAACGCTCAAAAGAAATCATTCGAGAGAGTTTTTATAAATTTACATTTATGTATATCGTATATCATATCTATATACATATATATATATAAAGTATATATATATATATATATATATATATATATACTGTATATACTGATTATATATAATCATATATATTGTCTCTATTTGCTTATTTTCTATTAAAATAACTTATGTACAGTATATTTAAAACAATGAATCAATGAAAAATTACAAATTTACTATTTCTATATATAAATATATATAGAATCTTAATGTAAATTTTAGTCGAATATAAAGAAAAAAGCTATAAAAAGAAAAATATAGTCAAAAGATATAATGAATTATTTTCCTTCTAATTTCAACTAGTCTTCTCTTTTCACGATAAAAAGATAAACAACAACAACAAAATAGGCTAAAATTGATCCTAAAACTATATATATATATATAGATAAATATTAAGTGTAAACTAAACGATTTTCCTTTAATCGTATGAATAAACAAAATAAAAATGCTAGCCTTTCGATAAAAAGTCAACCTCCTAAAAAATGGGGAGAGCTTATTCTAGCGTATCGACTTCCGGTGTTCTGCGAATCGTTACTGGCACTATACCTTTCCAGGTAAATTTATTGAAAAATCAAAGAGCAAGATGTTTTAAGAAAAAAAAATCAAAAGTAGGTGAAAGTAAATCTTGTGTGAAGAGAGTAAGGAAAGGGCGAGAGGGGAAAGATCGAAAGCGCACTATAGCCGATAATTTACGCAAAGTGCTTGTTATTCTTATATCTTTTACCTCTCTCGACGACTTATGCATGAATAATGTTATTTGGAAAACAAATTAATTAAGGAGAAAATATTACAAACTCATCTGAGAGGGGAGAGCTTTTTATTGTAGAAAAAGCTTCATATAGTAAGCACGTGAAGAGAGAAACAAGCTAGGCCGAATTGTCCGATTATCTTGAAGAGAAAGGGACGTAGTTTTTCCTTTTCATCATTTATTAATGTATTACTTTGAATGCATATATATATATATATGAACTTTTACATCAGTGTAATCTCTTCCAAAATGCTATTTGGGTACTTTTTTTAACATTACTTTCTTTTTCTCATTCATAATAGTTTCGTATTGTTTTAACATTAATGCGTTTTTCGCGTTCTTGCCACGCGGCTGCGAAATATTTTCGCTAGCAGACGCTCGAGTATTGATCTTAGATTAGTTTGTACTAGGTCCGTTCATGAATAATGTATGTTAATTAAAGCCTAAATCGTGTCTTTTTTTCTATTACGACTTGTATAGCGAAAAAAACGTTGTATATTGCTTTTACTTGTATGAAATATGCAAAAGAGACAAAACACATATAACTTAATTTTTAATGTAACAATTAATAAACACTGTAAATATTCAGTCACTATATTTATATTTAAGTATGTACATATATCAAGTACATTTATATATATAATGTATATATATATACTAATATATATATATATATATACTGTATATGTACTATTATATGTTATTTGTGTAAAATATGATTAAAAATATTATTACCATCAATACACTTTTGTTTATTCGTTACACTTGGAATGACGCCATCTGGCGGTTTATTAAATTAAAACAATTAATTCCGTCGACGGTGCGGAAAATTATCTAGACTTCAGTGAACGTTGACTAAAACGGCAAAAAGTCGAAGTGAATATTTTGAAGAGAATCTTCAAAAAATGTCTATTGCCTTACTCATCCTCGTCCTCTTCTATATCCTCTTGTAGATTCTCGTAATTAATGTTTTTACCATCTGCGCCCTTTGAAGTTGGACGGGTATTCTTATTGGCCAATGAGAAGTTTATTTAGCCGACTTTATTCATTTTGCCCTATAATAGATGACCATATTTGAAACGGGATCATGCCTTGTGTTGGAAAAACGAAGAAAAGAATAAATAAAAGCTTTTCCATCCTATATATTCGAATTACATGTTTCCATTAATTCAAGGATGGAAAACGATGGATATATTTAGAGAATGTGCGAACTAATTAGCGAAATAATTAAAATGGTCTTTTACCTAGAGGTCACCTTATTGATTGAGAAGATAAATTAAAAAAATTTCCGATCAATCAGCTATACGACTGGAAAATTACCTTTCTTCTAATTAATTTTAAATTATCAATTCTTTTCCCTTAAAGACGTCTATCAAAGTTTTCATTAATATACAATAAACTTCCTTCCTCACCTCTCAAACCTAAGTAGTTCATTAGCGTGATAAGTATACCAAAGACATTGGTGCTTAACGATTACATCATGCGCTTATATAATATAGATACCCCAAGCATTCCTTATCGATCTATAATTGCCAAGAAAAGAAGATTATGTGAATAATGAAGGGAAATATGAACAGTATATAATAGCAGATGGGATGGAATGAAGAGAGAATCATTATCTTTCACCAATTGCTACAATTTTTCTTTAAAAGACAAGTTAAAATAAAAGATGATGAAAAATCATTCTTAACTTTATTCCAGAGACACAGAGTTAAGCCGATTTAGTGATTAAAATCGAAAAGTCGCATTTAATGATGTCCTTTAAGCGGCGAAGCGTCTTACTCTCCAGTTTGTAATTTACTAACTTGTGACGATACTTGCGTCAATTTCTCACTCCATATTACCTTTTGTTATTAACCGGATATAACTTCCTCAATCCTAATAAGATTTAAATAGCCAAATCTAGATTATTTTTTCTTTAAAAAAAAAAAAATAACTAGAAAAAAAAACTTTTACTCATGTTTTGTCTTTTTCAATAGAAACCTAAAAAGAAAAAACTTGAGGGTCACCAAAAGAATATTTTTTACCTTAATTTAATTCAAAGTACAACTAAATAGGCTTTGTGAGTTTTAAAATAGATTTTTTTTATTCTATCTTTCCTTTCTCTAACGAAAATTTCATCTTTCTTAAAAGCTTAATTAGAATACTGAATTTGGTGGGCACCTGGTACTCTTTTTCTTTCTTTTTTTCTTTTTTTTGAATTAGTACTTAGGCCTAGTCTTATTGATTTCTTCGTTTTTAGAATAGATGTTACAAAGATAAATTAGTGGACATAAGATTTATAAATTATATACAAATATATATGGGAAGAATTCAGAGCATAAAATAAAACAAAAAGAACAAGTTCTAGCTCAACTGCCATAGAGGTCGCTTGTTCATGCGAAAAGGAAGTGTTTGTAAAGTAATTGTTGTTGACAAGATACCGCGATTTTTTGGCATTAGCATACAGTTATTTTGTTTTTGGTTAGCGCTTGATTACTAGTTTACTATCTGCTGTGAACTCTTTTTCACATGACAAGATGCTTGGAAAAGGAAAATGGTACAGTTAGAAGAAAGTAGAAAGGAAAGAAAGAGACTTAATATTTTCATTAAGTAGTCTGCCTATTCTTTATACGTTTATGACGTAGTAGAAAATAATTGCGATCCATTCTATCTATCATTCCAATATATATATATAATAGATATTTTCCCTGTTTTGCAGTTTCGACAAGTTCCAAGCTTATTTTTATCAATAATCAAATCTTTATTTATTTAGAATGCTTAATTACCAATTAAAGCATGAAGAAAAGAAACACTGAGTTAATCATCTTATATCTGTGGTTTTATTGACTACTAATTATCGTGCCAAGAGTAGAAGGAAAAGAGATCGAGCTCTACGAAAGAATACAAAGGCTGTTTTAGTAGCAAACGTCTTTTTCTTTTTCAACCAGCTGCTTCAAAATGCTCATCTTTTCTGGTTCCGGTTCAATATCTTTAAGGACCAAAACGGCTTCTTTTAACTTGTTAATATCCTCCCTATCTACATAACACGGTAGACTTATACGAACGTAAATTTCTTCCTGAAGTAGAAAGAAAGAGAGTATAGTATTTACATTGTAGTTAACACGGCAAAGTAATTAATCTGTTGAGAGAGGGAGTGTGTAATAAATTAATTAAAAACGTTATTTGTCGTTAAAATGCTGCTGACATCTGCTCTAAAGAATGTAACGTTTAAGGACACTTTTGTGTTTAATTTGAAAGTTTACCGCACTTTTTTTTCACACGCCCACTCGGCTGGCGGTCATCATTTTGAGTGAACATCCATCTGTCGAAATCTAGCCCTTTTCTTTTTGTTTTATTTTTAACGAAATATCCCGCCCCCTTTCTCAACCTTGCATTCGTTTAACCTTTTTAGACTAAAAGTGATACTATTCAAAAAGAATAGGAGGATCTTTTAATCAATAATATCTTATTATGTAAATTAAACCTTTTCACTAGATCTGTATGCCATGAAAATGGTAATAGGAAACTATCTCAAAGACTGTCACTCGCTAATCTACCTAATTCTCCCTAATCCGCTCGCGCTAACGTACTCTCGAATTATTATTGGATTTTAGACGTACTTAACCTTACATTAACTTTTAGACTATTTTTCCTATTAAAATCACTATTAAATTCAATAAGAAGGGATGGGGGAGGTTAAAAAGGTGAACATGCTGGTACTTGTTACTTGAGAATACTTCTTTTTAAATGATGACAAATGGGTGGATTGAAATAAAAATAATGAATTTTATGAAAGGAATTTGTACGCTTTCCTTTCCTACTATTTTTTTCAGCCTATAAACTTCGACCTTTTATTGCATGGGTATCAAGAAACTATGAAAAGATAAATAACAAGTTGAACAAAGTTGACTGTTATTGCATTTATTAGTACGGTTACGCTTACCAGCTGCTCGAGAAAGAATAGGCGAACCCGGATTTTATAGTCTTCTCTTAGAGCCATCCCCAATAAAGTTGCCCCAATCTGGAATGGAATTATATTAATGGACGACATGATAACGAAAAATCTCTAGTAGAACTAACTATAGATTTAGGGAATGCTTTCGTATCGGGAATTCTAACCAATCTAAGGCACGGTGCTCTTAAATCCTCACCCAATCCGATTTCTTCTGTTTCCCAAGCAGAACTTAGCTCCTGTACGGTCCAATCACCCAGACTTTTCGTGTAATCCCTTATCGCCGCCTGTTGACAGGGTTATTACAAATAGGGTCAAAGAAAAAAGAGAGAGAGACAGGAAAAAAGGGGAATAGGGGGAGGGATGGAGGGAGAGATAGAGAGAGAGGGGGTGGGAGGAGAAAAGAGATATCATAATTAGAAATGCATAAATGTACAAGAATAAAAGAATTTGAAAGCGAAAGAAAAATGATGCAGAAGGATCTTTAAATAACTTCTTTAGTTTAGATTTCAGAAAATATCATCATTTAGATGCTATTCCTGGAATAAGAACGTACCCTTCCTAACCAATCGATAAAATCGAAGGCGGCAAAAGCGGCCGTAAATGCTCCTTCTTCCCGAGTTCCCTGCCAAACAAAATCTCCCGGATACGGTTCCTTGTATTTGTTTGATGTGACGACCGGGAAAATCCTCTCCTTATGACTTTGAGCAGTCCAAAGAAAAGCGCATCCTCGACACGTTAGACCCCATTTGTAAAGATTCCCTGTATTTTGAATATTTTAAAACTTCAGTCTATAATTTGTCAATACGAAAGCTATGGTTACATATAATTTTAACACCAGCTAATAATGTCTTTAAAATAAGCTGTTTATATCTCCAGCTGTCCCATAAAAGAGAGAAGGATTCTATATATCTTTCCCCTATCCTCCTAGTTAATTTTATTCGAGAATACAACCAAGACTGCAATAGGGAATTATTTTTTCAGCTAACAATTTTAAAACAGGGAGATTTGAGCTATTTAATCTTAAAATTCCAAAATCCCGACCTAAAAATAATTCGTATACAGTTTACCACCAATCTACTAATATGTAGTAGAAAAATATATGCGCATACATAGACGCTATATTTATATATGCAGTCTTAGTCACAATAGAGAAGGCTGATGGATCTATAAGAAATAAATATAATTTAGGAGTTTTTTTATCGATTATGTAGATAGCGTAACAATTTACTTTTATAAAAGGAATAACAATAATAAATTCAAAAAGATTTCATCAAAAAGTTAGCTCCTTTAACCTTATTTCCTTTTCTTTTTTATTGTTTGTATACTATAAATATAACCTATTTTTTTACCCATTTTCCTATTTTATATATTTCTCCCATCCTATCCTACCCATACTCTTATTCTACTCTCCCCTTTTTGTTATGTATAGGGAATTATCCGCTAGTAAGCATTTTGTTTATTAACAAATTAAGATAATTTGACTGATTAAATTTGAAAAGCTACTGACTTATCATTTTAGTCTATTAGTTAATGAATGAAGGATAAAATAAAGAAGAATTTGCTAATCTATATTAAGTTTGATTATTTTTTTTCTATTTTTTTATATCTATCAATCAACCTGACTACCTCTTCCTCTCCTCCCCCCTTCCCCTCCTCTACGTCTCTCTCTCTTTCTCTCTCTATTACAGACACATACACATGCTATCTCCGTCTCAATTTCTTTTCACTTTATTCATCCTTTCCATGTTGTTTCCTTTACCTTATACTTAGCATATCCTTATACTAATATATATATATATATACAGTATATACTGTATATACAGTGTCTGAATATACAGCATATCATATCTATACTGAGTATTTATATAGAAAAATTTGAAACTAGAATAAAGGGAATATCCTAAGATTAGTCAAGTATTTATCTTTATATTAAAGGATAATTAACAATTAACCGTAATTATTTGGTCATTAGTACTTAGAAGTAAAATGATTCAAAATGGCTGTTTAATTTCTACCAAAACGTTAAAAATACAAATAAATAATCAATAACGCCATCTGTTTGCCATTGAAGGAAAATAAAATTGTCAAGGCAAAAGTTAAGGACGAATGGAGAGAGGAAAAAGAAGACTTAGGATATGGCAGGAATGGAGGAAATGATAAAAAATGATCTATTAAAAAGCATTTATGCAAACGTGGAAAAAGTTTTGACTTAATTGAAAAAGTATAGATTCTTTCAAGTGTAGAGTGTTAGTTCAATATTAAGCGAAACATGGGATTCGACCGTCAATTCATAGTTCGTCATGGGCATAATTCTTCGTCTGTCGAAATAAATTTTCCATATTCCCTAAATACCTATTACGTAATAGTAATTTATTCGAAAACCACTTTATGGTGGCTTTTTGTGTTGTGTAGAAAGACCTACATTAATCAATAATAAATTAGAAATATTGTTATGCTTATTACAAAGAAAAAATTCTACATAAGCGTACATTATTAAGATATTATTGAAATTCTCGCCTTCCTTAGGGTGTCATGTCCCTCGGGCTTAGCATTTATCAGCCTAAGATTGCTAATCAAAACAAAATTTCTCCATTCCTTTATCTTACAAATTTTTTACAGATATATTTTATAAACCCTGTATTTTTATTAGTTATGACCCAAATTGTTTTAATGCCGAGCATTCTTTCACTTAAAAAGAATCTAGAATAAAAAAATACAACTTACCAATGTAGAAATCGGCTTCGTAACTTGGTACATCTAAATCTACTTGATTTGGTCCGTGAGCAGCATCTATGATTGTTATAATGGAACGATTTCTACATTCGGTAGTAAGCTCTTTCAGAGGGAAAAGAATTGATGGAATGGAAGAGATATGATCTATATTATGAAAATAGATTATAAGGAATAATAGTTTCAAAATGATTAAAATAAATAGCTTTATTCAATTAACCGATTATCGCTACTTTTATTCCGGGATGAGCATCCATATATTCGGTATATTGTCTAACGATTTCCTCTTTAGTTGGGATAGGGAATTTTATGTCCAAAGAGTGCACTATAGCTCCTACAGTTATTTATTTATTGATTATTAATTATGCAAATCAAGTTTATTAGAGATCTTACCGAGAGTCTCGCTTTGTTGTTTGGCAATATTTTTGATCGAAGAATAAGAAAAGTTATTCAAAAGAATACCGTCGTTAGCTTGCAATTTTAAAGATTTTAGAGCATCATTAACACCTCTTGTTGCATTCTCAACAAAGACAATATCTTCTTTTTCAGCTCTGACAAAGTTAGCTAACTTCTCAAGACTCGTATTGTAGGCTTCATTTCTCACGTTTCCATTAATATACCATGCATCTGGATGATTTTCCATAATTAATTCGTGCCTATAAAATTGAATCTCATATATTGAAGAAAACTTTTTAACATTGCAACTTTGATTATTAGCATCCTTGATTAGAGAAGAAAGCAACAAATTGAGAATAAACTTACTGTCTTTTCGCTTCAATAACTTTCTTAGGGGCAGCCCCGAAAGAACCATTGTTCAAAAGGACATCGTCAGTACTTAAATAAAATTCTTGTTCCTTCAGAGCTTTGCCAAATGCTGGTGGTTGACTCATAATTACGTTTTATCGAGATTGTTTCTACTGCTTTTTGGAAAAAACGAGATAGAACGTTGGATGAATATTGAATAGAGGATGCTGAAATATTGATAGATAGATTGTCTTTGTTATTGTATTAGCGTGTAGAATTAACGGAAGTTAGTGGATTCTTATAACCTGGTCTAATCGCAATTATTTCGTCACTAGATGACAGCCGTGATAAAGAAGCGGCTAATAATTGTCATGTTTATTATTTGATTTATGAGTAAAGGATTGTCTGAAATTAGAATAGCCCAATTTTTAACGTTATCAGTTCCCTGTTATTTTTATTTTTAAATATTTCTTCTTGAGGTTAGGACCGTGTCGTTTTAATTCTATGTAAACCAATCATTATCTAGATTTGATAAAAGAAAATCCTTGAAATCACATCTATGAACAAGTCTTAACCCAGATGTTATCTTGTTCATTTAGAGTGACATGAAGGATGTTATTTTACATAAGAAATCTTTTTAATTTACATAACCTTGGAAATTATTGCTCATTAGTAATTAACCACTCATCTTCTTAAAAACTTCTTAAAACACCCTCTTTGTTGTTATTCCTCTAATTAACCCTATATCTTCCTTCTCACTGTATTATTACGTAATTGAACTAATATATATTCATAGGTTACATAACCTTAGACAGATGTCTTTCAAACTAATGTTCGTTTGGGCGGAAAGTAAATGCTTTCCTCGCAACGTTTGCCAATTTTTTCCAGTTAGGATAGATGAATATGTACAGTATATGTACATTTGTGTCCAGAGGAAGGAGGTTAAGAAAAAGGCATCATACCCACATACACACATATAAAAAGAAATTATAGGGTATAGAAAGGGGTCAGGAATTTTAACACAAAATAAAGTTTACATCATATAAAATTATATAGCAGCGCCATCTTGTGTATAAATCGGGGTCAGAAGAAGTAAATAACATCAACCAATCGCTCATAAGTAATTTGGATAAAAAGTATGAATAGTCTTCCGATTATCAAGTTTATTCAAATTACTAGTTTAGACTAATAAATGGGCTATATTAATATATATATAAGTTATATTATATATGTATATTTATTTATCTATATATGATGATCAATTAAGTGAAAATGTACGGTAATTGAATTAATCTATAACTCAAATTAGACGGCTATAGAGAAAAGACTAAATAATTGTGATTGTAAACACAGCTATTAAGAAATATATGAAAATTAGTCATTCATTTGTATTTGATAAGGATCAGGTGATTCATGTGTTTTAGTTATTTCTCTGTATTGTTATCTCTTGAGAAATAGATGGTTCGATGTTTCCTTAACTGGACAATTCAATATTTTGAACAGTAACGACAGACTCGTTTCTTGTTATAGTTTTCATTCTAAAAGCATGAGTTAATGAATGAATGAATAAATAAATGTAAATACTAATATATATACCGTCTGTATATTATATATATATATGTACACTTGTATGAACGAATGAATAAGTGAGAGGGAGACAATCGTTCTTTAATGACTTAGCGTATATAAAAGATCCAAAAAAACCTCTTAACTATACTCTAGCAACTAAAAAGGGGTATTTAGAAGCTTGAAGAGAAGATGGAAAACATAGGAGATAAAACTTACCTTATCAAGAAAACCTTAGTAATTCCGAGTATAATAGACTTAGCTTAATTATTTTTAATTTCTTCTTAGGGTGATATAATACATACTTTTCAAAATGGGTATCTTTGTGTATTTAAATGTAATATTTATATATATATTCTATTAAATATCATTTACCTAGTTATATATCCTATATATAGGACAATGTAAGATCTTTTCCTATTCAGAGGTGTTTTGTTCATTATTTTGAAAGAATTAACAAGTAAAAATTTGATAATAGGAATATAGAATTTCATTTTAAAAATCGTTTTTTCTCGTTTTGCACAAGGAGATTTCATCAAACTCTATGTAATTGTCTTAACTTAGTGATTCCTTTACAATTACTTATAGGAATATATACATATAATAAGCTCTCTATCCTATATCTTGCTCGTTATTATAATAATTGAATAAATGTATACATATATGTATATTCTGAAGATAGTTTATATCTGCCGAACACGTAAGCATTTGATGTTTTTTTTTACGCTGTTTACCGTAAAGTAATCGCAATTAATCAGTTTTATTCTAAAAAACTAATCTCTTTTATATTCGCAGACAACGTATCCTTATCTGTTCGTTTTCAAAAGAAATTTTAAGATTTTCAATATCAGAAAAGTAGTATTTTAAAGAGTTAATAGCGTATTATATCTACTTTATGTCTATTTTATTCTCTATTTTATCCTTCAACTATTTCTCATCGACTATATAATTTTCATTATTTTAAAAAGTATTTTTGTGATTGTTACATCTCTCCGATATGAAAAAAATAACGCTTTTATTCATAGGCTTTCCATGCCCTCAAAGATTATCTCAGTTTTATGATAAGAAAGACTAGTTCACTAATTAAGTTTGTAAGGAAAGGGAAAAGTAGGTGGGCGGTAGAATTTATCTTTGACAAGTAGAGGATCTTATTTGTTTGCTGTTTACAACTCAAAGTAAACAAAGAGAATTTAGAGTTGAATTGGGTATGTTTTATACAAAATGTAGATATAATGTTTGTTCATATGTTTTGATAACTAACTATAGAATCATGAACGAAAAATAACAACATTCAAATGAAATTCTCCTAATTCTGCATTCTCTTTGTCTTTATTTAATAAAAAACAATAGAAAACCTCAGGGAAAATTAAGAAGGTCTAAAAAAGAATAAAGATGAGAGATTTTTAACTTCTTTTTGCCAACTAATCCTTATATTAGAAGTATACTGTATATAAGAAGATACAGTATATAGCCTTTATTTTTCGCTAAACGCTAAGATTTACTTCATTTTAAGTTGAGGAATAGAAGTTTAACTAATAATCAACGTAACAAACCACTTTTTAATTTATATCTCTTTGCTAGACATGTTACAAAGAGATGGACAGGACTGATGTAGCGCTTTTCCCTCATTTTTAGTCACGTACAGAATGACGTCAAAAGGTAAAAAGATTCGCATTCTGTCGCCAACAGTTGGACAAACCACTTTATAGTTGATAATTGGTATGTACGCAACTATTTTACTTCTTTTTTCTAGCAAATTCTTTTAACAAGAGATAATATTTAAGTTATTCCTTCTCTATATTATTCTTATTTTTTCTATTACGATTTATACGAAAAAATATTTCTCTCTCTTTTCGTAACACAAAGTTTTTATTTGTTAATATTTAATGAAATGATTATTTGTGTAAATATTATCCATATCTAAAGAAAGAATATTATAAATTGTTTATAAATATGTATATACATATCTATATTTACATTTTTAAATACTATATATTTGATTTTCTTTATATATCTTAATATGTATACAATTGTAGTTATTCTTAATATATATATACAGTATATATAGTAGATGGTATGTTAAACTCTATGTACACATAATATATTAATATATTTTATTAAAATAATAGAGACTAATCAAATTGTAGGAATAATTTATTTACACTCTGTGTTTTTTGTTAATAAAGCTAAAAATCTATTTAAATAATAGGTATTAAATCAAATGGTTAATTTATTTAGGAAGATAGGCTTAAACCGTGTAGAAACAGTTATTTAAGGAATTTTTAAGACATATATATATGGTGACATATATATATATACATAAAGCAGTGATTCTGTTTAGAGAGTCCACTGAAGTTCGTCGTTGACCCTTGTTGATCTCCTAGAAAGTCTGTTACTTATCTCTTTCTAAGAATAACAAAAACTGAACTTAGACAATATGAGAGTTTTTCAAACTTGAAAATATTAGCATAAATATGCATCTATATAGAATATATACATATATATATTTATACGTATTTTCTAATATTTAAGCTATACAGATTTCCTAAGTGCTAAGATTAGTAATTTATTCAATTTTTAAGGTTAAAGTATTTACTTAATTATTTTTCTTATAAAGTAATAAAGTGAACGTGATAGGTTGAAGAAAGGAAAAGGTAAAGGAAATAAGCTTAATTTAATGATATATTCTTTCTCTTCATGAAAACAGGAAGATGGGTCACCAAATTACTCTTTTCTTCCTTCTGGGAGTTTTCACTTTTTCGCTAGCGGCCTCCGGTTTGTTAATAATACTTAATTATTTACTTAATGTAAATCTCTAAGTGCAATATCATATAACAACTATTTTACAGTTGATAAATCAGTGGAAGATATGGTTTCGGCTGATGCTGGTTTAATCTGGGGCAAAAGGTTCATTACGTATCCTCAAATGCCAGATACAGGCAAAAACTTCTGCCAGATGCTCACCAAAACTTACCAGTCGTTTGCCGTTTGTATGCGTTTGAAAAGCCTTATCTGCCAAGGATAAGGATCAACAATCACCTACAAAGGCAAAAGCAGACGATGAAAAAAAAAGTAAAAAAACAAACAACGATGTTGAATCCATAACCAAAAAAATGATAAGAAAAAGAAAATGACAAAAAAAAATGTATTGAATTGACTTGTAATTTTAGAGGTAAAAACTAATAATTATTCATAATATTCAATTAATTAATATTCATTAAATGTGTGTTAGTATTTAAAATGTTAATTAACAATAAAATAAAAAAACATGGAAAAGACTTTTTATTTTCTCTTGAATTTTAACATTATTAATAGTTGATTGATTAATGAAAAATACTATAAAAAAAGGAAATTTTAATCAATTAAACTCTTTTAAATAAATAAAACAATGATATTTACTTTACGTATACTTTTATATATTTACTTTATTATCTTCGTTTTATATTAATTAGCTAAAAGATAGGTCTATGTAAATCACTCTTCTCTACTCAATTATCAATTGACTCTATGAAACGATTCTCTTTCTCACTCTTGCGTAAACAACATGTATAACTCATTAAAAAAGTTTGCCTTTGAAAGTATTTTTCACGTAGGAAAATAGAGATACTGTTTGTAATCTATATTACATTATATATTTATATAGTTTATGCCCCATAAACACTTTTATAGTTGAAAGGTAGAGAGAAAAGTCGCGAAGAAAAGAGTGAAGAATATATAATATGCTTTGATATCAGTCGTTGTATAATACAATGTTGAAGAAATTTGCAAGCTTTGCAGTTTTGTACTATTTCTAAAAGGCAATCAACTGTGTGTACTACTCGAGTGTTTACTTTCCTAGAAATCGAAAACCAAAAATTTTCTGGGTGTTCCTTAGTAGACTAGTTTATTTTTTTTTCTTTGATTAAGGGCAAAGAGAAAGGGAGTAATTTAAGATCTTCATTGAACCGTTACTATACGGATTTTTCGTAAATTGAAAGCATTTACAAGTAAACCTTAATACAGAAAAACAATGACTCTATATAGTCAATAGAAAAGATTTATTTATTATTATTTTGGCTTTATATTGGTTTCTAATAAAAATAATGAATTTTACCAATAAGGTAACCTTTATTTTTACAACAAGTATAATTGTCATTTATTCATACATATATAGATCATAGATATAGATATTACATTAAAGAAAAAGAAAGGGATTCTTTTCCACTTTCACGACAATAAGTAGGCTAGAGTAAAGAATAAATATGAAAATGAGAATAATATGCAAACACCCCTATTTGCTAGCATTACTTATGTTTCTCGTTAGATTTTCCTTTCGTTTTATTGCTGATTTTTCGTTTATCAATCCTAAAATAAATATGTTTTTTAACTTTCAAATGAATATTCATAGGTCGTATCCATTTTTCTTTAGTAGTTCTGTTATACTTGTTAATGTGTTCCCATATTGGGACATACTAACGTAGAGAATTACAGTCATCGTCATCCTTGTAGTTTTTATTATTTAGTGTTACACCTTCAAAAGATAAAAGATAGAGAGAAAGAGGAGGAGAAAGTGAAAATGACTGATTAAAAATAAACGGTAATATATCACAGTACCACTTAGCCTACTATTATAAAAAAAATTAATATATAATTGTCCTAATTAATCTAAAAGTTTCGTATTTGACCTCAGTAGCAAAATGCTATGTCAATATATATTAATTAAAAGGTTAGGATATTTATAATGGGGGAGGAAAATAAAATTAATTCTTTCTAACTAGGGGAAATAAAATCTGTACATCCGTTAATTACTTTGTTCCTTATTATATAATTAAGCTAATATAAATTGAAATGGAAATGGACATAATTATTATAAACAATAAATTACTATATTTGTTTTATAGAATACAATTAAATAAATAAAATAGCGTTTTGTTTTGTTTATTTGTTTATTTGTTTTTTTTTATTATAAAAAACAATGGGAAGAATATGGATAATTATCTAATAATAAATAAATTCAACCATTTCTCCTATTATAGCTTTGTAGTAGGTTTACTCATTGGCTCGTAAGTAGGTACATAGGCATCCGAATAATAGTTTGTCGCTAACGATACTTGATTAATTGTTGACGGTATTTCATTTCTATATTCTTCTTCACCGCATAATTTTAAATTGCAGCTTCTCTTATTAATTTTTAAAATGATGAAAATCAGTACCAAAATCAAAATTGTTGGGGAAATATAAAAGATAATTATTCTATAAGTTCTCCTTTCGTGTAAACCAATTATATCTGTGGAATAGAATTACAAAGTTTTAGGTTTTTACTCAAGAACGCATTCTTCTCCTACGCTGCCTGCAAAAGCCAGTAAGTGCAATAATAAAATTGAATATAGTGCCATCTACCGTACAAACTATTGAACAATATTAGCAGCGGTTAGTAAACTGTTACCGATCAGCTACTTCAAAGAAATAACGTTTTCAGGGATTCCTGGTACGAAAGAATTACCATTTTCAGATAATCTATTGGTGTATTACAGAATTGGTCAGAGGCAAAAACTCAATCAAATTCTAGCGCAACATTGAAAGAAACTTGATGAAATTTATTAGAAGATCTTTAATTCAACTAAAGTCTTTCTCCATGATCGTAAAGGTGTAGTTAAAATGATACATAGTGAAGATAAGTATCCAGAGAGAGACACAGTATCTATACAAAAACATTGGAAAGTTTGGATAGCATTGAGCATATCCTTCAGAATGATGGCAAAAGTTGGTGGAATCCTTACAAAAGATTATGTTTGTTAAGTTCCTGTTTAAGTACAAATCAAAGTTTCATTTGGAATGCTATGAAAAAGGACCGTAAAGTTACAGATATGGCCGAGAAATATACTAAAAAGATTCTGAGTAGCAAGAACAAACATAAAGGTCTTATCAAAATTCTAATAAAACGTGGACTATCTGATCCTAATGCAGCTTCAATATCATCTAATTTATTGGGAGGTGAAATTGCAGAAATCCCACGCAGCTTATCATTTCTTCTCTATAGTTTGGCAAAACACACTGATAAAAAAAAGTTGGCTGAGAAGATTCATCATGCTCTGAGTAATGAACTTTGACATTTGATAAAATTGATGAAATGAAATAGTTGAAAGCTTGCTTAAAAGAAAATCGTAAAATTTTCCATCCAATCAGTGAAGGTACCACTAGGAAGGTTCCTGAAGATCTAACCCTCTGCGACGACAAACTTATCCAAACGAACTTCAGCTGTTTGGAATTCTGAAACTATTTCAAAGAGTACTGAATATCATATCTTCCTAAACCAGACAAATTTTTACCAGAAAGATGGCTTAGAATTGGCGATGACTCGGATGTTTTACACTCTTTGGTTCTGATAAACGAATGTGTAGTGGGAAGCAAGAAATTTATATGGCAGTGGTGAAATTACTTTACGCCTTCAGAATTGAAGATGGCGTCAACTTAAAACAGTTATTGATTTTTTTTTAAAATCAGATCGTCAACTAAATTTCAGATTTATCGACAAAAGAAGATAAAAAGTTTTACTAAAAGAAAAAACTTGATACACTCTCTATTGTTGAAAAAAGAGAAACTAATCATTATACTAATTCAATGAGAAATTAACAACTATTTTTAATGTAATTCAATGTCAAATAAAACCCAAAAAAACTTAAAGGGCGTCACTTTGATGAAATAAGCTAAAAAAAACAAACTCAAAACATATCAACTCACCATTTTTTGCGGTAGTTATATGGTAATCATATTTATTCATAAATGAACTAATCGAAATAGAATATGTCATATATTAAAAGTATTACATGAATAGGAACATGTTATATTACCTATCAGCTGTAAATTTGAATTGATTAATGGGATTATTAGTGGTTGAAGGTAAACAAGTCATACTGTCATTTAATACAAGCAATCTACTTAAAATGCACATTAATTTCCCCACGGAGTAGCATAACTTCTTTATTCTGTTATAATTACTTGTACATTTATTACTTTCTTCGTCGATAATACACATATTATCGGTCTTTAATAATTTAAAGCGATCTTTACATATTACCCTTCCATCTCTTAAACAATGAGTATCTTCTGTAAAGTAGCCCATACACCTACAGTTGTCACCGTAATACTGGATATTATTTCGAGTTGTACAAAAAATCTTTAATTATTTTTATAAAATTATTAATAAAGTCATAATAATAGGAATTTGATTTATCAACTTTATATGATATAATGATAAATGTATCCATGAACATAAGTATCTTCCGTGATTTTGACCTTCTTTGGTATCTTAAAGGATGAATTTTATAAATAGTTTCCCACGATTCGCCATTTAATTTCGTGCTAAAAAGGAATTAGTTAATTAACTATTTATCATAATTAATTAAGCACTCATATATTACTTTAATGTGTCTAATCGAAATTTTAAGAATAATTCCCTATGACTTTCAGTTTCAATACGAAACGGACCATGTATTGTATCGAATTCCGAATTAAAATCAATAACTGTTCCATAAGTTCCTATGGTTCCATTCGAATTGAAAAGCGGTTGACAACTTCGAGTATTCGACATGAAAGATGAACAAACATGAAAGGCGTTTAAACATATTTTATTTTTCGGTACTGTACAAGAGTAAATAAATATTTAGTTTATAAATATCTAAAAATAGCAAACCTTTTTGACATCCAAATCTTGATTCACTTGATATTAACTTAACAATATTTAATTCAACAGTATACATTGATGCATTTAATTTAATTAAGGTAAAAAAATAAAGATAAGCTATAATCGTCATTCCTTTTTTTTCCAACTGACGTAAACTTGTATTTTTACATTATCAATTTAGTTAATATTTGTTAAATATTAAATAAAATCCTGTTTTTTTTAATTACATATAAAACGTAGATTGTAAATAAATATTTATATATTAATTAGCAATATAATGATATATATATATATATTGACATATATATGTATATATACAAATATATATATATATTTGTATATGCATAAACATTTATGAATACATATATAGGGTATAACTTTGATACACTATATGTATACTGAATAGTAAGTCCTTTTTTTAAATTAATTAATTTACATCATCAACAAAAGTTTAACGAAAGACGAAATTTATAATTAAATAAAGAAAAAATGTAAAAGAAATACAATACAACTAATGTTGTTCAAAAATACGAAACTAATAATGACTTTTAGGACTGTAACGATTCAATTAAGTACAATTTCATTATTTATAGGGTCTTTAATTAAAAATATAATTTATAATATTTCAAATTCACTCCTAAATTAAACGTTGATTTACTTAATTTTGTTAACCAACTTTAAGGAGCAAATTTGAAATTTACACATCCATATCCGTACGAATGTAAATTTGTTTAGGAGTGTATAGAACACGTTAAAAGGTGCTCAAAATTAAAATATCTCTAAAAGATTAAAAAAGTATTCGTACATGTCAAAAAACATGCTTGTATAAATATCTAGGATAGATAGGACATTAACTTTCTAACAGCATTAGAAAGATCGCATGATTCGAAAATAATTAGTCCTGTTGCATTTGTTACGGATAAAACTGCCAGCAAAGCCAGGGGAGATGAAATACCGTAGGCTATTACACAGTCAAAAGAATCGTTGGACATCATAATATCATCTACTAAACCAACTGTTATTGAGCGTTTACTTTCAATTTCATCATTTTTATTACTGATAGACTTGATGTTAATCATTAAGCCGAGATGCTTTATTATATCTGAAATGATGTTGTCATTTTCTGTGGCGAAGATAATCTTTTTGCCGTTGGACGATAACTCATACAATATCAAAATCAAATACGCTAACCTCTCTTCTACAGACGTTACTAAATTTACATAAGAATTAATTGGTGGAATATCTGGATGACAGCAAGTAGAGTATTTTTCTTCACCCATTATTAATCTATTCAAGAAGTTATTACCAGTTCGAGGTAAGAGTTTCAAACTAGTTCTTATCCCTCTTACTCGAACTGGTCTAGAGAGAAATTCTATGCAGGAAACGCCACTATCCAAATGGCCATTTGATACTTTAAATTGAACAGTCATCAATTCCCCGTCTTCCATGACGTTGTCGACAAATCCATGACAAACTGACAGACCGTTGACTATGCAAACTAAATCATAACCATCTCGTTTGACGTCACTAGCCGAAACTATAGGCAGACAACGGTCCAAACACCATTTTTTTAGTACAGTAATTTTAGCCTCATTTTTTCCAATTACAGTGACGGGAATTCGTCTGACAAGAGCGGAAATACTAGAACGCTTTGTCACTGCTTCTCTGGCTCCTAGCTCGTCCACAAATTTCAATAATTTATTTGAAAAATATTCTATTGTCCCAGTTTTTGGTTCAGATTCAATTTTTTCAACAAAACATGAGCCAGGAGCTGATAAATGTTCAATGCATACATGAATAGATGGTGTTATTTTAACAAGTTGTATCTTTAAATCGGGTAAGAAAGATTCAGTAAATCTTAACTGGACGGTAAAAACAGATCCTGATAGTATTACCGCACTAAAGCTAATTGGATCAGAACAATCCTCTCCATCCACTACAACATCGTCAACGGATACTGTACGAGCACGTTCATCGTATTTCGCAACAGCAGCTTTAGCCTCAGAGAGGACATTCATGACTTTTCCTCTGTCCTCTCCTCTACCAACAATCGAATATATTAACTTCCAGTATAAATTACCTGGTAAAATAACCATATTCAAAATTGGATTTATCTCAAGTAAATTTCCTGCTCGAGGCTTTAGCCTCTGGGATTTGAAATCGAACACACGTTTATTCCACTTTAATAGACGTCTTCCGACTGCTATTTCTGTCATATCTAACACTCCAAGATGATCTAGTTCAATATAGTATTCTTGTTTATGAACATAGAATACTAAACCATTATTATCCAATCTAACGATAGTTGCTGATGCTAAGACAGAATTATTTGGAGATCGAAATCTTTCCCTACAAAATTTATATGTTTTCAAATTTATAAGTGAGCTAGTCGCTGCGCTACATAATTCTTCAAAGTTCAAAGAATTATCAGCATTATTAAAAATTCTTTGAACGCAAACGTCAAAATAATTACTACATGGCCTCGTACAACTTGTAATATTATTTACTCCATATTTTTCATTCCAAGTAATAGTATTGTCACCCGAAATGTAAAATTGTGGAACAGCAGTCTTTGCAAATTGACAGTAAGCGTAACAAGAAGTTGGGATATTTTCAATGTTCATTATATCTGTCAGTAAAAAGTCGTTACGTTGAAAAGTTTTCTTCCAAGCTTGCCTTTCTACATAAACAATATCCATTTTTTCCCGATTATTTCCCAAGCATTTACAAATTGATTCACACCGACAAACCAGTCCTTGAGGTAACAAAGAGCGTTTTAAAACAATACAATGGGGTAACAAATTTGAAAATGTATGTCGTAACCGCTCATTGTCACTAGACCTTGGTTGAATAAGACGTGGAATATTTTTACCCATTTTTAAGACATAAATATTTACGGCAATCTCCAATTCTTCAACAAGTAAATTTCGTCTTTGATTTATTACAGAATTTCCCAGGCGGTTAAATCTCCAATGATCTGCAATCTTTTATAAGGAAAATTAAAAAACTTACAAGTACTAAAACAAAAGATATCAAACTTTATAATACTCTGGAGCAATAGACTCGCAGATGGTATCAATACAACAAACTGTTTTCTTATCAACGTCCATTCTTATAATTTCAAATGTTTTGTGATCTATTATAAACTCAAAGCTGAAGCAGAAAATCCGTTTGCCATTTGTAAAAGTAAAATATTCTTCAACTAAATTCCTAGGTACAATGTAGCGATTCTCGGCCGTCATAAATAAAGTCCTAGCATAGACATCTAATTCCGAATGAGGGGGTATACACAAAGAAACGTCTGGCACGTGTAAAGTTAAAGAGTAATCTGAAGCAAATTCCCTAAAAGAAATGGCTAATTGCCCATCAAGGGAACTATAACCAACTACAGCCTTGCTATCTTTATCAATTTGAAATTTTGGCTGAGATTGTAAATTGTAATTTATGAAGAATAACTCATCTAGTAAATTTAACTGATCAGAAGTTGTTTCAGGTGATTTTAAAGTTCCCACTACAATTCCAATATAATTACTAATATCGTCTTTCTCAAAAAAGCCCACACATCTGACGTAAAATAACATATTCTTTTGCCAAGGAACGTATTCTTTAAAAAATATTTTACCCGATATCATTATATCGAAAACAGCCACCTGTTCAGAAGATAAATTATAAAAAACGAGCTTAATTTATTAGAAATATTTTATTTCTAAAAGATTAAGATTATCTTACCTCGCTAGGTGAATTTATATATTTGTCAAGTTGAAGTAATCGTATTCCAGGTACTTTAAATGGTTGAGCCATAGCAAATTGATTATCCTTCGATAACTGACAGACATATGTGGGAAGATTAGCAGTTCTATAGCCTTTAATAATACTAATGACTTCGCAACGATCTTCTTCTAATTTTTTTACTTTTGCAATATCTCCTATATTCCTCAACCTTTTAGGATTATTTATCTTCAAAATGGAAAAAGAATCATCAAAAGGAATCGCCCGAATCGATCCAAATTGATCCATATCTATTATCGCTGATATCCCCCTGTCGTTTTCACAGGGAATATCTTGTACCATAGGATAATCTTCGCTGTTATTAAGAACTCTTTCGTTTTCTTTTTGATCGTTAATAAATTGAAAGTCCTCTTTAACATTACTATTTAAAATCAACTTTCCACAGTCGTTCTTAAGAACTTTAACATGAGAAAGTAAATCAGATACGCTTTTTAAATAGTAAATACAATGACGATCGGATCTTCGAAGGCATTCTGTGACTATTTTATCATTATCACTTTCTACTTCTTTTGTACTGTTTAGTGATATTTTAATAAATTCATTAAAATTAATTCCTTCGTTGCTCAACATTAAAATCCAAATTTTCTTTTCTAACTCTGAGTGAGCCATTTGACAATCGAAACCATAAGGACATGGTACGTTAAACACATACATTTTTTGGGCTATATCTAACTGGCAGGTTGTACTATACATGTAACTTTCACACATGCCTACTTTGTGATTAATTTTCACTTGATTAGGTAAATTTCGTATGACTGTTAAGCAATGACTATCTTGCATCAGATGACCTAGAGTATTAAGCAAAAAATAAGTGAATAATTAATAAAAATAAAGTATTCGACAGAATTAACTTAATAAAATAACCTAGAAATTCAATTTACTAACCTAAAACAATATTAGAATTCCAATTATGTTTATTATGACAATATAGATGATCTAGCTCGCTTTGGGAACTTATTATATTAGATTTTAAGCACAATGCGCAAAGAAGAGCGAATTTTCCAGGATATTCCTTAAGAACTTTGGCAACTTGTAATGTTCTTCCATCACCAATAGGGGTAGGAAGAGATCTTGGCGATTGTATGGGTAAAATTGGTATATTACTACTTTTCCTTTCGAAATTTGGTAATTTCCTTCGAAATCCTTCTGATTGTTGAATGATAAATTTGTTAATATCGAATTCGCCTTGCTTTTCAAAACTCCATAATTCTCTTTCTGCTCGAGAATGTGCAAAGCTACATCTTTCTATTCCTACACTACAAACGCCTTGTCCAGTAGCTTCGTGGCATAATACATATCGGCCATTAAATTGTCCATTGTCTTTTCGTTCCCTAATAGCTATCCATCTCAAAGATAAAGTGTTTTGTTCTTTAGCATCCTTCTTGTCAATTACATATAAGACATTTTGATTACATCTGTGAGAATTATTTAACAGAATAGAGCATGATTCACAACCTATTCGAAAAAGTGACGTTGGCTCCAAAGGGAACGAAATTGGGCCACAAATCTCTTGAGATAGATTTTCAGGGTTTTTTCTGTCTTGTTGAACAAAGGTGGAACCATTAAATGATGTCTTTGATTGTGGCGTAACGAATCCTGGGACGTAGTTTTTCTCATTGTCCGTTTCATCTTGCAGTTTTAAGGAAGGTAGTGGCTGACCTAGAATATCAAAAATGTATTAAATATTAAACTAAATTAATCACATGATTAAAGAAAGAACTGAAGACTTACCGTTATAATATCGTTTGACATCACGAAGTACATCCTGAATTCTTAAAAGGCCTTTTCGTTCTTGATTCCAAAAAAAAATCTCAACATGCGAGTGAGCAAAAGTGCATTCATTTTCTCCCACTATACATTCTTTTTTATTCTCATAATGCTTGCAAATTAAATACGATCCTTTATGATCCTGCAAAAGAAAAGAAATACATTTTGGATATTTGGTATTATAATATTAAGAAAGAGAGAGATTTTTGCTATTAAAAATCCATTAATATATAGTTTTACAGAAAAGGCAAGATTAACAGTACAATAAAAAGTACCAAGAAAAGATTAGGTCTTATTTTGTACCATTCTCCATTACATCCCTTTCTTCTGACTATTAAGAAGGCTCTGCTACAGTCGTGCTCCATGTTTTCATAAAATTTAACGCCTCCACTTCCTGGTTTAGTTCTTACAAAACATTTCTTACAGGCCAACTTCCAGTTATAATCGTGAAAACTATCAGGTAACTTAATCGAATGTTGCAGGTGCACAACCTGTTGTAAGATTTATCATGAAGATATTAACATGTAAACACTTATTTAAAATGCTTATAATAATACTATTTAAAGAAAAACCAATTGACACAAGTGTATGGTCACCTTTTCACATAAATTATATATTGTTATTCTATATACTTTTAGGCTCGATATAAAGGATATGCATACACGCTATTCTCTATGTAAAAATTGTTCATTGCCTATTGGTGCAATTTCAGAGGTCAGCTTATCTACGTATTCTGCATCTTCTTAATCACGCAGTAGCTGCTCATCAAGTAGGCTCGAGTTTCATCAGACATAAAAATTATCAAACTCTTTTCATCGACTATAAATAATAATAATAGTCCGCAATGTATTTCCAACCAGTAATGCTAGTACACTTTTTTACTAAGCAAGTGTCTATTAAATCTCAAGAAATGATAAAATTTAGATATTCCAAAAAGGATACGAACCATTGAGAAAGACGCTCTCTGCGATGTCATCTATATAAAATGAATTAATTGTAACTTGTCGAAAAGTCCTTATTAGATCCAATCGTCTTTCTCCATGAATTACAAAAGAAAACTTCTTTAAAAAGCCTTTGAATTTATAGTATTTTGGCTAATAGCGCCATCTACCATACAATATAATTTGTAGTGATATTTCAAAACTCTTCGTTTTACAACCTCTACTCTTTCTGTATAATTTGTTAATTTTTACCTATAATGTAGTTATTTTGTTGTTAAATGGTCGCCTTACAATGAATAAACGTGCAAACAATTCTAACTTTCTATCATCAAGGTATCGACTAAAATAAAAAAAATTACAAAGAGAATAGGTAAAACTAGTTCTACGCTCTTAAACAAAATAACGACTTTGGTGCTAATTTTTTTGCATTAATTATAGAATGCAGCCAAAGTATATCTACTGATAAAGGACATTTTATCTAAGTAAATTACAAAACATCTTTATTCTTATTATGTTCTTTAAATTAATTAAAATTTTTAAAGAGAAGGATCGATTTTAATAATTCTATATTTTACGGGGAGAAAATGTTCGGATTCATTAAATTTATTAGAAAAGGTAATGTTTTAAAACCGTTTCGAACATTAAAGGATCTATAGAGATAAAAGAATGTGAAGAAAATAATGAAAGAATGAAAGAAGGAAAGGAAGAAAAGGGAAGGAGTTTTTCTTTTGTTTATTATAAGAAACAAAGAAGCAGAGGAGATTTGTACGTGTTTTTAAACACGAAATAAACATTCTAGAAAACTCTCGTAGTTTTGTTCTTCCAGAATAACGTAAAGAAAAAAAAATAACGTACATAAATTTTACATCAATATTTCTTTTAATATTATTTTTATATTAAAAAATTATATTAATTTTTAAACTATTGTGAAAAGGTGTAGGAAATATTTTCTTTAATTTGTTACGCCATCTATATTACGAACCTGTGATGAAATGTTCTTTCGTCTTTCGTTTGTTACTTTTTGCCATTCACCACCTTCATCATCTTCGAGATTATTTTGATCATCATTTCTTGTCATTTTTTCTTTATAGTTTCCTAATTTTTCAAACGATTGTGCCATATCTGCAGGAATATATATCCGTTAACTATTCATACTTTCTATATTGTTTGTAGACGTTTTAAATTGGAGGAGAAAAACGATGACTATTCTCTCAATGGTAAGTTATAGAATCTCATTGGAAATATTATTTTCACTAATAAATTTTCATTCTAAAGAACATTTAGAGCTCTTTTAACGCTTTTCTTACATAAGGTGTTTTCCAAAAGAATCCCTCTACAATTTTAAACTGGTTCCGTATTCTGCAACCGTTTAATTATTAAAACTTTCTTAAATTGATCACGAAGCCTAAAGGTTTCAACTTTTAATGGTTGGTTATAGAGTATGACTAAATAATACGCCAGATATTTGTATTGTACGATTATTACTCAATAGTTAAATTTCGTAAATTATAAATTGTGGAAAAGATACCTTATGTATCTTCTTTTAACATTTATTATTTCTTTTCGAATAAAAAAGTAAAATTTGTTGAATTCTTTGTGTTCGTGAACTAAGTCTATCAAATATCGAATTTATACGATATTTAATTTTTACTGTTTTCTTATTGATTAATATTGAAGCACAGCTAGAATTTACGCCGTATATTGATTATTTAGTATTGAAATCAGGTAGTTTTTAACGATTGGTATAAATATGTATTATGAATTAAAACTCTTATGCGACTATTAACATGAATAGACTGTAGAATTATTATTATTCTTTAAATTATAAATACTAATAAAATAAATAATAATCACTAAATTAAATTCAAGTTTATTTAGACTTTTATCATTTTAAGCATCGACAGAGTAATTTAATTAGAATTAAAATTAATATTTTATCGTATACAATCAATATAGATTAGTAGAGAGGGAGAAAAAGTGAAGCTAAGCAATAAAAATAGAAGATATACTACAAAAAAGCTTATATTATTATTGTCTTATTACAACATATATATGCATTATGCTATATTTTTAGTTCTCTTTTTAATCTGATATAAGCAACATAGAATATCTTTATTAAATATAATAAGTTATATAAGAATTCTCTCTAATTGTATATTGAAAGAAGAGACTACAAACAGATTCTAAATAGTTATTTCCTTCTTTTATCTAATATATATATATATATATAGATATACAGTATATATAGATATATACATATGCCCTGTATATTACAATTTGAAGCTGACATACTTTACACAACTACGATTCACTTTTAAAACTTACGACAGCCGGAAATTTGCATTCTTCAGTAACGAACATTGATACTTATCTAGGAAATGGTTTCTGCTGTCAAACTCAATATAATAACTTGGTGTGTCATAAAGAAGAAGGATAGAAAAACTGATCGTTCAATACAGACTTTTACTTATACAGTAATATTTAACACCATGAATACCTTTTTAATTATTATGTATTTATAGAACATATAATGTTAGGCTTAATTGGATAAATGCGGATAATTTTTTTTTCTCGTAAGATTAAAATTGACAACAACTTAATACCCTTTTTTACTATGTATAATATAAACTATTAGATATATATAATATGCTTTTTAGGCTGCACGTGGCTTAATGCTGTATATACGTATACATACATTAGATTGTTAAAGAAGCTAATTAAAGAAAATCCAACCAAAATTTTATTCATTAAAACGACAATATATCTTCGTTATATTTTTAACATTTTTATTATTGTTATTGTTATTATTGGAAGAAAATATGAGTTGGAGATGATTATATGTTTAATATAAAAATCAAAGAACCAGGCCTATAACCTTGTACAAAAATCTTTAATTGATTTTTATGCAATTAAAGTTAAGATTTCATTACGCGTGACAAATATTTAATTGACGACTTATAGAGATAATACTTTAAAACTTGCTCTTTTAATAGATTTTGTACATTTTGTTTTTGAGAATTATAATGTTTTAATGGAATGGTTAAAACATTCAACGAGTGAGTACAGGCAGAAAACTTCAAAGAAAAGAGAAATATATAAATATTTGAATACATACGTATATATATATACAGTATACAGTATATATATATATATATATGTATTAATGAATACATAAAGACAGGAGGGGGTGAAAGAAATAAAGTAAAGGGGGAGTTAGAGAGACGACAAAAAGGAAGAGAGAATTTAATGAATAAATTATATAATAACCTAATCAATATTGATTTTGCATTAAATTTTTAAAAAGAGAATAGGTAAAACCAGACAATTATTACAAAGTATTTAACTTATGACTCTAAAATAAAGAATAATGACATAAGAATATAATAGCGATATGATTAAAAAGGCAAAAACATCTATTTTATCCAAACTTACAGTAAGTTTATTGATCTATTCTATCGATATATCAATACAAATGGCAAATGAATCTTTATATTAATGTTTTCATAAAGAAGCATTAAATTAAAATCGAATTGTAAAAGTCTCTTTTATCCGTAATTTAAACTTTTTGCTTATTTAACATATTCAAAAACCTATTTTACAGTGGCTTTTAAAATATTTGCATTCGAGAATCTAATAAGAAACATAAATATATATATATGAAATAATAATGCTTGTATACTTGTATTTTAATAATAAATTTAATTTTAAGTATGCAATCTACTGCATTTATAGTGTATTTATCATTTACAAATGTTAGAGGAAAAGAAGATTATACACTTTCACTTGGATGACTAATATTTGGGAACAACGAATTTCCTCCTTCGAAATCTAGATTACGTAATATAATCTATTTTTAAAGCGAAAAGAATTTGTTTCAATAAAACTGTGAATAAACTATTTTACAAAAATCTATTCTGTTATACGTTCTATTTCTCATCCATTAGGCTTGTCGAATTGTATGCAAATGCGAAGCAAGTGAATAGTTACACAGTATGTAAATATATATATATATATATTTACTGTACATCATATACAATAGACTGTCCTATGCTGTACTACGCATAGTACATATGCTAACGATTGATACAGCTGACAAGATTCGACCTCTATATAACTTTTAAATAATTAATGATAAAGAAAATATTTTAGATCAACTTACTATGTTTTCTTCTTTGCACTCTTCTTGAAGATTAAAAAAATATCTTTTCATTTACCAAATTGCCAAAACAAGACAGTTGAAGAGAAAGTAAACATAAAATTACTGAGCAACAAGCGTGATCAAGAAGGAGCAAGAGAGAAAGCGAGTGAGTGAGTAAAAGGCAGAGACAGAAGGAGAGAGAGAGATGTATTTATATATATATATATATATATATACTAATATATATATACAGTTTATATATACACGCTTAGAGAAGTATATAGAGACTGAGAGACGCTGTCGTCTTCGTTGTTGGTAAAGGGATGATCTGAGCTGTTGGAAATTTTCAAGTAAATTGGTAAACGCCATGTGAAAAAGTATGGATTATAATACAGAGAAAATATATCTTGGTGGCAATCTATTATATATATTTTTTCTATATCTTTCCATCATTTTCTTTTAACGAGTTAAGAGTTTTATTAAAATACAAACATTGCTCTTTCAAATTTATATATAACTAAAATTACGGAATATTATACTCTAATATTATATAAATCGTATTTTAGTAATATTTTTAAAGAATTTCGTAGGATAGAACTGTAATATATCTATAAAAACTACAGTAAATAAATTTGTTTCCTAATGTAAATTACTTTTTTTTCCCCAAACAAAATTATAAAAATATTAGAAGCAAATTGCTTAGTTTCAAATTTAATTAGTACTTTTAACGCGTCTTAAAGTTACAAAAAAATGTATCAAATAACGAAAAATAGTCGGTATATTCTAAATAAATGCATACATATATGTTTCTATCTATATATAAATATGTTATATTGCACATAATAACTTTAATATTGTTAACTTAAGAATTACTAAATATCTTTAAAACAAGGATAATGACAAAACAAGTTCAATTATTTAGAAATTAAATTTATAAAGATTTACAGTTAAGCCATTTGGTTAAATAATACATAAAACTCTTTGTAACTGATTAATTAATGTATATAAAATTCTTTTATTATATTACATTACACTATATTGTGTAATATTTTGAATTAAGTATTTTATTATATTTATTCTTTTAGAATTCTTTTATATATTGCATATATACACTGTATTAATGTACATTATTTGCTCTTCTTAATAAACAAGCTCCTATAATCTTCTTACTTTAAGCCTACAGACGAAGATGACATATTTAGAAAGCATTTCTGCTTTGTTTCTCTTCCCCTCCCACAGTTATCTTAATTTTTCATACTTACTAATAAGTATAAATCTTTATACGTTCTTTTCAATCTATATTAATGCTAATTAATTGACACGCTCTTATTTCTTACGATGAATTATTGCTACTTTTTGTTATTTGATGTAGATCAAGAGAAAGAAATCGAAGAGCTTCGTTATTTATTCTTTAAGCATTTTTTCATACAGTAAATACACTTAATAGTTTATTATTATTCTAAGAATTCGTTAGTTGAATATATACAGTATATATAAGGCAGAAGAGAGGGAACAAAAGAAAGGAAGAGAAGATAGTAGGATTTAGCGAAAATTACAATGACCTTTATTAAAAAATTAAGCTCTTGTAAAGGTTACCTAAATCGCTTGTAATATTTGTATACTGAATTTAAAGTAGCAACAATGCTATTATTTAATGTGTTCTATTTAGAAAAAAGGAAAGAATTAACTTGAAAACCTTTCAAATATTAAAATTATAATGAAATTGTCTAATTTTTACATTATTTTCCATTTCAATTTCCTATAAATCATCTTTTTCCATTATTATGTCCATTGTTGTTTTACTTTTAGATCTTAATCTCTAATTTTCCTAATTCTTTTAATTGAACTTTTAGGATTCCAATATCAGCTTTAATTGAAGTTATTTTGTAGGATTTCGTGAATTAAAGACAGGATTTATTATAATTTTAGTTAAGAGAAAGTAGATACTTGTTGTTTTATTTTATTTGCAGTTTGTTATATACAGTACATTTGCAGTACAAGTATAATACTTGTATTATCATACAGTACATTTTAAATCAGTAAAATTAAATGTATTTTATACACTATATACAGAATATACAGTATAAACACTCGAATGGTGTGTTACTGGATTATCTAGGTAATAGTATATTTATATGTTTAAACCTAATTAACCATAAGTAAGATAGTAGTTTTACATTTAAATACTGTAATATCAGTTTTATTCTTAGAAATAAGATAGACATTGAATCTTCTTTATAACACAAGTAAAATAAATTATTTTTGTATTACTAAAGATTTAAACTTTAAAGTCGATTACATAACTAATGTACTGTAGGATTGTGTAGACAATTGATCTATAGATACGATATATCTATTTTAAATGCTATTTCTAGGTATATACTAGAATATATGCTTTACTGAAGAAAATAGACCCTAAATAACTGAAATCTACTTGTGAGAAGAATATGCTTTTATTTAAAAAGACGGTTGTTATAGGTAACGGCATAGAGTCTACAAGGTCGATGATGATTGTCCATTTTTTATCAAAATAAATAAGTTATTTAATTGGATAAATTATATTATTATCAATTTTTTTTTAAAAAAAAACAAGAATTTTCTGCTTATTCATTCTATGTTTTTTCATTTTGTCTTTTTTGTAGTTGTAATACTCTTCTTTTTAGGGATTCCCTCTTTTATGCAATAATTTTCTTCCCAAATAAATTTAAAGGCGTTTTATCTTTATCTTTAAGATTATCTTAGAAGATAAAAAGAATATTTTGTTATAAATTGAAAATGAAATAATCTCTTTCTCCGCCCCTCTCTCTCTCTCTCTCTCTCTCTCTCTCTCTCTTCCTAGTTGCTCTGTACGATTCTCACTGCATCATCAAACTATTAGTTTTAGTTGCTTTGAACATTTTACCATTTTCAAAAAAGTAGTGACATCTATATTATTGAAAGAAAAATTGAAAAAAAAAAACAAAGTGGCAAGGATAATTGTATTATAGAAATGAATTATTAATAAACGAAAGGTTTTTAGTTATTCTAGTCAGATATTTCTAAGTTGTACAGTATATATCCAACATATTTCATTATATAACATAGACATCTCTTTCTTGTGGGCTTAATATTTCTATTTCTTGTATTTGTATCTTCTATTTCAGTTTTGAATAGTTCATCGCATAATACTGTCAACAATCATTAAGACATTTTCCTGGAAACAATAAATATATATTTATTGAATGACAGGTTAAGCAAAACGCAAAGTGTTATCTATATATCATTGATCTTTAGACAGAACTGAATGCTTGCGTAAACCTCTCCCTGAGATATTTAGCTTATGTTTATGATTGGAATGAATTCTAAAAAATCAATCCAATATATGAATTTCTACCTGGAACTTATATAATCTAGAAAAAATTATTACTACGAAGCATATGTAATTATGATGCAATTTTATTTCCTTTTTCTTTTTTTAACTTTTATTACTTTCCTATTTGAACTATAGAAAAGGGAAAAGTTTGTAGTAGTTCTACATCTCTATTCATAAAATTCATGGTGCTCTATACCTTAATTTATTCTCCAAGGGGGAATATAAAGATTTTATAAAGAAGAATTTTATAGTAGCACTTATGAAGTGAGATAAAATATATAGGATCTCATCTTAAAAAGATTTTATATGAAGGGAATATAAGATTGTGTAATAATAAAATACCAATGAAAGATTTCTCATCTTTCGTTTATGCAGAATGTAAATAAGAGAGCCGGAAAATTTCTTCTCTGAAGAAATTTCATTCTAGTGACATCTATTGTTTATCCTCAAAAACATTTTTTTAAACATAGCTAAGCAAGAAGATATACACTCTATATATATATATATATATATATATGCATACACTATATAGGATATTTAGAAAATTGTTATCATTCTCTCTCAAAGTGAATACTTAGAATAAAAACTTAAGGGTTAAAAGTTAATGGCAAATTATAACAGATGAAAAATTTTATACAAGTAACAAGAGATGAAAATTATAGCCAAACTATAAATTCTACGTAATCTTTAATTAACTTTATTATACGTATTACTATATTGTATTAGTAATAATTGGATAATTCACAGAAAGTAAAAAACAAGAAACAGAGGAATAAATACAAATCGTTAAAGGGAATCGTTCTTTGTGCGATATGAAGCGTTACATTTTACATGACATATACTTCTTTTCCATTAAAGACAATACGAAATGGTCCGAAAATTCCAGATTTTTTTTAATCGATTACATATGTATTATATAAAATGTTATAACAGATTTATCAAAAATAAATTATATTATATATACAAAAATTATTTAACGATAAATTACAAATTTCCATATAAGAAGGTATGAATATTTAAAGAATTTATGAAATTTTCTCACTAAAATTAGAGAAATACGCACAAGAATGAAATAATAATTATTGGAATCTTATTTGAATATTGAAAGAGATATTAAATTGATTTTATTGAAAACATTCTTAGTTGAGTTTCGACGTATAATCGTCCAATTGGGATTTTGAGTCAAAAAAAGCTTCTCTTCCTAAAATATACTTATGGCCATATGAATAAGAATTTTGTTCTATTTTTTTTAGCTAGATAAATAAATACCTTAGAGGTTTTTACTTTCTCTCTCTCTCTCTCTCTCTACATCTCAGTCTCTGTCTGCTTGTCTCTCTTTCCCTTATTCATTCTTATTTTTATATAGACAAATCTTTCTGTGTTTTCTTCATGCTAACGAATTATCAAGTAAAATCTATACGCTTACACATAGGATTGTAATGGGAAGACACAACAATCTATTCTTCGAGAAGATAGTTAATTTTTGATTTGTTGTATAAGAGCTAGAAAGAAATAATTCATAGAAATCGAAGCTTGCATTATTTAACTGAATGAAATAAACTCTAGTGAAAGGTTATGGTACTATTAAACGAAATAGAAAGCAAATACTTGCCATTACTGACTTGTTGTGGAAAATGATTTTTTACTATGTAGAACATTGTACTATATATGTGATGAGCTTCACTTCACTTATAAGTTTACATTTTCCCCTTTATTTACATTCATAACAAGTAAACACGAAAAGACTATCAAATAGGTCAACGAATAAAATATTAAAATAAACCATTGCTAAATGATATACAAAGTAGCAAAGTTGACCCTGTTTCTGCTTTTGTACATTTATATGACGTTGTATTATCTAAGGGTGGCGAAGATCCTTTTGAGGGAAATAGCCGTAGTAATCAATTTCTGCATAAGTAAAATTTGGTAGAATATTCTATTGAATAACTGTGAAACAAACTATTTATAGATTTTTAAGATGTAGAGGATAGTATTTTACCTTGATAATACATGCTATTGTTATGATTATATATTATATATTATATAAAATTGAATAATTACTCTCTGCTTTATACCGTCATCCACATCGTGCCACAACTAAAGTCTCAATAACTTTTCAACCAGGGCTTGTAAGTTAAGAAAGTTTTTAGTGACAGTACATAAATCAATTCACTTTCTATTAATGATAGAAATATAGGCCTACAGTGTACTGTTTTAAAAATACAGTAATGCGGCGAGAATTTTTCGGGTGACCCTAATATATAGTAAACTATACATACTATTCCCTATGTATTTGTTTTAAAATTTATTTTATTTTATGGAAATTCATAAAATATCATGAGAATAGATTTTATTATGATCACTATGACGGCAATTTCCCAGCAACAGAATCTTCCCTGGACAGTTGGGAAACCTTTCTATATTTCCTATAGTATTTTTTTACTCTCTTTAGATCTAGCATACTGTCCGTATCCTCCATATTTGATCCTCTAACAACACCAAATATATATTTGCCACTATTCATATGCGGTTATTCCTACACTCTACTGTAATGAAAATGGATATTTTTCCAAGCATAATGAAAATAAGAAGAAAGGAAGAATCTATTGCAAAATATTAGAATATGGTGTATATTTTAATTATATTAGTATTTACTTAATTATGTCAAAGAACCTTTTCAACACTATTCTTGAATATTTGATAGTTTGTAATAATATCAAGATATTAACTTTTATGTGGGAATAAAAGAATTGCCAAAGATATAAAGAAAACAATAAAAATTAGAGCAAATAATCTATCTAAAACCATTGAAATGTTCCTCCATCTAAAATTAATGAACTTTTTATCTAAATCAGTCAAATTTTCAATAGTTTCCATTTCCAAGTCGTTGGACTTTCGATCATCATTACTTGTTCTACTTTTATTAAAGGATGCGTGCATTTGATTACGTAACATCAATACTCTTGATACTTTATAGACAAAGACCTATAATTTTTAAACGAATAGAAGTTAAAAATGGATTTATAAATATTGTTTAACAAAACCTTTATCATCCACGACGGAACGTCTTCGCCAGAGTCTCCCCGTCGACTAACAGATACGGAGATTATTGACGATATCAATATTCCTATAACCAACGCTATATTCGATATATAAAATAATCCCAGTTTCGGTATAGAAGCCGCTGATGGAGGAGCCGATTCGATCAGAATTAAGAGAAGTACAATATAACTAGCGAAGACACTCATACCTTATAGAGAATAGAAACAACGCAAATAAGTAAGATAAGATTTTTGATATGTAAGTATAGTAGAAGCGATGTAGTACCTAATGAATGTCTATCAGCTCTATCGGGAGGGAGGAGGAAGATGCACAGAGCTAAAGATGAGAGGCAAACAGAGGGTAACGTCAGCAAAATCATTTTGAATTTATTTCTTCTTCTTAAAGCTAAAGAAAATTTGATTGCTGGCCTTTTTGAAAATTTTATCATAACTCCCTTGCTTTTTGCTCTTATAACGAGTTCTGTGCTATTCGATATAATTTCCCATTCCTGCGATTCCTTATAAGCGCCTAAATAAGTATCTAAGTCGAACGCCGAACTGTTTTTATACTTGTAAACATTTAGATCTAACTTCTTCTTTGAAATCGACATCGATTGAAACCACATATCACAGTCGTGTTTGTCAAATGGATAGTTTGTAACGTCAATTAGACAAGCACTTTCATACGACACGTGAGGAGACCAAAATACTGAACCGGAACTTCTCACTTGTAAATCAGCATTTCGAATATTTTTTTCCGTTTCATCTCTAAAAATTTAAATACCAATATATAATTGAATTGAATGGCTTATTCTCTTAGGAAAATTAAACTATTAGCATAATATATCTCTAATAAAGCTCAAATATTTCACCAGTAACTAATTATCTACAAAAAAAATTAGATCTAACATAAAAAGAAACGCAAGTATTCATCAATCGATGAAATTCTAAACGCGAAGGAATCGCTTATATTTGTATAATTAATAAACTATATAGTTAATAGTCTACAATGAATATATTTACATCCCATTTTTTTCATAGTTTACCATAAAAATACCTTTAGATCTTAACAAGCACATTTATTACTTACGTATTTACAAGAACAATATCGGGCAGCCATACTTGACTATAAGGTACCGTTAACGACGTTATATTCTTATATGCGGTAGGATTCCATTTTAGCGACTCGTCATACCATTTCTTTAAATAAATTCAAGTAAATAATAGTATATTTTTACAAAATTAACATATAAATCTTACAACTCTTAGCCATACGCTAGTTTTCATTTTCTGATGCTTTTCATCCAATTCAACTTTCATAAGTCTTATACCAAAAAACACTTTAATAGGCTTTGAAGAATCATTTATAGGCCTAGAAAATCTTCTTGTACTTCTTGTATAATTCGCGAATAAATCGTTTAAAAGCTTAGCTTCAACGTTCAATAGATTACTAGTAGAATAATATTCCCTACAGAAATGTATTTCTTAATTAGTAATGTAGCATTGAAAAAATGTTTTGAATCTCTTCTTACCGAGAAGATTGAACAACTTTAGTTTTAAATGAGCAAAGATAAGAAATGTATATAATAGGAAGAAGTATGAAGCGATTTTGTTGCATATTTCTCTCTCTTTGCAGTATCAGACAGGTGCTCTGCAAAGAAATCTTTAGATCATTTTATTACGGATAGTAAATCTTCTCACTTCTTACAAATGTACTAATAACATAGATTTTTTGTTCTATTTCAAATAAGATGAACTATATGCTAATATACATGACTCAGGAATTGAAGATAAAAATGTTATTCCATCAATGCATATATACTGTATATTATATTGTATTTGTGTGGTCATACTTATTTTAAAATGTCATAAATTCATATTAAGGATAGTTTGATAAGATAAGATGAAATATTTAAATAGTTTTTACTTACTTGATAATTTTTCCTCTATAGTTTCAAAGTTATTGATTAATAAAGGCTACACTATATATATATACTAATATATATATATTTGAATAGCTCTTATTTTATAGATGGGTATAAGGCTACAACAAAGCTACTAATTTTGTAAAAACACAAAAAAAAGAGAAATCTTTTCACTCTGATATACAGGGAAAGTATAGCGCCACCTAGTTTAAATATTTTGGTTACTCTAAATTGGGATTTTTAAAATGAGATGCATCTTTACCTCATACACGCCTCTCCCACCCCTCAGAGTTAAGGAATAGAATAGATTAAATGTACAGAAAATTCCGATTAGCTTATTTAAATATTCATGAGTAGAAAGAGGATATAATCGAACGAAAATTTACATTTTTTTATATAAATATGCAAAATAAGTATTATTGAAAAAATAATGGAATATATAAATGTAGAGAATTATTTTAAAATGTATATTTCATATTGAGAATACAAAATAGATTTATATTGTTTTTATTTAAAGTGTCAATAATATCTGAGATTAATATCAAAACTAATCGATAATATTAGCATACAAACTGGGTTACAAACTAATAAAATTTTATATTTTACTGAAACACTATCGTTTGTAAAGTTTTATCTTTTTTGTAAGTTTTGTCTCCATTAAAAATGAAATAAATACAAAGTAAACATTACAAATATACATTTATATTTCATTAATTTTCATTAAATTCGTTTGTAAATGCATTTGTGAATTTCCTATCAAGTTATTATTTTGATTAGTATGTCTTTTTAATGATTGTTTATGAAAAAAATATGTAAATCTCCATATTAGATGTAAAAAACACGAATTATGATATAAGAGCAAAAGGACATCCTCCTATATATTTATTATACACCCTTGAATGAAAATATTGATAATGAATGATTATTCTCCAGACATAGTTCGGACAATTTCATTGATTGCACTAAACAAAAACAACTACATCTGACTGGAAATGGCGCGATGACGTAAATGTTGAATATTTATTAATTACATTACTGTATAATTGTAAAATTTGAATACATATATACTGTATACTGTAGATTGTATAAAAAGCTTATTTGTTTAATATTAGTATAAATATTAATCCTATATTTCTAAAACAGTGATTCTACTTTAACTCATTCGATCCTATAATTTCATTCATAATTTTGTGACGTTTGCTATGATATAGTTGGTAGCTCAATAACTAGGCATATAACTCTTACATTTGTATTCTTTGTTTATATTTCATCAATTGTTTAACCCATCTTGTTTTGTATTCATCAAAGAGAAATAAAAGTAAAGTCCAATGGTAGATTAATAAAAATTGACCACCGATAAAGATTTCTTTTAGCGTTTATGAATTCTTAAAATATTTTCAATCACTCATGATTGAAAACATATGTTTTTGTTTTACTTTCCTTTCGTGGAATAAAGAAAAAATAATATAAATGTACTGTTTATAGGCAGGAACAAAGAGTTAAGATAAAAAAAGACTACAAAGGCAATTAATAGGCAAATTATAAATGTCTTGAAGTGAATAAAATTATATAGTAAAAACTTTGAAGTATTATCATTCGGATTTCGCAATTATCCTTCAATGTCACAATATGTTTTAGATATTGATCTGTAACAATGGCATGACTAAATCGAATGACATACTTTTTTATATGTAGAATAATTCCAATAATCAAGTATAATGAATTATTAATGATAAATATTGAGACTATTCTATCAATCACTTACCACCTAATCTTTCCCCAGTAAATCTACTTTTCTCTCTCATTCCTTTTAACAAGCTCCTGCAATGATAACGAAATATTGATGATATGAAGAAAAATTTCTCAATTAAAATCTTTTTACTTCTTATACAATTAAGAATTTGCTTTTTTTTAGTGTCAACAAAAACAGCTTATATATCAATTGTTTCCATGAAAAGAGATGTTAACTTTTATAAAAGTTTTCAAGTTCGAGGTCGAATTGATTGTATTTCAAACTGTTTAAGTGATAATACTTGTAAAAATTCTAATTATTATAAATCATCAAAAATATGTCAATTGATAAATTCAACAAGAAATTTAACTGACGATGTAAATTGTGAATATTTAACGGAAATTCAACAATTCGAAGAAGGTAATTTTTAATTTTTCTAAAGTATTCATATTTTACCAATCTGTTTAACAATGTATTTAATATTTCGAATTATAAAAGAATTGGAAACAACAACAACAACAACAACAACAACAGGTAATATAATAGAATATTGAAATAAATGATTAAAATATATAAATCATATTTTTTCCCAAAAATTTATCTATATAATGAAAAGAACTTACTTCAACAGAGATTACGACCAGTACTGGTAAATACATTGTTTAAAGCTATTCTATTCTTATTCTATTCATTGATAAAATATTTTACAATTATAATAAAGAAAATCCAACAACAACAACAACTGAAAGTACAACAACTGAAAATCCAACTACAACTGAGAAAGAAACGTCTACTTTAACAAGTAAATACATAAATTATTATATAATATAACTTTTTGCTGTATCTTCACATTGTTTTATAATAAAAAAGCTACAATAAAATATACTACAAGCACTACTGCTACAACTAATATGCCTACCACAACCACTGATGTTCCTAGTAAGTTTTTAGTATATATTGTAATTATCTAACAAAATTAATAAATACATTAATACTTTTTATAAAAAGCTACATATCAAGTTCCGGAAGGTAATATTAAATATAATATATGGAAACATACTTATTTCATCTTGTAGATTTCAATGGCAACCCGTTAATATCCAGAGCCGTTTCAACACCAAATGAAGGCACTTTAATCATTCTTAGACCAGATATTAAATTTCAAAATACTGGAAAGATATTAAAAGTTTCTTACTATCTTTCTCAATATTCACCTGACACAGAAGAAATGTACATTTTTATATTAGAAAGTGATTATATACCAAGATCTAACGAAAATTCTTATAAGGCTGTCAAAGAACAACGATGTATAGCAAATAAAGTTGGTGTTAACGAATGTTCATTAACTCATTTTAATTATGAAATTAATGATGTTATTGGCGTTGGCTTTGTTGAGAAATCTGGTCTAACTTATGACATTGAAACTTGCGTAAACGGAGGTTACGATAGACCTAAGATTTTTGAATCTTTAACAAGTCCCTCTGGTGTTTTATATACTGAAACTCAATTCACTCTACTCAGCGAGTGTCGGACTTATAGTATTCAATTTGAATTTCAGTACGACTGATGAACTAATAATAAATATATATATATATATATATATATATATATACAGTCCCGATAAAAAGTCTCGGCCAGGGTTGTTCTCAGAGTGGAAAAAGTGAATTATTTAACTAACAGGACTTGCTTAATTATCTTTTTTTGTTTAGAATGAAGGATAAGACATATATACAACCGAATTTATAAATAGAATTCATTAAAAAATTTTTCCTGCTTTACAGTATTTTTTATTTAAAAATTTTCAAAAACAAGGAGGAGAAAAAATTTCGGCCATGTTCCCTGTTCCTGCCCAAAAAATAGATAATTATCAGACAAAAACCCCATTAATATTTTTCTATGACATTTCCTGAGTAGTGTTACACAATCAGAGAACAACAGAACAATAAAAAATTAAAAAATGGGCAAGATAAGTCTTGAAATGAGACAGAAAATTGTACAATTAAATAAAAGAGGGCTAAGCCAGGTCAAAATATCGAAAGAGCTAAATATTCCTCGTACAAGTGTGAGATACAACCTAAAAAAGGCAAAAGAATGTTCTTCAATGGAAGACAAACCAAGATCTGGTCGTCCAAGAAAGATATGCAAATCAGATAAGAGGAATCTTATTATAATTCAAAAAAAAAACCCATTTTTTTCTGCCAGACAGGCATACAATGAGTGGAGTATGGCAGGTAAGGTAAGTTTATCTTCTGCTAAGAAGATCCTTTATAATTATGGGCTAAAGAGCTATGTGGCAAAGGTGAAACCATTGACTAACTCAGGTAACCGAAAGAAGAGAATTCTCTTTGCCAAAAAAATTCTTAAAAAAACTGAGGAGGAGATAGAAAGCTACATATTTTCGGATGAATCAACTTTGGAGCTGTACCCAAAGCAAAAGACAAGAGTCAGATGCAAAACAGGAGATAAACATCTACCACAATATTGCAGAAAGAGCTTTAAAGCAAAGAACTGCAAGGTAATGATTTGGGGAGCTATAAAATGTGATGGTTCCAGAGCTCTTGCATTTTGTGACGAATCCATGGATTCACAGCAATACATAGAGATTCTAAAAGATCATCTATTGCCTATATACACTAGACAAAACACATTTCAGCAGGATGGGGCAAGATGCCATACCTCGAAAATTTCTAAAACATTCCTCAGAAAAAATAAAATAAAATTTATAAAAGATTGGCCTGCCCAAAGTCCTGATATCAATATAATAGAAAACCTTTGGGCAGTGCTTAAAAAGAGGGTCTATGAAAAATTACCCAAAAATTTGAATGATTTGAAGATACTTATAAAAGATGAATTTTTTTCCATTTCTGGGGACTACATAAAAAATCTATACAGATCAATCAAAAAAAGGTGTCGACTAGTTATCCAAAAAAAAGGTTATGCAATAAACTATTAGTTTAAAATTGACATTTGATAAGTTTTTTGGAAGCATGGCCGAAATTTTTTCTCCTCCTTGTTTTTGAAAATTTTTAAATAAAAAATACTGTAAAGCAGGAAAAATTTTTTAATGAATTCTATTTATAAATTCGGTTGTATAAATGTCTTATCCTTCATTCTAAACAAAAAAAGATAATTAAGCAAGTCCTGTTAGTTAAATAATTCACTTTTTCCACTCTGAGAACAACCCTGGCCGAGACTTTTTATCGGGACTGTATATACACATATTATAAATCTGTTTATGAAACACTGTACTAATAAAGTTGACATAAATATGTATCTAATATGCGCATATTCAATTATTTTTTCTAATTTTATCAACTCTGCACGCCATCTATCGTCCTATAAAAAACTCTACAAGAATGAATGTAATAATTAGGATTAGAATGATCATTTTTAGTTCATAAATAACGTGATAATATACTATGCCTATATTTACAGATAAATACAAAACACTCTCTTCCTATTTGTAATCTTGATTAACTAATACAAAAGTGCTTCGTTTGTCAGGGTTACCTACAAGACGTAATTCTTTCCAAGAAATTCTAGCTAAAGGAGCCTCTAAGATAAAATAAATATAAAGAGAGTGAGAGAGAGAGAGAGAGAGAGAGAGAGAGAGAGAGAGAGAGTAGTAGTAGTTGATTATATCTTACGAGCATTAAAAAAAAATAATACTTAGAAAAAGCTACGAAAGCAAAAAAAGACAATGATGGATTGATTGAAAGAAAAAAAAAGAAAAAGGAAAAATATCTCTTCTTTTCTCCTCCTTTCTCTTTTTAACTAATATCAATCTATCCCTTTCTATTCCTTTAGAATGCGTGATTTAGGAAGGGTAAACAAAATGAAAATAACAATGAAGAGTTCAATTTATAAAGTTATCCCTAGAGATTTAAGATCATCAATTGAATCATTCTCCTTTGTTGTAAAAAAAAAGGTTCTACTCAGGGAACGGATTATTATTTTTGGAGAATTTTTCTCCATCTAAATAAACTTTTACGATATCCGATTGATGGCGCTAAATGTTTCTTGATGAAAGAGCAATATTCCTAATGAAAGACTTGATGTAACAATAGTTGATTTTCATTGTAAAAATAGAAAAAGTAAGAAGGGAAAGAGAATATAGTATTCTATTATACTTCAGAGCTTCACTCTTCTATTCTCCTTTTTTAAAACATATTTCCTAATACAAATTCATTTTGCCAAGAATGACAATTAGTTGCCTAAAGCATCATTTATTTTTAAAACATATAAAAAGAAGCCATTAATATTTTTTATTGTCAGTATTACTATAAAAAATTTGAGTTTGAAAGTAGCAGGAAAATATATATATTTGTTTTCTTATTGGAAGACATTGATAAAATCTTTCAAGTGTTATACAAGAGAGAAAGAGAGAGAGAGAGAGAGATGAAAGTTGAAAAAATCTAGCAATAGAAGAATTAGTTTTAAGCCTCGTAAGTAACATTCATATCAGCAGCCCTATTCTCGAAACATTGATAATCTTTTATTTCTCTCCGTCCATATTTTCCAGAATGAAATATCAAGTATTTATCAGTAATCGGATATTCATATTCATAGTGACATTTCCACGGATTACTGAAAATATTAGAAAATATCGTTTAAAGCTACATTTTCTAAATATACAACTGTATAAATATCAAGAGAAGCCTGGACGCTTAAATTAAACTTATATAATAATACTTTTAGTAAGGTAGGTACTTAAACTTATCTCATTTTATCATAAAAAATTCATAACCAATATAAACTATTTTTATATAGATAAATATATCCACAGATGTTTGTCTAATAGCTAAAAAGTGTGATAATCTCTGATTAATGTATATCATTTCTTAATTGTACGACAAACATAAGGTAGATATATTAATTGTAATTGTAAAAAAGTCCTATGTTTACCTCAAATCTGACTTCTTCTTGGCTTTCTGATACTTATAATACAAATATAGTTTGTAAATTACTACTAATAATATTATCAATAGCACCAATCCCCCACAACCAAGTCCTATAATGAGACCTAAGTTCTTTGCCTTTTCACTATTGCTTACTTGATCTGAAGAGGTGATGAATCATGAATTTATTAGCTTTTTTATAATAGGAAAGCGATGGCTGTCGAAAGGAAAAAAAATGATAAAGAGAGAAAGCCTGAAGGGATAGACGAAGAAGAGAATATATAGAAAAAGAGTGATAGATAGAGGAGAAAGAAGGGTGGAGAAAGAGGGAAAGAGAGAAGGAGACAAATGAGTAAAGGAGACCTTGGCAATTCTGCTCGTCATTTGCAATTCGACCACATTGATTGATACCATCACAACGTAAATCGTTGCTAATACATATTCCAGACTCACACGCAAGTTGATTTGCTGAGCACGGAACTGCAAATAAAAGGTTGAATGAATTCTATTACAGATTTACTTCTTTTCCTTAAACGTAGTAATAAAGTTTATATACTGTGTATGTATATATTTAAAAAATGCACTCTTACCAGTCGTATAAGCTACTGCAACAATTTCAAAGCCTCTAAAATCAGCTGTTTTATCAGTGACAAAATTAAAAACAGCAATATTAGAAGAATTAGTTGTAAAGTTAAGGCTATCAGTTGAAATTTCACCACAAAGAGGTCCTTTCGTAATACTTTGATCATTCTGATGGAGAAAAGAAAGAAGTGAAAAAAAAAGACTGATAAAGTTTTATATGAGACTCCATGCCAATGCATATTCACTATTATGAATAAATTGATTGTATTTTAGGTTATATAAGAAAGCTTCTCCGTTGTTGAAACTACAACTACATTATCTTTATTATTATTTTTTCCCTAGAAATATAATAGTGAAATTGGGTTTTAGTAAAGGTAATAGGGTTCATAAACCCGATCTAAAAATAGTACCTTATTTACACTTTTTAATGCAAGAGATATTGAAAATATGAAACGTCTATATTTATGGTAGAAGAGAAAAAGCATTAAGTGAAAGGACTATTTTAACACAGTTACTATGATCTTACAATTAAGAGTTATTATCTCCCAGATCACAAACAATAACAAGGAAAATGGAATTTTAGATTACAAACAAATGAAGATTTAAACCAAACTGGACAGCGCAAGAAGTTTTACAAAATTGTACTGTGCCTATTCAGATATCATTGTCTGATGTCAAAAAGGTTTTACGTAAATACAAGTTGAAATGGAAGAGTTGAAAAACAGGCCCTTCTAAAATCCAACTCTAAAAAGGAGGCAAATTAACTAACTTTTACAGTTTTTCAACCAAGACTTCACGTACAGATTTAATATGATGATAAGGCAAATCAAAATTATATAACGCCAAATAATCACCTAATAAAACCTATTTTCTTTGTACTAATTACTTATTATCGTGACTGTATATGCTAATATGTATATATATTTTAAATCTCCAGTGTAAATAATAATAGTAGTATTTTAGACATAAGCTTATCATTACTTTGCAATAGTAAATAAATTTTTAGTAGCACAAACTATATTTTACAGCCTTTATTAGTTTGTATCTCGAAAGTTTAAATCACCATCACTGGGTAAGTATCTATCAGAAATGATAATTCAGTTTCGGTACTTTGATATTTACCTCTTTTATATCAACATAATCAACGCACTTATTTTCAACTTTCTGCTCTAAAAGAAATCTGTTAAAGAAGAACATTAGCTTTTTACCAGTTGACACTTCTATTGTCAATTTGCACGAAATATCATCTGGGTATGTCAATTCAGAACTTGATTCTATCCTTATAGATTCCTTATTACGTATAAATTTATTCGTGCAGCTTTCCTCATTATTCAAGTATACTGTTTATAAAAAAAAATAAAGAGCAATATCTATATATAATAAAATCTTATTGATGAAGATTCATCAAATACAATAATCTATCTTTTTGCTCTGAAATGATAAAGAAATTGACAAACTTGTTTCTGTAGCCGAAAGAATCGTTTTAACCAATGAAATAAGTATAAATAATCTTGCAGACATTTTCTTTTTCTTTTATGCTTCAACTGTTAAACTGCTGAAGTCAATCGTATACACGTTTCTAAGCGCAGTATAAACAGATCAATATATTATTGCTAATACGGTTTTATAGAATAGGAATTTGAAAGAAATTTGATATATTTCAGTTTTAAAATCATTTAGCAAAAGAAAAATGTACTTTTTAGGTATTTCGTGAACAATTATGAATAAATAGATATAATTTAAGCAGTATTATGTATTTTCACTTTATGCATATTCTTCAAATGATCGTCGACTGCTTATTTCATGTAATTATGATTAACCAATCACTATTCATCTTTTAACTCCCATTGAAGATGTAGTTCGACTGAAATCGTTACCAGATTGTTCAGAACGACTTTCAGCCTCTTCAATCATTCCTTTACTCTGTGGTTTTTTTTAAAACACAAATTAATGGCCAGTTATTAAGTTTACAATTAGGATCGATTAATTTTTTTCCTCTCTCTCCCTGTTTTGTTTAAGAATAGTAGAAAGGAAAAAAAGTACATTAGCTTACCCAAACAAAAAACGTTGCCGCTGCACTGCTCACGTCTCTAACTTGATTTAATTCCAGATTTTTTATGTAATCTCTAGCCCTTCTACAGTCTGGATAGGAAAAATTCTCAACATTCGCCTCTTGAACCCTTCGTTTTAAAGATAGCTTTCCAGTTTTTCCCATTAATGCGACGATATTTCCCCATTTCTGGAATGAATGATCATAACGTTAAGAGAGCAGACTATCCTATAATATGTACATTTTCTTTTTTTTACAATATATAATTAATAAGTGTATATTATGTTTAAAATACCTTAAGGATACTCTCCTTTTCACCTAGTAATAGGAAAGTAGCAATCATTGATAAATGAGCTGGCTCAGGAGGAGAATTATAACTCTTTAATTCGGCTATTGTCTTTTGATTTAAAGTCATTACGGCGTGCCTTAGCTTTTCTAATTTTTCTAGTTGACCTTCAATTCTTTGTGCCATTTTAATTTGAAGGTTTAATTTTTTTGATACGGAAGACCCTTGAGCCTTTTTAATAATTAATTTCAACTTCGATAAATCTCTTTTACCCATTGCATAGGACAATTCTAATTAAGATAATAAAAAAATAATCAATTTGTCAATATACTGTTTAATTCAATTAGAATAAAAGCTAACCTTCAGTTATTGTTAAATAATCAAAAAGCTGCTGTGCTTTGTTCAATAAACCTAATTTATCAGTAACTTTATGTTGGCGAAAATTCTTCATTGCTGTAGAAATTTGATGAGGATCTTCCTTATTCATAGCTTGTTTCAACAGTTCACGCCACTTAGCATGTTCTCTTTCTGTTTTAAATTAAAAAAGATTTAAATTAAAAGGAAAAGGTAAAGATTAATCTATAAACCTATAGCTTTTATTTGTTCCATTCTTTTCCTCTGTTCTTCTTCTAATGCTTTTTGTTCTTCTGTTTTCTCGGCCACTTCTGTTTTATTCTCTGTTAAAGAAAAAAGATGAAAAAGTAAGAACAGAAGATGGAAACACTCTTCGAATAAGGATCATTGAGTTCAAAATATAGTATACCTGTTGATTCTTCTTCTTCATTTCCTTTAGGCTCTTTTGATTCAATTACCTGTTTTTTACTTTCATATACACCAGGTAGGACTTTTTCTGTTTCTTTTTCACTAGTTTCGCCTTCTTCAGCTTCCTGTATCGGATTAAGTTCATCCGGATATGGATCGCGTTTCCAAAACTGATAAGTACAGATTTGTTGAAGACGTTTAATTCCGTCGCCTTTGTAAACATCCATTTTATATTCTCCATTTTCTGGAAATTCTAAATGGAATAAATTATTTTTTCCATTTAACTGAACAGAAAAGTTTTCATTGTCAAATCCTTGAGCGTTTTTTCTCTAAAAAGGGGGAAAAAGAGCAAATAAAAAGGGTTGAAAAGTTGAATGACAAGTTTAAATTTATCGATAAATGCAAATGAAAAGGCAAAAAAAAAATATTGGGACAGAATAAGAAATGTTGGAAAAAAGCTATTACCTGAAATTCCGCATATACAGGAACCCTATTAGCAGGAAGACAAATGTCTAAAGTGTCTTTGAAAATTTCGCTTGAGAATATGGGTATACTCTGATTTAATGGCAAAGAACCTTTGCTACTCTCGTTGTCAATAAGGTAGGTATGGATATGATAGAGTTTGTTACCAGTACTCTTTTTCTTTGCAAAAACATTCAAAGCAAACTCTCCTTTTCCAGGTAGATCAATGTCGAACGTGGTAATTTTGCCTGAATTATCTATTCTCTTATCTATCAAGTTAAACAAATCTCCTGGTTGATAGTTATTTGAAGTTAATTCAGCAAAAATTTCAAGTTCTTCGTCATTTACTTGAAAGTCTACAGACAGCTTACCATCGGTTGGTTTAACAATAGGCGAATTGTCTAGGGCGACTACACCAAGCTTAGAAGCTAGATGAGATTTACCAACGGCACCTTCGTGCATTTTAGGGAAAGCTTCACATTCTTCATCTGCTTTCAAACATTTAATAAGATAATTACACACGTTTGGTAAGTCTCCTTCTGATCCTTCTCCATCTGCGAAAAGTTTTAGAGCATAATCTCCTCCTGTAGGTAATCTCAAACTAACAATCATTTCATCTCCTTCAGTTCTTAAAAGTGTATGTTTTGAAAGTAGCAATTCGTCCAGGGAATTTGACCTCAGATTTTGAAGTACAGATAACGATTTAGCCAAATTAAATCTTAATTCTACCTTTCCGTCGGACGTTTCTATAATAGGAGATTGGTGGCTCTTCGCTTCAATCCCTTTTTCTTTCGCTTCAATTCCTATTCCCCAGCCAATTTCCGGAATATCCGGAAGAGGTTCGACCTTAAGAGGTTTGTCATTAATAATCAAATAACTGCATGCTAAGTCGTATCCTTCGTGCCGAGATTTATCAGTACCGAAAATGTCCAGCTTGAAAGTTCCTGTACGAAGTTCAAATAATATTTAGTATGGCTTTTCTTCCACAAAGTCCTCATCGCGTGTAAATCTTTTTTCAGGTGATAGAATACAATTTAATAATTATCTGAACTATCCAAACAATCTCTTTTATACATAAACCAATAGACTAATTAAGTTGTAAATCAATAATTTTTATGTTAATGGTAAAATCGTTACTGAATTAGGACGAAACCGGAAATAATGAAGTTGTTAAACCTACCTTTTATTGGAAACTTTATTTGAAATATTCTTTTGTTCTTTACTTTACTATAAAAAATAAAATTTTCAAGATTCTGAAATTCGTCATTTTCGTTATCATCAGCTTTGCGATAGAGAAGGAACTTGAAATTAATGTTCTTCTCCGCATGGTCACTATCCTCCACATAGAAGGTTATATTAATATCCCCTGTTTTTGATCTTATAACCCTATTTGTTGTTTCATTTGTCATATTTAGCTCGAAATATCTTTCTCTAACGTAGAATGTTTCGGCGAATTGAGTTTCTGTGATTGGCTTGCTCAGCAGTTGCCATTGTGGAATGTCGGGAAGATGAGTATATACTAATTTTTCGGGATCAGTTATAAAGAAAAATTCATTGACCCTATGAAAGGTTTCCGGTTCTTTGTCTGCCTCCTCTTCATCAATTTCGTTATCCTCATTTTCCTTAATTAATGTCCACGACTTATTCGTCTTTCCAATGACACAAGTAGACGCCCAAAGAATGTCGATTAGACGCCATTCATCGTTGATAAGAACCGCGTTCCATTGGGCCGTCAGAAGTCTGCGATTGATAGGCATATCCTCCAACTGGTAAGCCGCGCTCTTGTTTATTCCATTAATTATTTTACATGAGATGTTCAGAGCTCTATATAAAAATTAAATTTTAATTGAATATTTTTTGAATAAATACCGTAACATTTATTAATAACATGTATAAAGATATTTAAGCCTACATGTACGCTATTCTTTCAAGCTGGATAAATAGTTAAGAATTTTGACATTTAGGTTGTGTAAATTTAAGAAATAATGGTTTTATACAGTATGAAATAATGAAAAGGATTAAATTTGAAGAGAAGAGAACATGATCTAAACTTTAATCATTGAATAAATCATTAAAAAATAGGTGAAACACCTGACTTTTTCTCATTTTTTCCCCTCTAGCTTTCTATTTACTTTGCATACGAACTTACGATATTTTAAGATAACCTTATGTCACTATAAGATAAGGACATTAGTATAAACTAAAAACTTTATATTTTTATTTGACCTATTTCTAAATCTTTTCTTTAGCATACTTCCTTTTTTGTTTTCTTAAGTTTTTCTTTGTATAGAAACTTTTGTCCTTGTGACATATTCAAGAATTAACATTTACAATGAGTATATTTAATCTTAATTTAACTTTAAAAAAGACTCAATTGTATTTTAATCTCTCTTTCTCTCTCTCCGTCTCTTTATTTCTCTTTATCTCTTATTAGAAAGGCAAATAACTAAATTTTTAGTCTACGTAATTCAATTTCTAATAGCTTTAGATTATAATCAGCTAAATACTCTATCTTCGATGCAAATAAATGAATTTCATTGTAAATAATTTTACTAACACAGAGAAAAAAGAGAGAGGAAAAATAAGAGATGATTGAAAGAAATAGAGTAAAAGAGAGAGAATGGGAAGAGAGTGAGAAAAATAGAGACAAAAAGAGGGAACAACGAAAGGAAATAAAAGGATTTGATAAATTGGATTTCGAAATTTTGACAGTAGCTCCTACTACTTTTACTATCTTTGTTGCAGTATCTCATCATTTACGGATAGATGTAAATAAATATTCGTAGGGTAAACTAGATAAGACAAGAAAAGATGATAAAATAGATAAAAAGACTTTACTAATGAAGAAAATCAAGCAATTAAATAGTCATCAATCTTTGTAGAAAATTATTCAGTACAACTTTATCTCTGTTCTCCTATCATTCTTTTTTCCTATTCGTCACTCTAGTCAGTTCATACTCCTCTTTCTCTCTCTCTCCTTCTCTCTCTCTTACAAAAATATGCAGTAGCAGCTTTACTCTTCTTCTGGCTATTCCCTTACCCTTAACCCCATTTAGTTGCTGTAAATGTTTACCACCGCTATTCATTCTATATTCTTTCATTACTTAATGACTTATGAAGGGATTAATTAATGCTTAAAATAATTGCTCGAAATTGAAAATAGAATAGTTTTTCTTTCCTTTTTCTACCTTTGCTTTATTTTCTTTTATATTTAAAGATTATTAGTTTAATGTTGGTAATTTCAGTTCTATTTTTATATAGAACACAATATAAAAAAAACGAACTACTTCTACGTCATCAAAAAGCCATTGATAATTTTTAAGGATATTCTCTAATTATTGAATTAAATTATGAAGAAGGGAGAAACAAAAACAAGCAAGATGTACACTGTATAGAAGCGTGCAGAGGGTAATCAAAGATCTTAATCATACATAATTAGTTCCTATTTAAGAGATAGAGATAGATTTTAGAGAATAGGAAAAAAAATGAAGTATAAAATTGATTTTTTATAAGAAATGTAGTAATTATTAACGAGAACTGACGTAAAAGATAAATATGAGAGCTGGAATAGAGCTATATATTAAACATACTTGGGAATTATTAAATCCTGTCTTGTAGTATTGTTGCTCTTTACATTTTTCCGATTGTCTATTTAATGAAATAATGTGTGGGTGGGTTTTTTTTGCAATAAAATTGTAGAAAATTGTCTTTTCTCTGCTAAATAGATTTATTTTCCATTTTGTATTCGTCTTTTTCAAAATTAGACTACCGTTAATTTTTCATAGAATTTTTTAATTATTTAAGTTAATTATACAAATATTGTATTTTATTTATTACATTCATATTATTTTATAGTTTCAAAAATCTTTCTGCAAATGCTCTTTTTTCTATGTTAACAATTATTAAGAATTCTCTTAAGAGCGTCGCAAAAATCCTTATGGGAAATGAAAAAGTATCCTTTTACAATGAAGTGTATGGTTTTTGTTATTAACTAGTAAAATATGGAGATAACGAGATTTAAAGTATTTAATGTTATAATTAAGGAGAAAAATATTGATATAGCAAAGAAAATAAGACAGGGAGGGAGAGATGAAAAGTTATTGCATAGTAAATTTAACATTTAAGCATTTAAAGGAAAAGTTTTACATACCTGCAGCACATAGCAAGAAAGTAAGCATGATTTCCCATGTTCCATTGTATTTTTAACATGTAGTCTAAGGGCGTTCCACCCTCTGGCAAATCTTCAACTTTGTTCTCCAAGTTTGAGAAATCTATAGAAGCTATCCAGGAAAATAAGGCCCTAACAAGTTCTAATTCAGTGTTTGAAATAGATTTCATATATGTATTAAATTCATCCCAATCGTTCATCTTCATTATATCAAACTATAAATAAATGATAAAAAAGGATGTTAAGAAAGTAATTTTTAATTAAATATGTAATATAAAATGTATATATATTAGAGTATATATATATATATATACAGTATATAATATATAATATATACAGTATATATATATATACTGTATATATATATATATATATATATATATATTCTTTATATAGTTCACAAAAGACAGGGAAATATTGCATTGACAGAAATGTAATCTTATTCTAGTTGCAAACCTCTCTCGAGAGTTTGTCGATTTCAGAAAACTTTTCCCCTTGGAATATTTCATTTTTCTTTTTTCTACAAGGTTTAGGAAGTGGTAACGGTTGTTCTCGGTGTTGTGAACATTCAGCCTTTAAATAATGACATATTTATAATTAAATTATAATATTTAATATAAATTATGCTATTCTTGTTGTAATAGCCTATACAGCAACCATATAAGGGATTGGTAGATGTAGAAAAAGGAAAGACAACAGATAATATCAATTTTATGTATCTGATTGATAGATTAACTATCTGATCATTTAAATCAGGGCTCTTTTTAAAGAAGGATTAGAAGGTAAAATATTATTAAAATTATAATAAAGATAGAGGATTCGAAGGCTCATTAACTGTTGTTCATTAGTCAATTAATTAACTAACACTAGTCCTACTAAACTCTTTAAGGAAGAGATAACTTATGAAAGTGAAATTCTCCTTTTGCATGCTTTCATTCTATTATCATTATCATAATAGAAAATGAAAAGTGATTGTTAGACTCTTTGTTTATCTTGTTAAAAAACTTGATACTTTCCAACATGCTCTGTCCATTTTCCAGAACAGAACTAAATTCACTATCTACCTTGTAGATAAAATATGTACACTCGACAAAATCTTTTGTTTAATTGACAAACTACAATTATATAATTGTAAAGTATTATGTATGCCAAAACACCAATAATTGATCAGCATGTTTCTCTCTACTATATAAACTGTTTATTTCTATCGCTTTTCTTAAGTAATAGTCGATAGAAATAGAAAAATTTGTAAAATTACTTAAACGCGATCAAAATAAATAGTATTACATTTATAACATATAAATTCTTTACATACAGTATATATACTTAAAGAAGAATACATCGTAACGTTTTAAGGGTGACAATTCAATTCTAAGATAAATTCTGCTTGCTTGATATAATTTATAAAAGTAAAGAAAATTTTATCTTAATTTTCCCAATCATTATTCTTCTCGTTTTCTTTCTGTCTCTATCTCCTCTTCCCTTACTCTCTCCTCCCTTTTCTCCCTTTCTCACTTACTTGCTTATTTACTAAATCTATCTTATTTTCTCTCTCTCTCTCTCTCTCTCCCTTACTTTGTCTCTATCCATCTCTCTATCAATCTATCTATCAATGTATCCTTCCATACATCTATCTATCTCTACAGTCGTATATCTTTATTTATTGTAAGTTTTATACTTGAATTTCTATTGTGTTTGGTGGTTTTTTTTCCGTATATAAAGTTCACGTTCACATGACTTACAATTGCGCTATGATCTAAAGTATTTCTTTGAAGAGTTGTTACCTGAGGTTGGGTAGCAGGTGGTAAAATATCAGAATATTTTCTCAATATTTGTTGTCCTTTTTCACTGTTTGATTCAACAAATTTAACGGTTTTCGTTGGTTGACTACCCATTTTTTCTCAGAGGTTCACTTAACCCTTTCTAAGAAATAAATTAATTTTGAATAAACAATAATAAAATTGAATGAAATATAAACTTTTACAACATACCTTCTTGTTGGATATGTAACTCAAGAATAAGTTTTTTCGGTGTTTAGAACTAATTAGCCTGATATATAAATATATAAGTATTCATGTTAAAAAAACCTTTTAATTGTAATTTGAAACAGCGCGGTTATTTTTATTATGAAAATACCAGATTTATTAAAGATTTATTTCGATAGTTTCTAATATAACTAATAAATTTTTATTCATACCATATGTCACGAACTCCAATTGCACATAGCATGTAGACTTCAACTATGACTGTTCAAGGTATCTAAAATAAACAGTTTTATAGTTGCTGAACCGAAATGTATAGAATTATACGTATCAAGATCAATATATATATATTGAGCAGAAATAATGATTTTCCTAAGGAGTCACAAAAAAGACTAATTCATACTTGTTCAAAAGAATTCACACTTAATAAATGTTGCGTGGCTTATTAAAAAACAATAACTTCTTTCAAACTATATATTTCCTCAATATAACATCTATTTTTTCCATACATCTATCAGTCTATCTGTCATTTTTCCTCTGTCTCTCAGATTTATTTTAACGAAATCTTTTTCCTCTAATTTCTTGTAGAAGGATTAGATTATTATTAAATATTTAAGGTATCGTACATAAATTACATGAACTGCAGAGATAATCAATACTGTTTTGAACCTTTATTTTAAACTTATAATACTATTAAATACGTACTTTAAGTATAATCATTTCTCTTTTGAAGTAACACGGCTTATATTGAATTCACATAGTTTAAAAGTGTTCAGAAAACAAAATAGAACAATTCATAAAACGTTTAACTAGAAGAAGATAGTAATGTTACATTTCTTTGTATTAAAATATCTTTTAATAGTTGCATTTAATGAAATTGAAAAAGAAAACTGAACTATATTTTTATTGAACTTGATGCCATCTTTCATATTTTGCATTCGTTTTTCTCTTTCATCTTTTATTAACAAAATAAGTTGTTTAACTTTTTAAAAATACTCTTTTTAGAGGGAAGATTAACAGGAAGTACGACAAAGAGTATCGACAATTCAATTATCAGTCATATATAAAAAAAAATTACATTAATAACTTCAATAATCTTCTGTAATATTCATATACGTGTATATCTGTGCGGTTTGTCAGTTCACTTTCTCTCTTTCTTTTCCTATTAGATTTTTCAAGGTCGGATAAAATTATTTCTTCTGTTCTGATATTTAGCAATATCAGCGAAAATAGGGGATAAAGAAAAGAAACCGTGACATTAGCATCTTATCCAACTTTCTTTCCATTTTCTCGCTTTTATTCCCCTCCAATCGAATATCAAGCGAAAAAAGACAGAAGAAGGCGTGATTCCCAATTAGCTGGGACTGAAATGACGGATATTGGATTCAGTATGGCCTGTTACTTTAGCCTTTTCAATCAAAACGGAAAAGCGCCTTAGGTATAAAACTCTTATTTGGAAAACAAAATACTTACAATATCTACGAAACAGTAGAAAACTCATTATGTGCGCTATTTTGTAATCACTTGGTCGATAGTGTTTACATTGTAACTTAAAGGTCATACGTTTTTCTCTTCCGCCTGTCTCAAATTCTTAATAAGTCCTACTATGTGCTAAAATATCTATTCGCTCGATTTACTTGAAATTTAAACTATTTATAGACATTTTCTGAATAAATCGAAAATAAGACTGAATGGGCGAACCAATCAAGGAAAAGAGAACGAAATAGGTAGATAGAAGAATGGAAAAATGCGTTCCACGACCTACTATCGAATGACGTTAGATTTGATTTGAAAAGAAAGTAGATCAACGTTTATTACACTTCTAGAGCCTTCGGGGACGCCCACTACCATTTTACTTTCATTCAATTATTTTCCTACAAATTTCTAGCAACATCAGGAAATGAAAGCTATAGGGAGTATTTTTAACTAGCAACCTATTTCAACAATCTACACAACTTGTTAAAGCCTTTATTTCTTTATATTTTAAAAACTTAGTTCGTCTTAAGTATTATATTAGTATCTTAACAGCATATAAAGAAACTTTGTTGTTCTCTTTCTCTTCTTCTTTTTCTTCTTCTTTTCGTCTTCTTAGGGAAAAGTTTTAATCATTAGTATTTTTATTTTTTTTTTAAAAAAAACACTAAATTTTTTCAATAGCAAAGTTATTAATAGTAAACTCTAATTATTCTTCTTTTTACTTTGTTAGCTTTTACCCTACTCTACCCGTTCTCTTTCTGTTTGTACTTGATATATCCCTTTTAGAAGGTTTTTTGCTCTTTATAAGGTACTTTTTAGTTTGACAATACATAACTTCAAATAGGCTTTATACATATTAGTGAAAAGTATAGTTTTTATTATTGTACTATATATTTCTAGTACGACCTTTACGAGTCAGGCCTAAGCTGCAAAACTATGACCTTTTCACATGTGAATATTGTGTATTCATTACAAGGTTTCTCTTTCGATAAATATCTCGAGTCTAGAGAAAAGAGAAGCCGGATTAAATCCTATATTGTTTTTATTACGTTTTTGCACTAATGTAAATTCTTAATAATAATACAAGTCAAAAATGTATAGTAAGCCTAATAATCTTTTTTTTTTAACCAAGTTACTCTTAAAACTTTCGCTTTGAATGTAAATAGAAAATTGAGCATTAGAGAACATTCAATATCAAAGATCTACGATTATTACAGAATATAGGTATCGAATGCTCATAAATTGTGCTTAATCAGAAAGGAGATAGCTTGAATATGGATATTCTTTGAAAAAAAAAAACTGAAATTCAATAATTTACGGTGCGTGGGGTAATCAATCAACTATATGTAAAAAAAAATTGCTTTTTAAACTATTAGGGACGATCGCTTGATCAAAATAAAAGAAAGAAATATCTCTCTTTCTTTTCATTTTCCTCCCCTCTTCCATTTATCTCTTATTTTATTAGTAAAAATATCATTTTATAACAAATTATTCAGATTTTTCCTTTATTCCTTTATTCCTCATTCAAAAATACAATTAATTAAAGATCATTGAAAATGTTTTCTAAAAGGAAACAAAATCAATTAATTAAATAATTAGTGAGTATGGTTACGACTACGTTGGAATAAAGATTATATAATTTTTAGTATATAATAGGAGCACATGAACAATAAAACAAAAAATGAAAAGTTTCAAACAAATAGATACGCTTAACATTCTTTTTTTATTATAGAATTCATTGATTAACATTTCCTTTTCTGCTTAGATTAAAATACTAAAGGCATAAAGTAAAATTGAAAAAAATTCAACTTGAAACAGATTTATGCCAAAAGATGCTATGTAAATCGACCCAATAATTCATTTTCACGCCCCACCTAGATGGCGCTTTATTCGAAAACGATCGTATTTTTGCAGTCGACGCCAGTTGTTGGAATGCGTTGCCTAATGAAAAGTTTCTTGGCAAATGTTAAGGATTTTTCTACCACTATCTGGAATTTAATAAATCATCGGACTACGCTAAGGTTTATATAATGCTTTATGTTTCTTTTCTCCTTTTACTCACTCTTCCGTCATCCTTTTTATCTTTAATCTTTAAACTTATACTCTTTAATAGTTTCTCTTTAAATCTTGCAAAGAAATGGTCTTAAATAAGTGAACAAAAGAAAAACTAAAGTAATCGATATACTTAAATCTTTAGCATTAGTTTATCTTTCATTACAACTTCGTTCTTACTTCCTGCTTCTTTTTCCTGTCTTTTACCAAAGTAATATATTCTATACAAAGTAAATTGAGGTAAAACATCTTTAACTATTCATTAAGATTAAGAAGAAGAAGAAGAAGAAGAAGAAGAAGAAGAAGAAAAGTAAAAGAAAATACATATAATAGATTAATCATGTTCCCAACTTTTTCTTGAAATAAGAAAATAGCTAAATTTATCATTAAAAATATGTAGTTTTTCATATTCATTATTACTACATTAATAACTGTAAATAAATAAATAATATTAAAATTATTAATGTCTATAATCTAAGCCTACTTCATTCTCTCTTTCTTGTTTAAAAGTTTAGATAAAAAGATGAAGATTAATAGCTATACAAATACTATAAATACAATACTTTACATAATGTAGCATGTGCTGCATGCATACGCTTTATATTCTATTGTAAACTTGTAGAAAAAATAATAAACAATAGAAGTACAGATTCCTTTCTTAGGAAATTATTTTCAGGATAGTTTATCAAGAAGAAATCATCCTAAAGATGATTAAGGAAAGGGAAAGAAATAAGAAAACCAAATATAAATAAAATCAGACAAACTTTTACGCGTAGTAAGAAAATAGAACATAGGCCTAATCATCAGGCTTAGATTAGGAATAGAATTTCCTGAAAACATACATACTCTGTGCAAATATGCTATACAGTATATACTAAATTATCAATGAGAGAAAAGAGGAAAAAGGAAGAGATAGAGAGACAGAGAGATGGAGAGATAGAAAAGTAGAGTACTAATTTCTTTTTTTGTACTTTAATAACAATTTAGGTAATACAATAAAACGCTTATATATATAAATGTATACATATATATACTGTATATATACAGTATACTTTATATAAATATACAAAGAGTAAAATAGTAAGCATACTTTCTTTTATATTACTTTTACATACTTAATGTATAAAGCCACTTTCTTTAATAAACGTACTATATAAAGAGATTAAAATACCATAAAAGTTTAATTAGGTCAAATTGTTTAAACTTGTTTCATACCTTCCATGACAAATTAGTAAATTGCATGTCTTTTTGCTTATTAAATTAAAAAGGAATAAAAGGGAAATATAACAATATATAAATATATAAATTTTTATTTTATTTTAACTATAATTTAATAGGAAATATAAGAATAATAACAATTATACTGCATTGTTCAAGTTAGATAGAGAGGGAAAGAAGGAAGAGAAATGTGGAAATTATTAAAAGAATAACAAGATAAATACTAAGAAGAAAGAGAAGAAAGTGTAGAATAATAGATGATATACGAGCAACCTTTTATCTCGATGTTATATTTATTAGTAATAATATATTAATTAAAAAAGTCAATCAATGAATATGTAGCATTTTTATACTGTATATTTTTATATATACACTCTCAACCTCCTCTTCCTCTTCCTCTTCCTTTCCTCCTCCTTTTCCTCTATCAAATCATCTTCGTATTCCAGCGCCTATTTCTTTCTTATATTCCCTATTAATCACGATCTAAAAAAAAGTCTGTTGAAGTAATCAACTTCTATTCACAATTACTTCTTTCTATTCAATTTAAAAGGAATATCCTATCTCTCATTTACAACAAATTAAATGTATAATATGTAATATTATGTACTACGTGGAGTAGTAGTATAGGTAACGCAAGTTTTTGCCTCAAAGAAATGGATTTAATAATCTAATTTCTGAAAAATAACCTTTTTATAGAGCTGATAATATACAAAGAACGCATCGATATATGACGTTGAGGCTTATTTGCATATTTTTAATGATGGTCTGAAGTATTATTGGTCATACAAATAAACTTTGGAAAACTTTGAATAAAGAATAAGAGAATACTCTAAAGAAAAAACTTATTAGCGAAAGATAAAATGGAGAAGTAAAGTTTAAATTTGTAAACTAAAAATTTGACCTTTTCAACTAGAAAATCGTTAAATCTGATTCTTATGTCTGTTTTATGCTAATCCAGGCAGGTATGTTAGTACAATTGCTATACTTTTTAGCTTAAAATCACGTACAACTCCTAAGCTATATACAGTGTATATATTTAGTATATACAAAAATCGTTTACTATTATATATTTATTATAGGGATGAAAATAGCTTCAAAAACAATTTTTTATACCGATTATCAAATCCAGATATATAGAACGAGATTCTACTTTTTAAAGGTTTTCCTAGAACCGAAATCATCATAGACGAAGTCAGCCTACATACATTAAATTAAAAATAACTTTTCACTGTATACTTTTCGAAAGAGTAGCATGGATAAAGATAAAGTCAATATTATTTGTGTCCAATCTAATAGAAATCTTTCACTCAGCTACTTACGCATCTTTATAGATATTACGTTTGTAACATTAACCTATTTTATCAAATATATATCGATGGAAGCAATAAGTCTGCTTTGTAAGTTTTATAATAATCAATAAGCAATAGGTTAAACTAAAGCTGACTATTATAGATTCCCTTATCTTTCATTTCTCCTCTATGCTTCTAGCTTCTCTGTTAAATTAATTTTTTCTCGGAAAGAGAGAAATAGGGAAGGAGGGGGAGGAGGAGAGGAAATTTTCTTCCTTCATTATTCATCAAATACCTTTATTTTAAAAAACAATATATATATATAATAATAATAAAAAACAAGCAAATGGACATTTTTTTATTGAACCAACTAGATGATCTCTTTAGGATTGCAAAAGTGTTTTTCGCTGTCTGTAAATATTACAATATATAATTCTGCAAACTTTTAGAATTCTTATTCTAGTTCATTGAAATCTTCTCTTGCTGTAACAATTTTCAATTTTGGCTGATGGTTTGTAAATTTCTGCTAATTTTTTTCCTTTCTATTTATCTCTGTACTTGCTAAGTTTTCCTCATTTTTAAACTTTTTCTCATATCCCATTTACTAAGTCACTCTGTCTGCCTCTCTTTCTCTCTTTCTCTCCTTTAATCTTTAAAGAAAATAAAAACAACACAGCGTATACAAATCTATAACTAATACATAAAACATAAAAAAAACTATAAAAACCACTAAGTGTCGTTTTACTGTCAACGAACACCTAAGGTTGTAGATCGTCCCATTAAATTATCTGTAAAAATAAATCAGGTAGAAGAAGGAATCTTACAAAAAAAAGAGAAAAATACTTGTATCAGGATGTAGAAGATGGAGATAAATCGATATGACCGTCATGCGAAGTCAATGCCTGGAAAATTTTCTTTCGGATGTGACGGGAAATATAATGACACAAATTATTGATTTTTTTTCTCATATAAAATGTCATTATTTTGATGCCTATTCTACAATCTTTAATTTCCTTCACTTGTTCAAAAAGAAATTATTCTTCTTTCAATTTTTTTCTTTTCCTTCTCAAGTATTTTATCATTCCTTCCTATCGAATCTGTTTAGAAAGAAATTAACAAGTTTTTCCATAACATAATCATTTTTCTTTTGCTGTTTTCAATAATCACTTTGGCAAAAAATATAGATAATTGTAATGGTATTGAATTGAAATATTCTTAAAGTCTTCTGTTTCGTACAATAATTATAGTCGCTTAATTATGATAAAGTAAAACAATGAAAGAGAAAAGATAAATTATACAATTACAATTCAATAAATAAAAGAACTATCATTCTTTCAATATACTATATAATTTTAGATAGTAGCATACTTTAAGACTAAGATTTTTAGTTTTAAAATAGAGAGTAAAAATATCAGTTTAACTAGAAAGCTAATAAAGTGGGAAATAATATTTTAAACTTATTTAAGAATCTGCAGTCTATAAATAGAGACATGCATAAAAATATATAAAGGATTTTTATACAATTTGCTTTGTTACCTTTTCGTTACTCTCTATTAGTATTATGGAAATGTGTTTTTATCTCAACGTGTCATTACAGCAAAAATAACTTTTCTCATTTAAATATCAAGATAATATGTACACAAGTATATATATATATATATATATATATATACTGTATATAGAACACTGTCTATTATATTTAATATCGAATGCAAAAGAAAAATCACAAAATCTATGATTAACATCTGTAAATTTAAAAAAATAAAGAATTCTTCAACCAGAATTAATTCTGTAACAAAACAAAAAAGAAAAGGGAAAATCACATTATTTTTTCGATGGCCTTAATCCGATAAATCAAATTGTAATTAATTTAATTGAAGTTTTTGGCCAAAAAAAAAAAGAGAAAACTTTAATTACCTAGAGTTTTTATGCCATTTTCTGTATATTTTTTTTTATTTTAATACGATTAGTTTCAATTCTTTAAAAGAATTCTATGAAAAAAAGATATAATAATCTTGCACCCAAACATTTGGTCATAAATTTGCTTTTGATTGATTAACATTGACAATGTTTCATAATTTGTATGTAAGATATACAATGTCTAATCTATCAACTTTCGTATTAATAACTTTTCATATTTGGTTTCCTTTTAGAGTATTTTCCATTTTATAAATATAGGTATAAAGATACCTATAAATATCTAAATATTAGTATATTGTATATACTATAAATATACAGAATAAATTGCAAATGGATATCATGTATAATATGCGAAATTCTTTCACAAAAATCAAACTTCCCGTATTAGATGGGTAAGGCGACTTATGGTGGAATTAAATTTATGGTGAAGTACTGATAAATTTAATTTATAAGGCGAGCCTTTATGAGAAGACCTTCTCTTCAATTAAAAAATATGTCAATTTAGTTTTGCACCAAAATGCTATTAATACGATTTTTGGTTTCAATGCAGGCAAAATTACCATAAAAGAATCATATATCATGTTATAGAAGATATCTTAATAATTCAAACAACCATTTAAATATTAATAATGATCTATTGTAAACAATGTAAAAAAATTCTATAATATCTAATATAAATATTGTAAATATATAAAATATTCAGATATATGATTATGCATGTTTTTTGTTTCTCAACTATTCCAGTCTAAAGGGATTAGTACGAAATATTTGAAAATGAGCAAAACTTATCACACTCTTATTAGATTTATTAAAATGAAATGTTGAATTTTATAGGCTCAATCATACTCTTAATATTCCTATTTTTGTCTTTTGTTTTCCCCCTTCTCTTCTCTTCTCTTTCTCTTCGATTTTTCTTATATATTTTTCATTAAAAGGCAGCAAAGCTTAAAAATTTATTATCTAGATTGCTTTAATTATCAACTTAACGTTTACATTTATCTATACAAAGATACTCCATTATTAATACGCTACAAACTCTCTTGTTCATAAATAATATACACCATGTAATAAAGTACTTACTATATATTGATTAGAAGGTAGTATATGCTCTTTTTGCTAGTAGGTGAACTACTATATACTGTATATCTTTTAAAAATACTATTGTTTTTATTGTATTTCATTCATCTATTTGTATATAATATATCTTTGCTACTTTCACACCTCCCCCGCCTTTTACCCCCCACAATCTTTTTCTTTTATATACTTTATATGCATCTGCCACCCTTACTCTTGTATCAACTTATAAATTTGTTACATTTTAATTCATACAGATAAAGACAATGATCGATTCTTCAAATCTTACTCAATATGTTCTTGAAAATTATGGACGTAAACGGCAGGATTTAAGCATAGTTATTCCTATGATAATAATCTACATTATTATCTTTATTACTGGTGTCTTTGGAAATGTTGCAACATGCCTTATAATTGCAAAAAATAGATATATGCAGGTAAAAAGAAACAAACCAACAATACCAATAATTACAATACTATTATAAAATGTATATGCAGTACTAAATATAGCTATTTGGTTCTTTTATATAAATATTCATTGACAAATTTCCCATCTTTTTATTTGTACTCCCCAGCAAGTATCAGATGATGCTTATAGAATCAGTGAATTATTTACAAGAAATGATATAAATTTATATATAGTTAGAATAATACAAGTATTTTATTTAGCATGTATTCAAAGATCATATGTATTACCTTAAAAGCTAATCTTCATGATCAGATCACATTTCAACTCAGCTATTAAAGTTTATTATCAAAAAGAGAACAATCAACATTATAAACTGTACTTAACAAATAAGAGAAGAGAAAAATTAATAATATTTTATGATTCATTAACAATTTTTCAGCTCGCTATGCTATTTACTTCTATTATTCGTGGAACACTAATTAATCGGAAATTAATGTTTTATAAGGGGGAAAAGGAATTAAAGTCTCATAATAACACTAGATAATGAAAGAAGAAAAATTAGGTGTAAAAGTTTTATACTCTTTAGACTACTGAAATTGAACGTTTAAGAAATTAAGAGAGAGCTTTTAGTATTCTTCAGAGTATTCTGATTATGTTTTTTTGTGTTGTACTTGACATATATGTTCTCAAAATCCAATAGAAATTCTTATGTAGTAATTATCAATTGTTTAATAATATAAAGTGTTATTTGAACTCTTTCACCCCGTATTACATATTTTTAGCTTTTTTATACGACTTTAGTTGATTTTATCTTTATTTCTCCCTATTAAAAAAAATGATACTTTCAAGCTAAAAAAAACAATAAAATATATTATAGTAGAAATAAACTCTGTCTATTTTCGTACTAATCTTTTCAGTAGCTTACCAACTACGTGACCAATTGCCGTAACCCTAGATAATTATTTTGATTCCGTGTATTCTCCTCTCCCCCGAATTATACATTCGTTATCAATCCTTCCTTTCTCTAAAAAGAGAACGTTACGTTACATCAGCACAAAGAAATATATTGTATAATATTATAGATCATTATTGAGGACTATCAATCATATAAAAGGGGAGAAAATTACTTTTCTTTCTTTAATAACTAATTCCCTATAATCTGTAAACCATTAAGGATTTGTAGAGAGAGATTATTAAAAATATCATTTTTTCCCCTTTCTAATTATACAACCTTTGAAATGTTTAACCTTTAAAATTTTTGAACAATTTAAATTGATTATATCATAATTTATTAGATAAAAAATCCTTCTTAACCTTGTTCTATTCGTATATGATACTTTCTCTCATGATAGAGTTTCAATTGTTTACTTCTATTTAATTAAAATTTTATAATAAAGATTCCATATTGAAGTGTATATAGTATACTTTAGATATAGAAAGTGAGCTCATTAGCAGTAAAATATGGTTTAGCTATAATACATCATAATTCTCATTTATGCTATCTCTCTCTCTCTCTCTCACTCTCTCTTTGTTATTAATCGACGTTTTGCTTTTGTTGTTTGCAAATCTACAGACACCCACCAACGCCTACCTCTTCAATCTGGCCGTCGCTGATCTCATAGTTCTGATATTAGGTCTACCGCACGAAATTTGCATAACTTGGCAAACTTATCCAGATATTTTTGGTGGAATTTTTTGCGTGGCTCGTGCCCTTATAGCCGAAACATCCACATACGCTAGTATATTGACTATTACTGCGTTTACCGCTGAAAGATATGTTGCTATATGTCATCCCATGTGGTCGCATACCATGTCCAAGATAAAAAGAGCCATAAAGATAATTATAATTATCTGGTTTGTATCTCTAGTGTGTGCAGCACCCTTAGCAAGCCAATTCGGCATAAAGAATTTACAGTGGAACATAACCGGTGAAGAGATTGATGGAACCGAAATATGTGATGTCGTCAGACCTTTAGAAAGGGTTTTTGAAATCTCATCCTTTCTTTTCTTCTTTACACCAATGACAGTGATTGGTGCCCTCTACGCCCTTATAGGTTGGACGATAAGAAAAAGTACGATAAATAGAACCGGTAGCGATATATCTGATCAAAGTGGACATCCAACCGATTTTCGTACTCAACAACAGTCTAGAGCCAGAAGAGCTGTTTTAAAGATGCTAGGTAAATATAACACTTGTTAAGTTTTTAATTTTATCGACAAAAATAATACTGACCTAGACGCTATTGTCTTTAATTAAAGCGCAAAAATTCTCTGTTTCTTTCAAGTTTTTTCTCCTAGATAATCATATACCTAAATTAAACCAATTTATGTGACGCTTTTCAGACATATGTCATGGTTTTGTATTTTTTTTTTGTTGAAAAAAAATTTCACTCTTATGATTTTCTAAAAAAAATATCACAAGAAAATAGGAAAAAATAACTAGGCTGTTTTCTTAAGCGTCCAATTTATCAAAGGAAACGATTCCAGTCCGAATAGTTAATGGGCGGTTAGTGACGTAAATTTTTATCATAGGGAAATAAATCCTAGAAGCTACTGGTTTCTTTTTCTTTCAATTTGATTGTTTAAATAGTAAAGAAATTGGCTATGTAATTAGTTTGTATTTCTCACGAGGAATCGGAAGATCGCATGATAAAAGAGATTTTTTAGATTTCATGCGTTAAAAACCTTTCAGAGTATCTTTCAGTAAGGATTTCACGTTTGGATGGTTCGGATACGCTTGTCCGAGCTTCTTTAGCGTTTTCTTTATCAATAACCAAAAATCTTTTCCTAGTTGTCTTTCGATAAATGCATTAAAGAGGAAAGAGGCTTCCTACTAATACCTTGCCCAACCAATAATCCTACTGTACCATTCACCTCAACTTGTCAATCTTTTCTCAGTTTCTCATTCTCTCCCACTTTTTTCCTTTCCACGTCCCTACTTTACATTTTTCCTTGTCTGCTATCCATCAATTCCCAGCGTCTAAGTCAGCACCATTTTTATAGCTGCCAGTGTCAGTTTCTTTTAGGATTGACCTTGTGCTCAATTAGGGTTAAATAAATAGTAAAAAATCTATTTTAAATAAATTTAGGCAAGATCATTCTTGATTTATTTATATATCAATCTAATAATAATGAATAGTTGTGATAAGGACACATTTAGGAATAAGTCATGATCTGAATACCTGTGAGCTTGCAAACATAAGTTTTATCAATTATACTATGTACGAAGTCCTTGATATTTCCCTTTTAACAAGCTCTTTGATGAAAACTTGAAGAAAATGTCATATAAAATTTAACTAACTCTCAGATTAGTAGAATGACAGATTGATTGATTAACCTTTAATTCCCTATCTTACTTGAGGTATTAACTCATTTGTTGCTCCTTCTCTTTTTCAATAGTTAAATAAGAATGAAAAGAGAAAAATTCTCAAGTAAATAGTAAATTTATACCTTTCTTTTCTTTCTTCTTTTTTCCTTGAAGAAACTACCTTCCTTCCTTCCTCCGTTTCGTTTTTTACTTTTTAGTTTTATCTTTTCGTATCATTTTAATTAATCAGAAGATAATTTACATTATAAAATTCGCTCAATAACTAATTTACTAATCAGATAAAGGATAATAGGCCTAATAAAAAATAAGTACAGTATACATTTTTTAAATGCTAAACCTAAATATCTAAGTCAAGGGCGAATGAGTAAACAGTATTGAAGAGAAGAAATAACTAAGCAAGAGGAAAGGACATAGTGAAAAGAGAAAGAGAGAGAGAGATAGAGAGAGAGATAGAGAGAGAGATTCAAAAGAAGTAGAAAAATTGCATACTCTAGTATCTTCTTTTTATTACTGCTATCTTTTATTTTTTTATCGCATTCTCAACACCTTTAAGTAAAAATTGTAGCAGATATAAATATATATATATATATACTGTATATACAGTGTATACCGTATAAATTTACAAGACGCATAACGGTATATTTCTATTCTAAATATAGAATTATATAAAATCATTAACCGATAAAACAGTTAAGAAAGAAAAAAACCAAAAACGATAAGAACCATATTATAAAAGAGTTTAACAGCAGAACCTGTTGTTTTTTTTCTCACTTGTCTAAAATGCACATTCCATTGAGGTTTTTTTTTCAAAATATTATTTATCAATTATTTATGTTGAAAAACAAGATTGATATAATTTACTCTCTTTAAGTATCGTTTGACTTGAGAATTGCGTAATTTTTAATGTGTACTTTAAAGATCTATAAAAAGTTGCTACTTTATATTTTCATACTAAAAATATAGAGAGGAAACGAATAATAGCGTTTTCTTTTTCGTTTATATTTATTTTCTTCTATTTCTCTCTCTCTCTCTCTGTAGATGTATATATATATATACAGTATATCATTTTCAGTCTTTTATCCTCTAAACTTTTACTTAAGGGAATAGAGAAATGCAAAATGTTTATCTTTCCTTACACCAATAAATCCAAGATAGTTTGGACGTGCTTAAAATTAGAAAACTAACTGTATCAAAAGACGACTAGCTCAACCATTAATATATTTTTATAAATGCGCTATTATTCTTAGAACTAAGCCATTTTTTATCAAATCTTATACATAATAAATAAAATCTCTTTCTATTCTTGTCTTTTATTGAGTTTAATGATAGAAACTTGAAAAGTTTTACACGTTCAATACACCTATATGTATACTTGGCAAACGTTAAATATTTAGTTATAGTAGATAATTCAAAAGAGAGAGAAAAAAAGGCAAACAATTGCACAAGTTGAAAAAAATACGTTTCTCTAGATTCTATTCCAGTTAAATTCCCTGTAGGGATAGATGGAAAGATGTCAAAATCATCTTAAATGTTCTGATATAAGAAATATTACCACTACGATCTTGTTTGTTTAAATTTAGTTTTCAGAATAAACATTAACAGTAACTATATGAGCAACATAATCGTTAAATACTCAATGGTCTTATTATCCCTTTAAATTTCTCCTATCACCCTGCTATAAAGAGCAAAATATAAAGCATCTCATATTTCCCATCAAGAACATAAAAGCCGTCAAATAATCATTGCGGACCTCTTGAATCTTTTTTTTTTCAACCCTTTCATTCCTTCTCTAGCATTCCTTTATAATAAAAAGAAAAATTAATTTTCTCTCCTATCTCGAGCCAATGCAATAATCTTCCTATCAAAAATTTTCGGTACAACCGAAGGTTAAACACACCATAAATGTTATATCAGCTGCTTACAAGAGCCCTGATTGTTTATATGAAACTGCTACATTCATTATATGTTTACTTTAGCAGATGAACAAATAAATTATTAGATTAATTAAAGGGATTTTAAGTTATAAATAGTAGTATTTCAGATTTTTAAATTATACCATCTTAAAACTGTGGAAATAAGCCTATAAACAATTAATTAGGTTTAATAAACTTCATATTCAAACCATTAATTAATTGGTTTTTGTAATGAGATCAAATTCAAAGTTTAAAAACAAGAATATATAAAGTATATCCTGTATGATATACATATATGTTTATAAATATACATAAAATAATTTATTCATTGATTTCTTAACTACAATAATTAAGTGAGATTACTAGTAAGGAGCTAGGTGTTAACTTTAAATTACTAGAGTTAGAGCCTTTTGTCCTTGACCTGAATCATGTTTCTGCCATATATTTCTTTTTACTGGCTCTTTTTTTTTACTAAGTAATTAATAATTTGTTATATTTAGTTACACTACTTAGATAACTAAAAAAAATAGAGAAACACAGTGATTTATAAGCCTTTTTATATGCTAACCAAAAAAATGTTATCTTTTTTCCCTTCATTTTCATTTGAATAGTCATTAAATTTCAATTTACTTCTTAATTAAGAAAGTCAATCCGTTTGGGATTGATAAGGCAAGGGTTAGTGGATGTTTGCAGTAAATTGCGCAATTGACTTTACAACTCTTCTCAAACGATTAGGAAATCAACATTAAGAAGTCGTTTTAACGGAAAATGAAATGGAAAATATTGTTATCCTCTAAAGGGAAATTTTTAGTTCTTTATTGAAGAAAGATAAAATAAATGGCTCCACATTAGAGATATATAATATATTGTATGTCTATACATACTCTATATATATTTACATATTTACTACATATTGTAACGCCGTCTATCGGACGAAGAATGAATGCATATTTGTACTTTCCCTTCCAATCATTTCATTTCCTATAGCAAATAAATATATATATATATATATATATATATATATATATATACAGTATATATATATATATGGATACTCTTCTAACAACCCTTGGAATCTTCAAAGGAGAAACATTTTTCTTAAAAAAGATTCAGGTCAAGCACCAACAGTGCATTTGATATATGAATGAATCGATAGCGTCTGCGTGCACACAGACTAAAAGGAAGAATTTAGCCTTTATTAACTGCCCATTTTAATATCCGACCTGTCAGTAATCTAATATTGATTTCAGCCTACATATTTTTTTTCATAATCGTTATTTTCCATCTGATTAATTCCAAATAAAATTGCTATTTTCTTTCTGAACTGACTGTAGTAAATTAACCATCACTTAAGATAAATCGAACAATTATTATTGCCAAAATTACTTAAGTGTAATGATGTTTTCATATAAACTCTTGATGAATTGACTTTATTATCCTATACTTTTTAATAGGTATTATAACTATACAATAGAAGAGAAAAGAAGATAAATCTCATCTCTTTTATTATATAAAATGATTAATTTCTAAAGTTTATTTCCAGGAAAAAAACATATCAGACGTTGTTATCACCCTTTACCATCGTAGAGAAACGTATATTAAGCATCTAAAGTATCTAAATCTAAAAAAAAGTGTAATCTATGCAATCTACCTAGTGCTACTAAGAGTCGATGATAAAAAACTTTCTTTTTCTAACTTTTTTCAAAGTATTACTTAGTAAGAAAGTGTAACTTGTATATAAATATTCATAGAAGTGATTGCGCTATTAATAATAATTTAATAAGTTTAATACTTTGTAGTTCTATCTTTGCCCTAAATAAAAAGAGTACATATTGATGATAAACAAGTGGAAAATAGTTGAACGTGCAAAGTTTACGAAAATATCGGTTGTCTCGTTTTTCAGCATATAATTTGAAATCTCTAGAGGCTTTTTCAGTGATTGAAACTAATCTTATTGAGTAAAGATACTTCTAAAACTGCCAAAAGTTAACAAGATTTTTTTTTATTTCTTTCTTTTCCTTCTTCTATTTTTTATCTTTTTTTCTCCTGTTTCACTTTTATTATTGCAAAACTATTATTTATTGAAATGCTTTACTCACCAAAAGTAACAATTTGATTTGCCTCGAATTACCTTTAAAGAAATGTCATAAAACAGACTTGTAGCAGTAATTGCTTAGATGTAGTGAAACAATTTTCTCTTTACCTGAAGGTAACAAGGTCACAAAAAAAGAATTATAGATAATAACTTTTCTCTCTCTCTCTCTCTCTCTTTTTTTTCCCCCTTATTTGACGTTTATTGTACACTTATGTAACAATATGTCAGTGAATAATAAAGAAGAAATACTTGATAATCTAGTCGGATAATAAGTTGTAAAAATGAAACACAAGAGGTAGTCACCTAAGTTATATCTTACAAAGGGAATCTACTAATACTTGCACCCGGTACTTGTATTAGTAGAAAGGCTATAAAGAGAAAGATTAATTGGAAATAGACGAACATCAATAGAGGCAAACCTAAGAAAATAAATTAAGAAAAACGAACCAATTTTGCTAAAATCTCATTCTAACTTCTTAAACAAGGAGACCATTAGGGAAATAATGAAAAGTATCTTTCAAGACGTTTATTAGATATATACTAAAATCATTACTAAAGAGAATTCGCCTTTTATATACAGTAGATTATATAAAATGAAAGTTTTATTTATTCCTTTACCATCACTTGTACTGTTTATAGATTTTATTATTTTTACTTTGCTTGATTATATCATTTCTTTTTTATATTTTGTTTTTAATTATGTCAAAGATAAATAGAACAACACATTATTATCGTTTTAATGTGTTTTTCGTGTTTTTCGTAAAAGTTGTGTTGTTATTATTGGATTATTTTAAGAGGGAACAGGTGAGCTTGTAAAATGAAAAAACAACGTAAAGGAGTGGCTCTTTCTTTTCTATGTTAAATCTGGAAACTATTAAGTTGCGATAGAACAGTGAAAAAATATCATTGGAATGTTACTTATTTGTGATTTTGATTAAAATAGAAACATGAAGATATAGGAAAATTTCTCTTTTCATTCTCCAATAATATATTGCCTTGTTTTCACTTTACATATGAGAATAACTAAAAGAAAGAGTGAAATATTTATATATTTTCTATATCGGAAACTATGCTTAACGTTATTAACAAGTGGTTTGCTCAGGTACTTTACTTGTACTTGAACTAAGCTTAGCTTGCAATTAAATAAAGTGGGATTCTGTCCAACTAGCACGTTTTGGTTGAAACCGGAAGTTGGAAAAAGAGGCAGGCGCCTGAAAAATAATGCCTCTCAAGCTTAATAAACGAGGCAATCGTTCCTTATAGGCTTTCTGATTGATGAGCCTTTTTTCTTTTACAGTCGCCGTCGTCGTTGCCTTCTTTGTCTGTTGGGCTCCATTTCACACTCAAAGACTATTGACAACATACGCTCCGGAGAAAGAACAGCAAAAAGAGCCTCTACAATCTGTTCTTAGAGTTCTTTTCTATGTTTCTGGTATCTTGTATTATGTGTCATCTGTAATCAATCCAATACTCTACAATATCATGTCAATCAAGTTTCGTCAGGCATTTCTTCACACACTCTTCAAACCCTGTAGAAAACCTCAGAATCGAGCAACAAAAAGAAGACTAGCCAAAGCAGCTTATCAATTTGCAGGTGAGAACAAACGTATCTAAATTTTTGTGTTGAAAACAACATATTAACATTGTAAACTAATTACTTGTACAATTATCTAAAAAGTAAGATAATTTAAGAAAAGAGGAAGAGAAACTCCTCCATACAGAACAATATACATACATTTATTTTATATAATTAAAGAAAAAACACCAAAACAGAAATAGGAATTTCTTTATTGTTTACTTTGTGCTATTACTTGTTTTCTTCCCTCCCTTAAACCAACTCATTTTCGGGAGGAAGAGAAGATGAAGATACTTATTTACAATATTTATTCTAAATCTATCTTCATATTTAGCACCTTCTCTTCCACTTAAAATCTATCAATTCACTAATGAAAGTTTTTTTCCTATCTATGCACTGTGTCAATCTCTCTCAATCCATTCCTTTATACCAGATATTGTAGTATAAGCAGTACATACAGAATATTGAAAGAAATAAACATATTTTATATTATTTAATATATAATCTATTATTCTATTAATTTCCTTGTTTATTTTATTATTTATCAATAAACAAAGTAATATTGCAGTTTTTTCCTTTATTTATATTGTTACTACTATTATCTGCAATTTTCCGTTAATTATTTATTTATTTTTTGTCTCTAATTTCATTCTATCCTTTCCTACCCCTCCCTCCCATTGTCTTCACTCTTCACCTCTTTATTTTTTCCTCCTTCTTCTTCTCTTCTTTCCCATCATCCCTTTTACTTTTTCCTTAAGAGCTTTTTACATTTGTTTCAAATTTTCTTCCATTAGTGTTTTCCAAATAGCAAACTATTAGATTCCTCATTAACACAGAAATTAAGACAGTATTGCCTCAATACTTAGTGTAGTATAGCCTATGTGACTCTGTAAGTATTCTTCCGTAACAGCTGTGGAAGCCTTCCCCGAAAAAATTGATTATTCCCTTTAAAATAACAAAGTTAATGGAAGAGCAGAATGACGCTCCCAGGCCGTCTAAAAACCCTTTCTTTTAACTCAACCTCGTAATAAATTTAAGATATTCTCTAATTAAAATTCTTTTTTATAGTAATTAGGACAGAAAATTGTTTACTTGTATAAAAAAAAAAGTATATCTCTAATCGTTACTTGCTTCTATTTTCCTTTAAATAAGTCTTTGTTGTAGTTCATCGTATAAATATACATATATCTAAATATATACAGTAGTACTAGAACTCATTTTTCCCCCCTCCCTAAAATATTATTCTGAATATCACGTGTGAGTGATTCTATTAAGAGTTATCGATGTAATTTTTCACTTGGCCAAATCTGTCAGAAAGGATTCCACCATATTTTTGTTGATTATTGTTATTACAGTATTTATAACAAAAACTTTTCAATTGTGCATTTTCCCAATTAGGAGGGAAGTTTCCATTTTACTCAATATTCCTTTTATAGATGTATACATTCATAATCCCGAAAGGCTTTTTTAGTATTTAGGCTATATACCTCTTTAATTTATGGATAGATGGCGCCTTGAATTTTTATTCTAGCGTATTGGTACTTGGTCTAATAATTAAAGAATGTAAATTTTCTAACAAAGCTACTTGTACTTGTTCTTTTTTGTGACAAGTAATCTTGTGTACACTTTATTATCTTTAAAAAACGTTTACTAATTGCAGGTAGGCCTCTTTTGCCGTATACGAAAACAACAGCAATGAATGGAACGTCAAGAAAGGTGACATCTAGAAACGCCCAATTACACCTTAGACGTCACCAAGAGGATGTTGTACCAAGTACAAGTTCAGTAAAGACAAACTCTAATAAAGAAGAGTTTGAACTTTTGGCTAGGGATATAATATTGACAGATTTTAAATCAGCTCCGTGTAGTTCCGCTGTTGTCGTTAGCTCAAATAGGCCATTTCATAGTTATGCTTGAAAACTATATTAAAGAAGCTATTTTGTAAGCGAAGAGAAAAGGCAATGAAAGAAAAGGAAAAATCGTTGATACATGCTGTTTCATTGTGCTGCGAAGATGGTATTTTCAACTTTTACAAAGGGAAAAACAAAGAGGAAAGACTCTTCTCTTTTCTTTTTCTAACTGAGTTTTTTACAACTTTTTTTTAAAGAGAAAACTGAAAAGTATATACATTCAAGTGGAAAGAAATTAATACTTGATTGACTATATTAAAATGGATGATTTAAACCTTTCTTTTTAATATCTTATTCTTTTTCTATGGGTCACTGGTGTTCAGCTTCAACATCTTGCCAATGTTTGACAAGTCTAATGAGCATTTCTCTCTTTGGACAAAGAACACTGAAAATTTTCTATATAAAAAAGAAAACGAATAAAAAAAAGACAAGTAAAGATTATAAATGAAAAACAAATACTTTTAAATAAGAAATGAATTAAGTAAAAATAGTATTAAAAATACTATTTTTTCTATATTCAATAGGAATTATGATAATGCTTAATGAAGGTTTTAAATTATATTAAAATATACTTTTGAATCTAAAATAACTAATAATCTTTTCCATTTAATTCTATATTCTGTATTTAGATTATCTTTCTTAAACATTCAATCGCCATTTTTGTTATTTACGTTTCTTATTAAATATTTTTAACAATCAAACAATCAACTTTGCTAGTTTGTGCTAACAAAATCAAAGCTGTTTCTATGCTACAGGCTCGATTAAAATGGGTAAACCATTTAATGATTTCAGAGTAATTTGCATGCTAGGTTTAGGCTTAAATCCCTCAACCTCTTTTAGAACGAAATTTTTCAAAATTATTGCTATTGTTGCTTTCATCTCATTTAGAGCGAAATTTTGTCCAATACAATTTCTGAAAGAGTATCGTAAAGGGAAAACATAAAAACGTATTTCATTTAATTATATATAATAACCTTGGTCCAGCCGAAAATGGTACGAATGAAAAAGCATCTTTGTCTCCCTTTTTAGCATGTCTTTCAGGATCAAACTTTCCAGGATTTTCCCAAACGTCTGGATCTCTATGCAAGCAATATATCGACAAGAAAATTGCTACTCCTGTGTTCATTTAAATCAATTAGTTTACAGCCATTTCGAGTAACAAAAAAAAAAGAGAAACAAGTTCTACCTTTTTCTAGTCTCATTCCATTTGACAAAACTCTTTCTTCAGTAATTTCTCTTTGTATACTTGGTACTGGTGGACTAACTCGAAGACTTTCTTTCAAAGTTTTTGTCAGATACGTCAATTTTGATAAATCATTCCTGTCGACGAATTTTTATTATACACTTGGAATATACACATTTCGGCACGGCACATTTCAGTAACCGTTTCGAATAGATGCATACATTAGCCGCAATAAATATTGTATATATATACTGTATATATAATCATTTAAGTAATGTACAGCATATCGAGATGCTATTAATAGAATACAACAATATACTATGAAGAGGAGAAAGGCAAGATATAGCCACCAATTTGGATGATGAGTTATCATGACCTTTTCGGCGTCGTCAATAGTTTTATAACATAAATTATAACAAACGTTTATTCTCTTCCTACTTTCTCTATTTCGCTTGAATTGCTAATTTGAAATGGATTTTTAGGGACGTCGGCTTTCCTTTACGTTCTCCTTCTCCATAGATTTTACTGGATAAAATGCTTACCAGGAAACGGTATCGGATTCTCCTAAAACTTCCATTACTTCCTCTCTACATTTCTCTTGAATTTCCGGGTATTTTGCCAGATTATAGAGGGCAAATGAAATTCCTGCAGCGGTAGTATCGTGACCTTCAAACATAAACGTGTCCACTTCATCAGCAATCTCCTGGTCGCTGAGACCTTTTCCGTTTTCGTCCTAAGCGAATTCCCATGATAATTAAAACTCATAACACAACAAGAAAAGGAAATTGTTTCAATTTCACGTCAAAGGCGATAATCTAAAAACTTTCTTACCCTTGCCGAAAGGAGAATATCGATAAAATCCAAATATCTTCTATGTTTCGTATAATCCTTTAATGTTTCAAATATCAAATAAAATTATTGGAAAGCGAATACGTTTGTTTGAAATTGATCATCGTACCGGTTTTGCTTTCAATAGCGCCTGTCTTTCTTTTATAACTTTTCTGGTAAATGAATGCAGTTTATGTATATTATACAAATAGCTCCAGCTATTTGGTGTCAAATAATAAATGAAAGGAGATAATAGAATTGGATTAACAAATCTTTGAATTAGCAGATATGTTACTCTTTGTACGGCTTGTAAATAAGGATGCTCTACTCTGTTTGCATAAAAAATAGTACATAAGATTGATTATATTACTATTTATACACATTTAAATATTATTTACTTTTCATTTTGGCACTCTGTATGTAAACCGAATATACACTTTAGAAGAGAATCCAAAGTCATTAAACTTATATCATCGTGCAATTCTATTTGATTGCCATCTCCATTTTCTAGACGCGCTTGCCACTTTGCCTGAATATTCAAACAATATTTTTAGGTTATGATATATGGTTGCGTTTGCATTAAAAGAAAAATACTAACTACTAGTGCATTGGCACAATCGGAATATAATTTAGTATACGGCTTCAGAATATCAAAGTGGAAAGCGGGCGTTAATAATCTTCTATTCCTAAACCATTTTGGACCATAGCTTAAAAGTAAACCATCTCCGAGCCATAATTTTAAAAAGCTATAGCCGAAGCTATCTTTTGGTTCTGATAAAATACAGTATAATGTAATAAATTTAAACAAAAATTAGCTATATAAATTGATGATTTAATTAAAAAGAAGTGTTGTTTTCAATTTACCAGCAGTATTAAGTATTTCCTTGGCGTATTTTACTTTTGTTATAAACATTCTCTCAATAACTGGGCCAGTTTTTCCTTTCCATAAACCGTTAAATTCTTCGCTCATCTTTTCCATAGTTTGAAAAACTGTCTCTCTATTAAAAAACTGAAAGGTAGAAAAATTTATAAAGATTATGGAAAGAAAGAGAAAATGAAAGAGTTTTCAACTTACGTGATGCGCTTCACCATAGAACCAATGGCTTGATGGCTTAGGGAGGTCTTTGAGTGCTCGATTCATTTTTCGCCTATAAAGTATTATGGAATACATCTTTTGACCAGAAACTAGAACAAGGTAAATCCCAAAAGACGCTCCTATTATTTTCCAAGTCTTGCGATCCTATAGATGTAAATTCATAATTAAACATTTGTACTATTAGTATAGAAATTATTCGTTTTTTCAAATGCTCACTTTAATAGTATCAAGTAGGGAATTTGTTTGGAAATATTCAATTATCTTATCGAGTCCATTTCTGCCAGTTTCTATTAAGCTTTCCATATTTTTAGCCAATATTTCTATATAATAAAGAAGCTATTTAAATAGAATATAGTTTCTTATAGTAGATTATAATCATCCCAAACATTCTCTAACATATTAATAATCGTTAAAGAGTTTAGTTCAACGTACCGCTGTTATCTTTGTATAAAGTATAATAAATTGTATAACAGATATACAATATTCACATATTTTGATATAGAAAACGTTATCTTTTACAGTAGATTTAATATAGTTTGTGATACTTTATGACATATTTTTGTTATAAAGAAGATTATAAATAAATATTTGTATTAAAGTTATTATAATTTATAAGTCGTTTCTAAGTCCGTACTAATAACGTAATTACAATAGAGAAAGAAAAATGAGCTTCTTTGAAAGTTAATTAATATACATCTTTTATTGTTTTAATATATCAAACAAATGACTTAATTAACCTTTACTATCGTATTTTTCATTAATTTTATATAATTTCATATTTTACCTAAGATTTATCAAAATTTCATTAAAGCTAGCTATTGATTTCCCTATTATCACTCTGAGACAATGAACATGATAGTTCGAAAACTAGTATACTCATATATCTAGATATTTAAAAATGTTAGATGAAATAATTTCGAATAAAATACACTTTTTACTATCTAAATATAGTTTATGACAATTAAATAAACGTAAATCTATTAATTATTAGCTATTATATTAAAGTTAAAATAGAAAATTAAATTAAACCTCTTCATCAACCGCGTCTAAATTTCTAAAGTTCAAAAACTTGGGCTGTCTAATATATATTCAAGCAAATCAAACTTATATATTAAAATGGATATCGTAAGTATAATCGAATTGTATTTCTACTCTCTTTAATATTTATTATGACTCATCTGTAAAGCTGTTTCTGTATTTGAAGATTAACGGTACAAGGGTGGAAATGTATTAAACTTTCCGCTTAATTGTTTTTCCTCTTACTATTACGTAACAACTAAATTAGGTAGTAATATGTGTTTTTCCCGCAAATTTGACCTACTTCGTACTAAATGTATCAAAGGTGAAAATAAAGACATTAACTATTTATTCCAAGATTTTCTTCTTAGCATTGTTTTATATTCTCAATCTTCTTTCGAATTAGGAACTAGAGCGATATTACAAGAAGTCTTACTTTTTGAACTTGTCATAGGGTATTAGGGAAAAATATCTAAGTTAAGAAAGATTAGCCGTACCTCAATCAAATTCTACAACTTACTATTTTGGCTATTAATTAGAAAAGCTACTAATATAAATATTTCACTATTTTTACCTTATCTTCTTAAATAGAAATGAACTAGAAAGAAACTAAAACTAGAACAAGCTATGGATTTTTATTACGTTCAACTCTAATAAAGCAAAAAGCCTTATCTTTTTTTTTGCATACCTTAATCATTTATTCCATAGAAACACTTGGTATAAGCAGTATGTTCTGATTGTTCTAATAGATTACCAAGCAAAGAGTTTCGTATAAGGAGTACGTTTACAAAATTGAAAATAGTGCTGTTATCTAAATAATTTAGATTATAAAACTTTAATTTCTTTACTATTAAACTATTGAAAAAATATAAAAGGATGCTAATATGTTGACTCTCTTATAGGCCAAAAAAATTTTAGCTTTCAGATAAGGTGTATTATATATATATATATATTTTATATGTTTATGAAGACAATCTCTAATTGAAAATAAACGTTTACAGCACACAAGGCAAATACGTCAAGATATGGGTGGAATATGTCGAGCTACTGAAGCTCTATTAGAAAAGCTATATAATCTGTTGGGAAAAGAGAAGGATCTTCTTAAGCTTCTAAAGGTAAATAAGCTTACAATTCTTTTACTACTTATGCTATATACTTTTGCAAATTTCTCAGAGTAAAGAGGCTCTAAAACTTCTTGGTAGTGCCCTTGGGATTTATATTGTAGCAAAATCTGCACATCATCTCTACTCTTTATTTCTTTGGCGTAGACAAACAACGAAAGCATTGTCGCAATATCCCACCCCACCCCGACATTGGCTTTATGGACACGCTCTTTACGTAAGCTATTCATAGTGTAGTATATTCATAAGATAGTTTAATTCCCAAAAATTATTCAGTTTAAAGATCGCTCTAAAGCTTTCGAAACCATTCAAAAATTTAGTAAGGATTACAACGGTGCATGGATAAATTCCATCGGACCATTTAGCGACCGATTGATAATTACAAAAGTAAAATACGCCAAAGATATTCTATCTACAGCAGGTAACACAATTAAAGAGTAACATGATAAATATGTACCTAATTTGAAAGTATATTTATTAAGAACCGAAAGAACCTTACTCTTATGGCTTTCTAAAACTCTGGTTAGGAGATGGTCTCCTACTCAGTTCAGGACCTAAATGGTTTAGAAGTAGAAGACTCTTGACACCAGCGTTTCATTTTGATATTCTGAAACCTTATTCTAAATTGTTTTCGGATTGCGCTAATACGTTGATTGTAAGTATTCGTATTATCTTTCACTACTATCTGTAACATGCATGCATTGATTTACATATACTTTTTATTTATCTATATAAATTTATATATAGAACAAATGGAAAGACAAATTAGCACACAAGGAAAATATGGATATTGAACTCTACAATGAAATTAGTCTGCTAACACTTGACGACCTTTTAAAATGTATCTTTGGTCAAGAAAGCAACTGTCAAACATCTAGGTTAACTAAACTAATTATTGTTTCTGAAAAGAGCATATTAAAATATTTAATTTCAATTTCAGCAACTCTCATCCCTACTTAGAGGCTGTTCAAAATGTAACTCGTTTACTTATGCAAAGAGCGCTTAATGTATTGAATTTAATTACATTTATATACTATCTAACACCGACAAGTTGGTACTATTTGTATAATATACATAAACTGCATTCATTTACCAGAAAAGTTATAAAAGAAAGACAGGCGCTATTGAAAGCAAAACCGGTACGATGATCAATTTCAAACAAACGTATTCGCATTCCAATAATTTTATTTGATATTTGAAACATTAAAGGATTATACGAAACATAGAAGATATTTGGATTTTATCGATATTCTCCTTTCGGCAAGGGTAAGAAAGTTTTTAGATTATCGCCTTTGACGTGAAATTGAAACAATTTCCTTTTCTTGTTGTGTTATGAGTTTTAATTATCATGGGAATTCGCTTAGGACGAAAACGGAAAAGGTCTCAGCGACCAGGAGATTGCTGATGAAGTGGACACGTTTATGTTTGAAGGTCACGATACTACCGCTGCAGGAATTTCATTTGCCCTCTATAATCTGGCAAAATACCCGGAAATTCAAGAGAAATGTAGAGAGGAAGTAATGGAAGTTTTAGGAGAATCCGATACCGTTTCCTGGTAAGCATTTTATCCAGTAAAATCTATGGAGAAGGAGAACGTAAAGGAAAGCCGACGTCCCTAAAAATCCATTTCAAATTAGCAATTCAAGCGAAATAGAGAAAGTAGGAAGAGAATAAACGTTTGTTATAATTTATGTTATAAAACTATTGACGACGCCGAAAAGGTCATGATAACTCATCATCCAAATTGGTGGCTATATCTTGCCTTTCTCCTCTTCATAGTATATTGTTGTATTCTATTAATAGCATCTCGATATGCTGTACATTACTTAAATGATTATATATACAGTATATATATACAATATTTATTGCGGCTAATGTATGCATCTATTCGAAACGGTTACTGAAATGTGCCGTGCCGAAATGTGTATATTCCAAGTGTATAATAAAAATTCGTCGACAGGAATGATTTATCAAAATTGACGTATCTGACAAAAACTTTGAAAGAAAGTCTTCGAGTTAGTCCACCAGTACCAAGTATACAAAGAGAAATTACTGAAGAAAGAACACTTTGTGATGGACGAAGATTACCAAAAGGTAACGTCCAAGTTTCTCGTCTTTTTTAAAAATATTTAAATTCTGTTCTAATCAGGCGTTGCTGTCGTTCTTTCAATTTATGCTATTCATCATGATCCGGATGTTTGGGAAAACCCTGATAAGTTTGATCCTGAAAGGCACTCGATTAGAGGGGAGAGAGACCCTTTCGCCTTCGTTCCGTTTTCGGCTGGACCAAGGTCTTTTTCTTACATAATTTAAAGACTTTCTAAAGGTTATGAATTAAATCAAATTTTTTTTTCATATTTCAGGAACTGTATAGGGCAAAATTTTGCCCTCAACGAAATGAAAGCGACAGTAGCAATTGTCTTAAAACATTTTTTTTTATCTGAAATTAAGGGTTTCAAAGCTCAGCCCGTAGGACAAGTAACAATAAAATCTCTGAATGGATTATGGGTTAATCTTCGACCTTTGAAGGAGTAGTTTGCTACATTTTGATTGTAATAGATAAAATAAGTGTTTATTTTCAGATGAATTAATATCGAAAAACTTAATTTATCAAAAATAAAATATCAACTATCAAGACTTTATCTCTCTATTGGGAATATTGATTTTGTTGAAAAATTATTAGCCATTATGAACCTATATATAATTTTTTTCCTTTGCCCCTTCCTTAACTGTTTCTCCTCTTAATAACTACGCTCAAGATTTATATAAATATAAAGTTTAGCCTCTCCAATCCCACCAAAACATGAAGTAAAATCTAGCAGTGAAGTTTAAATTAGAAAATTATCTCTCTATTAAACTTAGTTTTCAGCAAGCTTCCAATAAATTTACTCAGCTGCTGTTGATTATAGATGTGAGAGAATTAAGCGTCTCAAATTATAATGAAAGAAAAACTTGTATTATATAACACAGAATGGAATAGAAATCGTCAATTTACATCTAAAGCTGGTCTCCAAATTTTAATTCCACCATCTGTTAAACCAATTGCCAACGTTCCATTCATCTCCGAAATCTATTGGATGAAATCAATTGTATTGTTAATAAGATAGCATAAAAGAAAGAAAAAAATTGATTAGAGTTATTGTCTCACTCTTGATATTTCTTGCGTATATTCTATAGAAGCAATTGGTGTTGGTTTATTAGTTGGTGTGTAGATATTGACATACGAACGATTTTGCTGTCGACCACCAGCCACAAAGATACCCCCAGACCTCTCAAGAATGGTGCCAATTCGTCGTTTATCCAAAGCATTTATAGACTATGTATTTAAATGTAATTAGACTTCTCTTGTACTTGTTAAAGGGTATTTTGTTTGTATTCATTGATTTACTTACATTTTCCGTTTCAAAATTGTTAGCTGCATTAATTAATGTTAAATTACCCATACTATCACCAACCCAGCAAGTATAGCCGTTATAACAAATGGCTGTTGGATATACGACTTTTTCGTCCTGTTTTGGCAGAGTTATAACTTTTAGAGGTGATTTTAAAAGCCTTCTATCCAAAATTTTAATTGTCCCTTCCTCGGAACCAGTAATTACGTATTTATCACAACAGTCAATAGCCAAAATTGGCCTAGTGTGCATTCGGAAAGATTTACAACATTCTCCATCAACCCTTTTATCGAATGTATACAATTTTTTATGAAAAGATCCTGCTAAAATTTTATGCTCCTCGTTTCTTAGACATAAAATAGGAGATTCAGCTTTAAAAGATGTCTCAGCCTCTTCAATATTATTTAAATCCCATATTTTTATTGAAGTATCCCAACTTCCGGTAGCTAATTTGCCTTGTCTCTCTTCCATACACCATATCCAACCGGAATGTGCATTTGTCTTTGCTGATGCTTGAACATTAGCCAAAAATGGAATTTTGTTCTGTAATTTTTCCAAATCGAATATTTGCAATGATTTATTCCGCGAACCAGTGACTAATTTATTGCCATTCTGATCGCCATATTTAAATATTATTTTGTTAAAATATGAAAATACTGTCGTTAGTTATTAAACCTCAAAACTAAATGAATTTATTGGCTTACATCATATAACAAACAGCAATCAACAACGCCTGCAAAATCCCTGTTGTTGGAAAATTCAATCATACTACCTTTATTGTTTTTCCATACATCTTCTATTTTCTCCCAACCTAGACAAACATTCCTCCAATTAATTTTATTTTCTGGGATATTTACAGCAGGATATCTGCCACAATTTGGCCATTTTGTTCTCATCAACGTTTTCCAAAATAACGCATTTTCCTCTTGTAATAAATAATTAAAGTATCTACAGGTGGCACTTAAATTTCCTACTAATGACTTAACATCTAGATTGCGGCAGATATTATAAAATATTTCTGGTGGTAGGCTGTGGAATGGGGTTGTTTGGGATTCACTCTCCTCTGAGAGAGATCTCTCCAAGTTTGTTGTAAATTCCATTCCACCTTTAGACTAATTTTGAATACTGAGAGCTAGGCTCTAAAACATTTCGAAATTCAAAGTATGAGTCAAACAAAGATCAAGAGCATATTACTTAAAATTACTGTCTAGTTTCACAATACTTTTAAATAAAGGTCAAGGCCTTTCCGAATAGGAAGTTGATGAAAAACCAAAATGGCAGCTCTCTACATGCTCCTAAGTCACATTACCTATAAATATTCTACTTAAAATAACATTTATTTAATTTATTTTAGAAATCATTAATGAAATAAAAAAAAATTTATCAATAATGTAGGATTACGCAATATTAAGAAAAAATATCTTTGATTTAATATTTTTTCTTGCCTTTAATTCTACTTTCAAGAATATTGAATTAGCTTTTATATTTTAAAGAAGGTTTAGGTTTCTCACGTCATCTTTTCAAAGAAATACTTAAAAGTTGACTCGCCTCGAAAGCAAATCCAGATTTTCCAGATTTTCAGTCTTTTGCAGATATTTTTTCTTAAAAGTTGCTACCACGACTAAGAGAATAAGCCTTAAAATTACCCATATAGTTTTAGATTTACGTTCAGTTTCCTGTTCGGATCAAGCCTAACCCAAGGTGACATTTATCCTATTCTGGATAAGATTTTGCCAGAATCTATTACAAACAAAAGAAAATTGGAGTATTAATACTAATAATTGTTTGTTTTTTCACATTCCTCCTTAATTTCTTGACATATTACTTGACAATTAAAACTGACTAGAAATGCTGCTTAACAGAGCCAATAGAAATCAATTAGGGAGACACTGAAGACAAAATTTCCAATAAGCCATGGCTTGATGCTTCCATTGATCACGAATTGTCCAGTTAACAATTCAATTTAGTAAATTTTCGTAAATTGGGGATGGTAATTTTTTTCCTTAGACGATATTTGTTAGCATCTAAAACTAACAAATATTCAGTTTGAAATAAAGAAAACTATAATATCCACTATTCACTTATCATAATCATTCCTAAAAGAAATCTTTTAAGCTTATAAAGAAGTTTTAATCTAGCTTTAATCTAGTTTTTGATTGGATAAACTTACTATTTCAAACTCGAAATAGCTTTGTTAATTATTTGTCCAAGGGATAAGCTATCTTATTGTATTGTACAAGCCTTTCCTTTGCTAAGAAAACATAACAATTTCTTACAGCAGCTAATGTTTTTCCTTTTTTGGTGTTGATGAGAAAAAGATAGCGTTTAAATACGATTATCTTCCATTAAACGAAGGAATTTATTAAAATATTTTAAAACACAGACTTTTCAAACATAGTAAGTTGATATATAAACACAGCAAAGACTTATCAAATGAAAAGAAGAGTGTTGATTAAATAAATCTATTTGTATAACTGAAAAGAGAAACAGAACTTTACTAATTAAATTATTTAATCCAAAGAAGAAATCCAGACTTAAATGATTAAGACATCAAGAATTCTACGTACGTTTTACTACTATTGGATTGACATTTTAGCCTCAGCATTAAGAATGACATATTAACCTAGATTTATTTATAAAAAATAATACGGTTAACTATCTAAACGAATATATCTTGGGTTAAGAAATTGAAGTTTCCTGTTCCATAAATTTTTTAAAAAATAACCTAAATGAATAAAGTTTATTAACGAGATTATATCGTATTAGTAGTTTTATTGAAATATCAACAATGATTCTCAAGAATAAAGGAAAAATCCTTTAAAAGAGTAAAAAATTAACTCAGAGAAGTAAAGTTTAAAAATTCTTTAATTATATTATTCATTAGTAATAATAATACAGATAATAAAGATAGAAGAATATATTTCGAATTTTCCCGCTGTTCCTAGGCCTTTCAATCTCTCTATAGCAACGGCAAAATGGAGGTTTGATAAAATTAACAATTACAGGGATAAAGTTTCTACTTTTTGAACATAAAAATGGCTCACAATTATTATCGGACTCCTTGGAGATCTAGTAACTATAACTCTGCATATTCTAGTACCTATAGCTCATCTTATCGTCCTCCTTATATGCTTTCAAACTCTCATGGATCAGGATTTTCTTCCTACTCTTCTGTACCTTCTAGCCTCCCGTCCAACAGATTAAGTTCCAATAATTATTCTTCTAGTACCATTCCTAGAAGTATGGGACATAGTCTATCGAGATCAGATTGGAATTCTGTAAGTAAACTTGTTCTGTTTTATCTCATTGTTAGTGAAGGAATCTTATCGATTCTTCCAATATATTTAGTTTACAAATTATACAATGAAAGAAATCAATAGAAAAAATATATAGCATTGGTTGAATTCCAACAATTTGCATTAGCATATACTATATATAATAACGTAAGCGAACACCTGATCTGCAGCTAACTGTATCGTACAAGTAACGAAAATATTTTGTATTTAGCTTAAATAGGTGAATAGAAGCTAAAGAGGGTGTGGGAGGAGTAGATTAGAACTGAAAGATATAATCTAAATAAGTAAAATTGATATTTTTAAACTCTATGATTATTTTGTTTTTTGTCTAAAACCTATTTTATTAATTGGGATTTTATACTTTGTTTGCATTTATTATTTTTCTAAACATACTATTTTCTCTTTCTTTTTGCAATAGCATTCCAACAGTCCGTCCAAACAACCTGATAGCTATTATCTTGAACGCTTATACGGGATTTTAGGAAATTCTACTCCTCTTGGTGTTTCTCATTACGCGTCACCTTTAACGGATTATATGTCAATAGGGTCATACAGGGATGCCGAAGATATTAGATATTTGAAACGTCATGAATTTACACACGTTTTAAATTGTGCTGCATACCAACCATCACTGAAATCTCCATATCCACCAGATAGCGGTATTGTAGGCTATTTACAATTTTTCGCCGAAGATACAGAGTATTACGATATGATGCAACATTTTATGAAAGCTAAAGGGTTTATTGATGCAGCAAGACGGTATTATTTTTGGCAAAAGATTTTAAAAATAACATCATTAATAATATCTACTAATTAAGTAAATATAGATTTCAATGTCCCATAAATAGTCTACTATTTCTAATTAAGAAAATAATGATTTTTAATTATTCGAATGAAAACACAAAAGAACTCTGAAGGGATTTTCATTTAATCACTAAAAATTAACAATGTAATATTCAGCTAAGTATGGATTGATGGATTATTTAATTGTTAAATAATTCGATTACTCTTATTAATATAAGAATAAATGATATAATAAACTCTTTTGCCAAAAAAACAAATCAGATACGGTGGAAAAGTTTTGGTTCATTGCGCAATGGGAGTAAATAGAAGTGCTACAATGTGCGTAGCTTATTTAATGCTTGACCAACAACTGGATTTATTGGAAGCTGTCAGAAGAGTAAAATCCAGACGTGGAGTAATATTAACTAACAAAAGTTTCCAAAAGCAACTTATCAGGTTTGCAAGAGAAAAAGATTTATTAAAGTCTTAAAGAGTCATTTGAGGTCATCATCTGAGAGGAAAAAAAGTCTTGATCCCCTTTTCTCGTATATCTGTGTAGTCTATGGCTTCTTTTTTTATGAATATTAGATAAAAAATATGAAAGGGATTGAAATTAAATAGTTTTCTTTAATTGTTATCTGAAACGTGATATTGTATAAAACCTATTATAAAATATTCCTTTTAAGATATTGATATATATATATATATATAGATTTATATATACGTTTACGTGTAAATCTAAATTTTTCTCTTATCCTTCTAATAAAACTGGCGTAAAGATAATTAATCGCATTACCGAGAATTTTAGAGAATAGTTATAAGTTTATATAAAAATAGATATAAGGCAAGGTTTATATATGCAGTATACATAAATTTATATAGATAAAAAAAAGAATACGAAATTCCTGAACTATTAATAGAAACTGCAGTTTTGTTGGGTTTTACTTTCTTAAGTAGATTTTTATATGGTCGTCCATATAGTCCTACTGTTTTATAAAGATTATACTCAAAAGTATAAAATTGATACGGATATATACCATTCATTCTATACAATTGTTTCTTATAATTTGGTTCTGCATCTTGGAAAGCTTTCTCTTCTAACTGATATATAGGGAATACATATTTAGTTGTAAAATTAGCCATAATTACTATTTGCGTCCTAATATTATGCGAAATGTCATTATTTCTCCACCTAATTACCAGACACGATTCAACAATGTTTTCACTTCCTTTAGAATTTCCCCTATAAATACCGACAGCAAAATTTGTAACATTAACAGCTTTGTTTTTGATTATTACAAAGCAACAAAAGTTTTTAAGGCATATCTTTGTTTTAGCTTCGTTATCTCTTCCGTTTAACAACGACATTGTATAATTCACTCCGTCTATATATGCTTTAAATTTCTCTTTCGCCTCTCTTATAAATAATCTAGAAAGTTTTACATCTGGAAAGTAAGTAATATCCCTTCTGGTTGATAGAATATCAAGACTGGCCATTAAAAGCTCGTCCTCGTAAGATTTCGAGCTATGTTTCAATACATTGTAAGGTGTATAAATACCACTTCCGAACATCATATCGTCTTTATTCTTCAGATTACTTACAAATAATGTTATTCCCATAATTGACGCCCAAGAAGCATGAAAAGGAATAGCATGAAAAGGAACTGTGTTTATCCAAACGGATGACAATGCAATAATGTCAATTTTACGATTCTCTATAAGATCAATAGCTACTTCGCTGTTAAATATATCGTAAGAGATAAGCATTCCAATGGTCCCGTAAGGAGTTTTAAAACAAGATGGTACTGTAGATGTTGGAACATCGTACCACTTTTCAAAGTCTCTTAGATTCTTCTTAAAATATCTTCCTAAATGAACTCCACTTGGCGAATATGCAACATTTGCATTAAAGTGATAGACGCCGTTCTGGGTGCACTGTTTATTATTTTGAGGGCAATTTTCTTTCGCGCCAATGTTAGCTATTAAATATAGTGAATAATTTTTAGCTATACAAGATAGCGTATGTTGAATTAGAAAATCTTCTTTGCCTCCCAATTCTCTACAAGGATTAACTCTACGAATTGGATCCGGTATTTCTTCCAATAATTTATAGATATCCTCTCTGGAAGTCAAATAGTGAGGAAAGAAGAGACCATACTCCGGAAAGACGATTATCTTTGCTCCCTAAAATCATAAAATCTTTATTCATATTTATGTTGACTAAAAAGCATATGATCTTTCCTTTTTGTAACTCTCAATGGCCATTGTCATATAAATATTCAAAGATGATTTCAATATTTCAGTCTTATTTTTCACTTTAAAATACTCTCTAAAAGCTACCGTAGCTTTTCTATCAAACACAGAAACTTTAAATGTTTTGCTTCTATAATTTCTTACTAAGATCGCCAATAGAAAAAGCATTTTGAACATTGTTCATAAGTCTTATTTTGGATTTATATAACTTTAACTAGAATTTATCTTTGGCTAATTAAAATATTTAAATATTAAATATGAATAATTAATTCAAATGTTATCATTTGAATACTTTTACAACCAAATGCCGTATATAGAGTAGATATACAGCGTTAGAGAAAGAAGAAATACTTTCCGTCCTTATTTTCATAGCTGATACATTATTATAGAATCTTATAGTCTAGTTAAAAATTTCGCTAATTCAGTAGAATATTTATGCTGATATTGATGTAATTGAACTTTAATTCAAGTGTTCCAAAAGGAAAAAATCTATCGTTCATCAATAAAAATGATTATCAAGTTTTATATTTTAAAAGAATATAACTATTGACAGCCTTTTGTTTTTTCTTCTCTTTTAAAATTAACTTAATTATATATTCTTTTCACTTGTTTTAAATATAAATAATAACGAAGAGTGTATTATCGTAGGTCATTGTAATTATTACACTTAAAATTTACGGTTAAAGAAAACAAGCTGTATTAAAAACTTGAAATTGTATAAATTTATAGAATCATTTATTAATAATATATTCACTGTCTAAAAAAACCACACAATAATTTTGAAATAACCGTAGATTTCGCATTTTATTGATAAAGATTTTCGTACTTAGAACACATTTTATCACGTGATCCACCTACTTCCGCTCTTGGTTAAGCCTCGTTTTCATCAAAACCGTCGTCCATCTTGTCAAGAAAAGCGGCCTGAGAACTTGTCAACATGAAAATGGGCTGGCAACCTGAAGAAAACGGCCTGCAGCAAATTTTACAGTTGTTAAGAGAATCCCACCATCCAGACACATCTATTCAACGTGGTATTCAACAGGTAAGTTTATTCGACTTATGTGGAAAAATACATTTTTAAATTATAGTCATCCGGCACGTGGTAAAAAAATGTAAAAGTCTTCATTCTAACAGAAATTGGAAGAGTTGAGCCAATATCCAGACTTTAACAATTATCTAGTATTCGTTCTCACAAAATTAAGAAATGAAGACGAATCAACAAGGTCATTATCTGGTCTAATATTGAAGAACACTGTCAGAGTCAACTATGAGTCTTTACCTCCTCAAGTCATAAACTTCATTAAGACAGAGAGTCTTAACAGTATTGGAGATCCTTCACCTCTTATTAGAGCAACCATAGGTATCCTTGTTACGACTATGGCTACTAAAGGTGGCATAGACAATTGGCCGGAAGTATTACCTACATTGGCTAATGCTTTGGACTCTGAAGACTACAATGTTTGTGAAGGATCTTTTGGAGCTTTACAAAAAATCTGTGAGGATTGTGGCGAATCATTGGACACAGGTAAATCCCTAATAGTTTTCAGTTTGTTGCGGAAAAAATCCGAAATCGATTTGTTATTTTAGTTATATGAAATATATTAGTATATTTTACGGATTGTTGGTCGCCATTTAGATCATTTTATTGTTCCTATTTGCAGAACAATTAAAATTATAATGACTCGCTGATAATAGTGACAATTTTTATTCAAAAAAAATAATGGCCGACTTCGATCAAACCTTATAAATGACTATAAGATATTTTGTCTATATATATATATATAATCTTGATAGATATTTCGATTAAACATAAAGCTGCTTTTCTAGACGATAGAGAGTGAATTATTTTCAATAGACGTTTTTTTAGTCTCATTTATGTAGTGCTGGAGGCAAAAATTCAATATTCTTATTTTTTGAGTGGAATGTTGCATTTGCTTGTTTTTAGTTTCCTATACATTGTTTACTTTAATCATTAAATTCTTTATCTATAGGTCCACAAGGTCCATTGGATGTTCTTATACCTAAATTCCTGCAATTTTTCAAGCATCAATCGCCTACAATCAGATCACATGCAATTTCATGTGTCAATCAATTTATTGTATGTAGAACCCAAGCTCTCATGACTCACATCGACTCTTTTATTGAAAATCTCTTCTTTTTGGCTTCGGACGAGGATGCAGACGTTCGAAAGAATGTGTGTCGCGCACTTGTAATGTTAGTTGAGGTACGAATGGACAGATTGATCCCTCACATATCATCTATTGTCGAATATATGCTTCTGAGAACTCAAGATAGAGATGATGGTGTTGCCCTAGAAGCTTGTGAATTTTGGCTATCCTTGGCAGAACAAGCTCCAGTATGCCGAGAATTACTTGCTCCATATATGGAAAAGCTTGTCCCTGTACTTATAAGAGGTTAGTATCCCTAGTCAATTATGCATCAAATAACTCAATTGATTTGCAATGACGTGGTCTCACATACAAGTTTTTTTTAACATTAACCTCAAGTTGACAATCATAGAAAGAATATTTATTTTAATTGATTTTCCTTTAAAATATGTCTTTCAACAGCAATAAATCTGATTTTATAACACAGAAATTTACACGCCAAATCTTATAAATGCTAAAATGTTCTATGCTTCTTTTCTCTATTATGTATACGATGCAAGAAGTTTTCCGCATTGTATCCATAGAAACATTTGTATTTTTTATTATCTTTTTCATCAAACTTCCGTATGAACTTTTCAGGTATGAAGTATTCTGAATTTGATATTGCTCTTTTAAAGGGTGATGTTGATGATGATGCTTCTATTCCTGACCGAGAAGAGGATATTCGACCCAGATTTCATAGGTCGAAGACTCATAAGGCACAAGATGACGATGATGATGAAGAAGGGGATGATGAAGACGACGATGATACGATGAGCGACTGGAATTTAAGAAAATGTTCCGCTGCTGGGTTGGATGTGTTAGCAAATGTTTTCGGAGACTCAATTTTGGCAATACTGTTACCTATTCTAAATGAAACATTATTTCATTCAGATTGGGTTGTAAAAGAATCTGGAATTTTAGTTCTTGGAGCAGTTGCCGAAGGATGTCATGCTGGAATGACTCAACACTTACCACAACTAGTCCCCTATTTGATTGAAAGATTACAAGACTCAAAACCTCTGGTTCGATCTATAACCTGTTGGACTCTATCTAGATATGCTCATTGGGTTGTTCAACAACCCCAACATGTTTACCTTAAACCATTAATGGAAGAACTACTTAAAAGAATACTGGACTCGAACAAAAAAGTTCAAGAAGCAGCATGCAGGTAAGCGAGCACAAAAAATTCCGTCAATGAATTACAAATATGCATTTTACGTAAATCAGCGCTTTTGCAACCCTTGAGGAAGAGGCTTGCACCGAACTCGTTCCCTATCTAGGTTTCATTCTGGAAACCCTAGTAAGAGCATTTGGAAAATATCAGGTTTTTACATAAATCAATATTACAATATATTAATTTCTTTTCATATATTATACAGCATAAGAATTTATTAATTCTATACGATGCAATTGGTACGTTGGCTGACTCTGTAGGTGGTCACCTAAACAAAGAAGAATATATAAACTTGTTAATGCCACCACTGATCGAAAAATGGAATGTTTTGAAGGACGAGGACAAGGATCTTTTCCCCTTGTTAGAGGTTTGTAATAGATAATTGAGTTAAAGTAGTGATTAATCTTGTTATCATGTAATAACAGTGTTTGTCGAGTGTTGCCACCGCACTTCAAAATGGCTTCTTACCTTACTGTGAACCAGTATATGGCAGATGCATAAATCTAGTTGAAAAAACCCTTCAACAATGTATAGCAAACCAGCATGATCCTCAGAACTATGATGTAAGTCGGCATAACACAGTTATAATTAAATTTTATAATTTGCGTGTTATTCTTAATTGAAATAGCTACCAGATAAAGATTTTATGATAGTTGCTTTGGATCTCCTCTCTGGTTTAGCTGAAGGATTACACATACATATTGAGAAATTAGTCGCTAATTCTCATATTCTTAAACTTCTATTTCAATGCATGCAAGATCCAATGCCTGAAGTTAGACAGAGCTCATTCGCTCTACTGGGTGACCTGACTAAAGCGTGCTTTCAGCACGTGAAACCTTTTATTGGTAAGTTGAAAATTTATTATTCTATTCTAACAAAAGAAAGGTATCTGTCATTATATCTTGTGTGATGAAATTGGAACTCTCTCTTGCTGAATCCTTTAAGGAAGACGTTTATTCCACTGATCAAAAGAATTTAATTTGTCTATTTTATTTGTAATCGTAAATAGCATTTTATCTTCAGTTGTTTTCTTTCAGGGAATTTTATGCCAATTCTTGGAAGTAACTTAAATCCGGAATATATTTCGGTCTGCAACAATGCAACTTGGGCAATAGGAGAGATTTCTATTAAAATGGAAAATGATATTCAACCTTTTGTACCCATTGTTCTCCCTCATCTTGTCCAAATTATTAACAGACCGAACACTCCAAAAACACTTTTAGAAAATACAGGTAATATTTAATGCCTACAAGAGTTTAATTGCTAAATGCGCAATATTCTTATAGCAATTACAATTGGTCGTTTGGGTCTTGTTTGTCCGGAAGAAGTAGCACCATCCTTACAACATTTTATAAGACAATGGTAAATAAAATGCATTGAGAATAAAAAACATTATTACTTTTAATTATACGTTAAAGGCAATAATGTTTTTAAAAAATTTACTATTTAATCATTATATATATTTGTATGCTATAAATTAAGAATGTAAACATGTACTTAATTTCAGGTGCACTTCTCTCCGTAATATTCGAGATAATGACGAGAAAGACTCAGCTTTCCGTGGAATGTGCAACATGATTAATGTCAACGCAGCCGGAATTGTTCACGATTTTATCTTCTTTTGCGATGCTGTTGCCAGTTGGACCCATCCCAAGGACGATTTGAAGGAAATGTTTCATAAAATTTTACACGGCTTCAAAAATCAAGTGGGTGAGGATAATTGGAAAAAGTTTAGCGAACAATTTCCAGCTCCTCTAAGAGAAAGATTGAGTGTAAGTTATAATGTCTGAATTAGTGAAAAATATTTGTCTATTTTTCTACGTATTCTATAGCTTTGATTGTTTGCATATTTGTTCACAATATTGTATTCCGCGTGTAGGCTTCTCGTAAAGAGTAAATTCCAGTAAGTCAGATTAAGAGACGATTAAGATAACGAAAACGAGATTCGGGGTTGGTTAATAACAAAGGGGAACGTCCGTTTTCGTTTAGGAAAGTAGGAATTTAAGAGATTAAATTGTTATTAAATTTTTTTTGTTAAACTGTTAACTGCACAAAAAACGTAGGTTTAAACTAAACTTAAGTAGTGAGATTAAATTTTCTAGGTATTTTTATACAATTGAAACTGACGAGAATAATCATTATGATGCAAGGTCATTTTCTTTTCCTTTTAAAACAAAGTAAAACTTCTAGTTATAAAATTCGATTTGGAATTTATACTAACGTCAACTGATACTTTCAAGGAAAAAGCTAAATCATCTTTTAATTAAATACACAAGATTTTTAAACAAAATTAAAATCTTAAATTTTTTCACAAGAATTCTAAAAAGTAGCTCAACAGACGTACTGAAAACAAAAAAAATTCGATTCATGAAAATTGATTTGAGGCATGTTAAATTATGAAGAACTAACTGCCATGATGATTACTTCGCCGTCAGTTCAAAGTTCTTAACTAAATCTGAAAACTTTTAGGAGTAGGGAAGATTATATAATTTAAGCAAGATAATTCTTAGGCGGGGATTAACACTGTGTTATCTATATGTTATGTGGGAAACTGGCCTGCTGTTAGCTTGCTTACGGGCTTTTAATTTTCGTGTGTTATCTCATTGTTCTTCCTGTCTCTGACCGGTGTGTAACTTCGTGCCGCGTTAATCGTTAAATTTTTAGTGCGCCAATGACTTAAAATGGAAGTCTCGTTCTAAAATAAGTGACTTCTGACGATTATTTGGGCAGTGTCAATATGTATGTTCAAATAAAACGATGTATAAGTAGGTAACAACCTGCTTAACAGAGAATTCCATAGTCATTATCTATAGCGCTTTGTGATGTTTTTTATTAAATATTTTTTGTGGTGCTACATATAGGAGTAATTAAGCCAGTGATTCTTTTATCGTGACGATGTAAAAATTTGTCAACGAGGTGTAAGCAATACGACTTGTCAAATGTGTTTTTGTACGTATGCAGGACATAACGTGCGTCTTCTTGTCTTAAAATTTATATCTGTTTCAAAATGAAAGTATGTACAACGGGATATAGTATGTGTTCCATGCTAATCTATAAATGTTATTAAATCGTAACATACCATGTCATACAAGTATATCATGTAATTCTTATGTTGATTCTCAGATATTAAGGTGTACTCTGACATTTAACCTTAATATCAGCAACGTTGAGCACATGTATTCTGTATTAAAAACTATGCATTCGTTCGTCTTCTGCATGTTAGGTAAATTTATTTGTGATAAAATTGTGCTTGTTTTTCTTTCATACTTGTGGTGTTCGTTACGGCATTTTCCAGTCTTGTAAAACAAAAAAGTGTACTTGAACTATAAAGTTGCGTTTTTTCAGCGGGTTTATCTTTGTCATGCAGGTCTTTAACGTGGGTGGGTAGCGTGCTCAAGAGGGTTGGGAAAAGGGTCGGGTAGGGATAATAAAGCCATTAATTAAATTACGAATTATAAGTACAGTATGTGTAGGTATTTCTCATTTTTTGCTACTTTTCTGCATGTTGATCCACGTTGTAGGAAGATTAATTCTTCTTGTTACGTTCTTGTGATAACACGTGACTACTTTGCAGTGTTGTGTAATGCTTAAGATATTCGTTTGGTGAAAAATAAACTGTCATCTTTTCCGATGTACCTTTTTGGCTTGTCTATATGCACGTATATATGTTATACTGTATATATACAGTATATATACTTATAATATATATTATACCTATATATACTAATAAGCATGTTCAGTAAGATTACTTAAGAGAACTGTTAGTTCAATGCAAAACAAATAGATGGTATTCGGTATTGTTCTGATAATACATATTGTTATAAAATTAAATATACTACTTGGAGTTATGAGTTTAAATCATTAGATGACTTTCTTTTTTGTTTTTAAAAAAAAAAACAAATCTATTCATTATAACACAGGAAGCGTTACAAATATCTGATACAATATTACATTCATTACATGAACAAACATGTAGTTTGTGTAATTTAAATATTTCGTTATGCAGTAAATTCCAGTATGAATATTTCAAGTTAATAATAAATTCAATTATCATGGTTTAAGACTTTTAGCAATTTCTGCTACAGCCTTTTTTGAATATTCAGTTGTCTTTGCGGTGACAACTTCTGGAGCGTTAGCTACAACACGAAAACCAGATTCAACATTAGAGTTCCAATAGCCTTTTAACTTTTCACTTGTTTCGTTAGGCGACGGCATCTAAAAAAGTATGAGATATTGCGTTATCAAGGGCGAGTATTACATTGTAAAAAACTTACTGTTCTTATATAAGCTTTAGTATCTTCTAAAACAGCGTTTTGTACCTCATCTATAAGTTTACTGGCATCTGTGTTTGTACTCCAAACTCCTTTGTCTAATGTATAGTATAAAGCTCCTCCTCCTATTGCCAATTTTGCGCCTACTCTATTTACGAAGTAAAAGAACTTGTTAAATAAAATACAATACCATTGAAATTCGCTGTAAAATTCAAGTAATTAACTATATTTAACAAGAATCAAGTTTATAATTATTTATATTCTTCGATTCTTAAAATTGATTTAGAACTTGAATAATATAACCCTGGTTTTTAAAACATAATTATTAACCTTGCAATCGTTAAAGCCATGTTATGAGGTTCCTTGATCCTTATAGACTGGTTCAAGTCGAATTCTTAACCTAATAGTAAAAAGTTCTAAACATAAAATAAACATCAATAACATATTCGAAAAGGAAATTATAAGATTTTTTAATAAGTATACAATTTTGAACAAGATAGTATGAGAGTTTTGTAAGAGTTTCACTGTCTCTTTGGAAGACGGTTGGTTACATAATTGTAATATAATCATATCATTTATCTATAAACCATTTATTTTTGATTGTATATTAATTCTGTTTTTATGATCTACATAAGTCGTTGTAAATTACCTTTATTTCGAAAAATTTATGTGTTGAAAAACTTTCGAAACTTGTATAATGGCGCTCAACGCCAAGTAGCATGGTTCCATGGTATTTCCGGTTATTTAATTTCTAGAGATCATTCTCTTCCATTGATCAGACGTTCTCATTGGCTTTGACTATGTCAGCTGATGCTCGTCATGTGATCAGGTGACCTTAATTGACCCCCATCAGGTCATCCTCCTGTGAGCATTTAGTTAGTACTCGTTTGTTCATTCACTGTACATTAAATTTGGTAAGTAAAATATGCACATTTTAAACATTTTGCTTGTTATGTTTTAGAAATATATAATAAATTATACGATTTAAATGCAAAATCTCGTGTTCGGCTTTTTATGCAGCACGTGTTACTTTAGACCTAATTTATCGCTCATTTTTATTGATCGTTTTTAACCGGCTTGTTAACGTAAAAGATGAATATACTATCGTATGTTACATAATCAAAGATAATCTTAGACCAACGATTTCAAAAATCAAAGTTCACATTTTAAACGGATATCTCAACCTTTATCAAGATAGTCGTCCCATGTAGATAAGTGAACTTTGAGACATAATACTTTTATATTAAGTTCTTTCTTTTTCTAACAGGCATTAATATCTAAAATGTATTCACAAGTATACGATTTCTTTCAAAGAGAAGTTTTGCCCTATGGAGGTAAGTAACATTGGTTTTATAAATGACTATTATTTGATTTGAATTTTTCAAAATTAAAAAAGAATTTGACTTGTAATATTTTAAAAAGTGCTCTAGTTTAAATTCTGGTAAAAGGCACCTTTGTTAATATCATATGATATACACTAGAACTATCTGGAATAAATACAGATCTAACTAGCTGTAATAAATCATTAATAGCACTTAAAAAAAGTAACCTAATAAATATTTCAATTGTTAAATAAAGGTATATACCTTATTCTCTTTAAACTATTAACTACTTTATTCTTTTTATCTGTTTTCAAAAAAATTATATGTAAAGAACCTATCCATCTATCTATCTATCCCTTATGCTTTTCATTCATTTAGACGTCTATCTTAATCTATTTTCAGATCCACGATCAAAAGATTGGTTTCTCCTGCAATCTAATCCAGTACCAGTATGGATTATAACGATTGCCTATTTACTCTTTGTTACACTTGGACAAAAGTTTATGAAAAATAGACCCGCCTATGATTTAAAATGGTTTATGATAATTTATAATTTAGGTTTGGTTGTTTGGTCTTTATATATGGTGATAGAGGTAAGATTCTAGCGATATATTAAGCGTTTTTAATTAAAAAGGAATATGCGTTCTAGTTTAGCAAAAAAAAAATAAATATATCGATCATCGTGATTTTAGTTTGCTGTAAATTTATATCAAATATTAAAAAAATGGCATGAGAATGATATTTACTGTTTTAAAATAGATTATAATAGAATTTTAATAATTTAGATTCCAATTGCAACATGGAAGGCTGACTATAATTTTATCTGTGCCGAACTTAATGACGAACGCAGAAAAGATCCAAGAGAATTAAGGGTAATAAACGCCCCCAACATGTAAGGAAATATTGCTGAACTAAATTATTACCTATATTTCTTTAGGTAGCTGCTGTGATGTGGTGGTACTTTTTCTCAAAGGCAATTGAGTTATTAGATACTGTTTTAATGGTTCTACGTAAAAAAAATAATCAGGTACAGTTTTAATTAATAATTTGTTAATACTTTTTTTGTTTGATTTCCGTATCCGAAGTCTTTGTAACAATTTGAAAAAAGTGAACCCGAAACACTTAAACATGTATTTGATTTATTAGATTGTTCTTGGAAAGTTATTAAAAAAAATTAATTTCCACTTTTAGGATAAAGCTTATTAGATAACGAGATAAATTAAGACGAAAAAGCATGTATTTAATTATACATTTAGTACATATACAGTATATTAAAATAAAAACGTTTTGATTAAGTGTTTTTATATCCAATAATGATACTTATTTTAAATATCCTTTAATTGTTTCTCTTTATTTTTACCAAAAAAAAGATAACATTCCTGCACGTTTTTCATCATGCATCTATGCTAAACATCTGGTGGTGGGTTGGAATGTTCATCCCCAGTGGTTTATGTAAGTTTTCTATTCGCTTACCTATTACTCTTTCTCATTTATTTACATTTTATTACATTTATGTATATATAAATTTTTTATTTTAGCATTCTTTGGCTCTTGGCTAAACTCACTTGTACACGTATTTATGTACGCATATTATGGTTTAACCGCTATTCCAGCCGCTAGACCATATCTTTGGTGGAAAAAGTATATCACTAAACTCCAATTGGTTAGTATTATTCTGTTTTCATTATGATTGATGGCGTCATAAAATGACATTGATACTGGACTCGTCGAAAGTCCAACGATAGCGTAATATATTTCTTATCGGAAAATTAACGAAGAGCTATTTTTCCGATTTGATACATACGTACTTCTATATTTGAAGTGTAGAGCAAATTTTCAGCTATAACTATTTGTTATAGTATAATTTTTAAATAATTTCTAGCAATCAATGTCATTCAATATCAGTCATAAACAGGGAAAAAACATTATCTAATATTACTAAGACTTTTCTATCTTCTTATATAAATAATCAATTGTCTGATATAGATTAATTGAACAACTTTATTTAAGACTATTAATTAAGACAGATGCTCAATAATAATAAAAATATGATAAAGAAGTATATTGATAAAAAAATAATCTTTTTTCTTTATTCTCCTTTTAGATTCAGTTCTGTATCACTCTTTCGCACACCTTAAACTCGATCAGAGTTGGATGTGACTTCCCTAAATGGGGACAAAATTTACTCGCTGGATACATGATTTGCATGCTTGTACTTTTCTCAAACTTTTACATCAAAACTTACCGAGCCTCAAGAAAACCAATTCAAAACGGTGACAGTCATGCCAATGGAAATTCAAAGAGAAGACTGAACAAAAAAGATTAAGCAGCTTTATCAGGATTACTAGGCTTATTTTCAATGTTCTCTTTTAATTTTCTACTGCAACACATCATTTTCCAGTGCCATATATAATGTTAACATCCTAAAAATGATGATAATTGATTTTGTGAGATCAATCTTTTCAAAAGCACAGGTCAATTACATTAGATACTTACGATTTCGTAGATTATCTTCTCTTTGTTTACGCCTAAGTCAACTCTAAACCATCTTTTGCGTTAATCAAGTTATTTATAAATGAATATATGTAAAATTTGTCATTATTAACAATAAAATTAACGAAGTAGTCTGGTAAATCTTAATTGAATAAAAATCTTGTCTTCTTCTTTAAATTATTGCTCCTTCTTTGAATTTCATTTACAAACTTAAGTTTGATACAAAATAGAAAATATTTCTGCCTACGAAAATACCGGTTACTAACCAGTCACTAACCAATCACATTTCAACCAGTTAACTAAAAATATGGCGGGACATACAGCAGGCGAACCGCTGGAGTGTTTTAGTGTAAATTTTAGCTTCTATTTAACTAGTTATAGAATATGTGTTAAATTAGACTATGCTTTATATATTTATAAATCGTCTTTGAGCCTTAAAATGGTCAAAAACAATTTTTAACACAATGAAGCAGTTTATTTAAATTATAGTTTACATGGAGTTGATTTTTGTACCTTTAGATCCCAATCTTACTCCAAAAAGAAATAGAATACGACGAAAGAGGAAATGCTTTATTAGACGAAGATAACAAGCCAAAATTGCGCTGCGGTTTTCGTATTGGTGGGGGCATTGATCAAGATAATACTCTCTCAGCCCAAGGATATCCAGACAAGGTAAGAAATCTAATGTATAATCCTTCAGCCTGTGCCAATTGTATCGATAAATTTTTCCGTTAAGGGCGTTTACGTGACCTACATCTACGAAAATGGTCCTGGCCATAAAGCTGGTTTGCAACAACACGATAAAATCCTACAGGTAATTTTATCTAGGTGAACAGGAAATGAAAATTATATTTAGTCATTGAAATTTCTTTTTGTTAAAAATAGGTAAATGGTCATGATATGACGGTAGTGACTCACAAGAAAGCTGTGGAATATATTAAAAGAAAAGCTATTCTGAATATGTTGGTTTATCGCAAAGGAGTACCCCAAATTCCAAGCTCACAACAAGCCCCAGTCTATAATCCTCCACAATTTAGTAATGATTTGTTTAGTTATTATAGATTTTATATACTTTATTTTGTAATGAATAAGTAATTGCATCACTTGTGCCTATGTTAAGAATATTAAATTTGTTCATTTCTCCCATAGGTTCTCCTCAAAGGCAACCCCCAATGCCACACTCTCCAATGCATAGACCAGATCATAATTTTGGACGCAATAGTCCAATGCATTCCCCATCAAGACATTATCAACCAGCATCTCCAGGTCATCATTCTGGATTTGATCGAAGTTCTTTTGATGCTATGCAAGCTAAACCGTATTAGAATCTCTCTCTTTCTATTGTTTTAACTATAGATCTTAGTAAACTCTTTCAACAAGTTCGATCTTTAAATTAGAATATACTTTAATATTAATCAATTGAATAATTATCAGCTGTTTATTTCTGTTTTAAATACTCGTATATGAATAGCAGAGTTAGTCCTTGTTCTTGTACTATGTTCTCCTTCGTCGGTCAGCGGTTCAATATCATCAGTTAGTCGAACAGATGAGGTTTCAACAGATTGAGATAGCGTACCTCCTGACTTCTCAATCAATTCTAAAGCCAATGTAATAGCTCTGTTCACCGCAGCACCCAATCCATGAATATATATCTCATTTTCACCTTCATCAAATAGTTTTCCACATTTTGCCATCTGACAATTGAAATTAGTCTTTTTTGTCACATATATATCAATTTTACGCCTAGGTAGTCTTGGCGGTAACCGTTTTCTAACTTCAAATTCAACAGGATCTTCAGTTTGCATGGGCGACGCCATTTTTATTACACCATCATTTTCGTATAAATTGTACTATGCAATATATATCACCATTAACATAAAGATAAAAATAATGTTTGTTTCTACGAAATCTAGTAGAAAAACTAACAAAACAGGTATGTTAAATACAAACTAACAGAGCGATATTACAGAGAACCGCCTTATCAAAGCTAGTGAATACCTGTCAGGTGATGGAATTTTAGTACTTTTTTAAAAAGTCAAACTGAAATAGAATATGAAGCAATGGCAAGGAAATATATTATATTCTATCGTATTTTTTCAATAAAGAATATTTTAATAATAACTGCACTAGGAGGATTATTCTTTTTTTTAAATAGCTTCAAAATCTCATCAATTGCCGATAAACTAAATGATACTTTAAGAGAAACAACCAAAAATCAGAAACAATATTGGATCCTATCGAAAAGCCATACATGTATTGAGGCTGCGGAATTCGTTCCGAGAAATTGGTACTTAAGTATTGAAAAGAGTAATGGAATTTTTAACTGTGAAATAGATAAATCGTACAAGAATGATTTCGAATATTTAGAAGATGTTCTAAGAAATGGCGGTGAACAGATCGTTGTCGTTGGATCTCATTCTTCCATGTTCACTAACCATTTGAGTAGTTCTACACTTATTATTCCAAATAGAACAACCTATGAAGGATATGTTTGTAAGGAAGCACCTCATTCAATAACTATAGAATCGGATGCGTTTCATATGAAAGATTGGAATATCCCTTTTCATATTTTACAAGAGACTTTAAAATTTTCACCTTTAACAAATGTTATATTTAAAAGAAATGCTTTTTGGTTATTTCCCCTTTGGAAGGATAGAAGGAATTTGGGACAAGCACTTGGTCTGTTGAATTCGTATAGTTTCGTAAGAACTGTATATAATGAACACCTTAAAAAATCGGATGAAAAACTCAACTCAATAAAAATCCGCTGCATAAATGAAACCTTAAAAAATTGTCTGAAAAGTTTACCTAAAACTGAGATACTTGAAGAAACAATACGAATTTTAGATAAACAGTCGTATAAGTGGCCTTTTGCATTTTTACAGTATGATTCTTACTATAAGAAATGTTCAAGAGTATTTTGGAAAGAGAGAGGAGAAAGACAAATGAAGGATGAGAATTGTCAGGAAGTAAAGATAAAAGATCGTCTCTTACGACAAACGAAAAGCATTGAAGATGTTTTTTTATTAGTTGTATTTAATAATCCATTCTATAATAATATACCATATATAAACTCTCTCTATGGAAAAATATTCAAATATATGGCGTACTGCGGACCACATTCTGCTCCAATCCTTTATGGTGGAATTTTTATTCAATATCAGAACGTTCAAGATCATGTAGCTGGTGCCTTCAGTTACATTTGTTCTAATATTCTTTTATCATTAGACCATAAACATACTAATGGCTTAATTGTTATATCTGATGATATGTTGTTCAATGTTCATAGTATATCCGATTTGCCCAGAACGAAAATATGGTTATCTCCATCGAAAATTGGCAATATAAAAATTGGAAAGGAATGCCGTCTGGGAATGTGCGACTTTTATACGTCGTGGACGTGGTGGACTGTCTATAGAACAGAGACAATTAATTCATTAGAAGCTTTATTAAAATCGAAGAAACGAACTTTACGGGCATGCGCAGAAAACATAAAAATTTTAACTGGAGATTTATATCATGTTTATGGAGGTTATTCAGATTTCTTTTATATACCTTCTACATATAATGAGAATTTTATTATTTTAACAAACCATTTCCTGAAATATAACGTATTTGTTGAATTGGCAATACCAATTACATTACACTGCTTAGACGTATCAAAAGAAGCCATAGAAACTATTGAAGGACTAGCCGATTGGACGGAAAATAGAGATTTTCCTTGGAATCATCTCCATAAATTCGATATCCTTATGTATTTGCATCCTGTTAAATTGAGTTTAATGGTTAAAGGTGATCAATATTATCAAGATTGGCAAAAATTTTACTGTAAATCATTGGCTTATCTTAATGATTTCTATTCAAGGAATACAATATTACGTTGAACTGATACAACTACGAAATACAACGAACAAATCAGCGGCTTAAAAATAAAATGTTGATTATTAAATTAAATATAGAACATAAATAATTGGATTTTAGGCTAAATTTCTCCATGTGTAGTATGATTCGGTGAGATTGAGTAGTAATTAAAAAGAAAAAAGAGAAAAACTCAAAATCGTCTGAAAGAGAGGTCACTTGATGTGTCATTTGTATCCCAGTTTGGGTAGACTGCTCTTATTGACATTGAAGGTCAGTTTTAGCCATAATTTTTAACGTGTAATGGTTGATTTAATTATATTTTGATTATTATTATTATTTTAATAGGTTAACGAAAGTAGAGAGTGAGATATAGCAATGAATTTAAATAAAAAAAAATGCTCTTTAGCTACATTTCTCTACTTTGTGTTAATATTTCTGTTACTAGAGTTAGTCGTATACTTGATCTCTAAGGACCTCATAACACAAGAAAAGTCTGAAGTTAATGACCTGAAAGTAGTAGATAAAACAAGAACCAATTGGATAGTGTTAGATGACTATTTTTGTCATGAGGTTGAACAAGTTATACCCAAAAGTTGGATCTTGAATGTGAGAATAAAAAGTAAAATATACAGTTGCGAGAAGGATAAAACGTATCAGGATGATTTGGAATTTCTGGAGGATGTTGTTTTAAGTGGTGGAGAAAAAATTGCCCTTTTTAAATCGCTTCCAACAGACTTTTCTAAATGGACACAATCTTCTACACTTATTATACATGATGCAACCACAAATAAAGGTGAGGTGTGTATGAAGACACCTCATTCCCTGACTGTTGAAACAGTGGACTTTCCAATGAATGACTGGGATAGTCCCTTTCACGTTAAGAATAGGCTAATAAAAATTCCAGTTGCAGCTGATATTCTTTTCAATAGTGATTCATTTTGGCTTTTTCCTTTGATGGACAATATACCCTTATTTAGGAAAGCGCTTGGACTTTTGAATTCTCATACAATTATAAGAACAATTGATAACAGGGATTATTTAGGTTTGAAAAGTATACCACCTTCGATGAGAATTGACTGCAGCAGTAAAACTATTTTTGAATGTTTGAAAAGTTTTGAATCGTCGGATTTACTTTCAAGAACTTTAAATACATTACAAAAATTACGATATCATTGGCCAACATCGTTACCAGAAGATAGAGAAACGAAAAGTTGTTACACTGTTATTTGGAAGGATGAAGGTGAGAAACCGATGGCGGAACCGAATTGTCACGAAGTGAATTTACATGCCCCACTAACTGGCCAGATGCCGATGAGAGATGATGTATTGTTAATGATAGTTTATAATCATCCTCTCTATAAAAGTTTGCCGTACGTAAATTCTCTATATGGAAAATTGTTCAAGTATATCGCTTATTGTGGGCCTAATGAACTTCCCGAAAATTTCAAGAACTTTTTTGTCAGATATATTAACTATAAAGGTCATATAACTGGGGGTTTTGGGCAAACTTGTACAAGTGTATTATTATCTCTACGCCATAGACATACAAGAGGCCTATTAATTATATCTGACGATATGCTATTGAACGTTCATAGGCTATCACAAGCTTCTCTTTTTCATGTTTGGGTAAAGGGTGCTTATAAGAGAGATATTAGAAAGATAGATAACGAAAGAACTTGGTTACAATGGAAAAAGTATAAAAATGATATTAAAATGGCATTGGGTGATTTGTATACATCAAGTGATGTTCATTTAAGGCAATGCGGACAAAGATTGGAAAACATTGGTGGAACTCGTTATACAGTTAGTGGAGGTTACAGCGATATATATTATATACCTTATTCTCTTTCTAATGAATTTGTAAAGTTAAATAATCATTTCCTGGATTATCAGATTCCATTTGAAATATCTGTACCAACTGTTATACTCTGTATGTCTAAGAAGCAGCCGCTAAAGAATGTTGATTTAAGACCTTCGAATAGGAATAAGCAATGGGAAACAATACATAAATTTCACCAAGTTATTTATATTCATCCAGTTAAGTGGGGATTAATGAGGCGAGAGAGATCCGATTATCGTCAATGGCAAAGTCTCTATTGTAGATCTAAAGCCTTTATAAATGATATATCTGGAAATAAGGAACTTCTTATTGAATAATTCTGTCATTTAGAGTGTAGAATTTGTTTTCTTGATATTTTTTGATTAAAAGAAAGCTTCTTTAAATACCAAACTATTCTTCTTTGTGTTTCTATTATAGAGCAAGACGTCTTGTTAAATAGTTTTATAGAAGTCTTGTTTTTATTTAATCAAAAGAATTAATAGGTCAAGTTGATCAGGAAGGAAAGAAATATGTCCAATTCTAGATGTATACATTTCGTAAACATTTCAATTTGCACATAAACTACTCATAGAGTTTTTTTCTTAGTGTAAAGTTAGAACTGTCTGGTCACAAGAGTCTAGGTCAGACGGGGCATAGATTTAGTAGCCCTTCATTGGTAGTTATTTAGGCTAGAGGGAATGAAACAAGCCTATTCATTGTCTGGGTGTGACAAATATGTTTTATACATGTTCATTATTATTTTAGTATTAAACAATAGGCTGATCTTATGTATGATTTCGTGGTACTCTTCTTTTTTAAAGCTAGAACTAACCGTTTAATTACTTTCTACCCGTTTTCCTAATTATATTTGTATAACTTCCATACTTGTCTAATATACCAACAGGATTAAGTTAATAAGTGTCTTTTATTCTTTTTTATAAAACGTAATAAAAATTGCACCAAAAGTGTTATAAATATTAAAATAAAGACGATGAAGGAAGAAGGATAGAAGGAGCTGGAAGAAGGAAGAAGGCAGGGAGGGGAAAAGGGAAAGAAAAAAAATCCAAATATCTGTTAATTTCTTTATTTTATATCTCTTTTTTTGTGATTTAGATAAAGAAAATGATTCGTTATTTCTTATTAATTGATTCTCTATTTTTTATGGCTCTTTTCCTCTTGCTAAGTTGTTTTCGTTGCTTTTTTTTCTTTTACATTTCGGCAGTCCAATTGGATCTTGCTAATGTATTTGGATTTCCTATATCGTTTGGATGATCAAGTTTATATCTCTCTAATTCTTCTATAGAATCAAATATTCTGACGAGAAACGGGGAACCTGGCACGTCATAGCCGGACCATTTAATTGCGATAGTATAGTCTCCAATTTCGGTTGGATCGTATCTACATAAAATGGTTCTATCCATTTGGCTTTCTTTTTTCATTTCTACTCTGAAAGCGGCCTTTGGTCCTCGAACTCTTACTGTTAGTTGCCCGGCACCAGCTCCTTTAGTTTCTACTACAAATCTTGATTTAAATGTTGCTAACATACCATGTTCAATCCCCGGACCAACCACCCGGACTTTAGAGGGATCTGGCGCTCCTTGAACTTTAATTTCAAATGGACTTCCGGGGATATGCTGACCTGCGTATTTAATTTGTAAAGTATGCTTCCCAGTTTCTTGCGGTTTTATCTTTAATTTAAATGTGCCATTTTCCTGATCTAATAGCTCGCAAAAGGCTATTTTATAGGGCCCAGTACATTGGGCTTGCAATTCACCAGGTCCAGCTTTCTTAGTATCAATAATTGTTGATATGTCTTTGCCATAGATGGCGGTTCGAAGAGTTTCATTCAAACAAAACACCTTATTAGGATCTGCCTGTGCCGAGACTGATATTTTAAAGGGAGAACCTTTGACGTCTTTATCTCCCCATTTTACGTTCAACAAGTAGGCCCCCGGCTGCTCGGGGATATATGTACAGCGGAATTTATCCTCTCCTATAGGTGTTATAGCAACGTTAACATGCACTTTCAATCCAACGATTTTCACATCTGGAGCGCCCGGTCCGGCTTGACTTCCATCAATTACAAATTCAGCTTCTTCTCTAACACGAGCATTCTGAAGGCCAGATCCTGTTAAGATAACTTTCTCTATACCATCAGCAGACATATGCCTTTCTGGTAGAGCATAACCAGCTAAAGGAGAATCGGGAAGATCGACTCCACCCCATGACACATTTAAGTAATGTTCACCCGCTACTTGCGGCGTGAAAGCAAGCAAGTGACGATTCGATCCCAAGGATCTAGCCTCAACAGGTATTGAGCCAGTTGGTCCCCTAACTTCTCCGCTCAAGTTTCCTATTCCGGCTGTCGTAGTGTCGAATTCAATTCTCTTCATTTCGTTTACGACAAGAGCAATTCTCGATTTGGAGTCCATATGTGATTGCCAACCTCCGATAACAGCAACCTTACTCGGCGATATAATCTGCGGTCTCCAAGGCCCTCCCGGAACGTTTTGACCATTCCATTTGACAACTACAAAATATTGTCCAACCTCAACCGGAACATAAGTTACTTTGTACTTATCATCAGATTCCGGCTCAACATGGCACTTAGCAACGCTGTTTGGCCCATCCACTTGAACAGCAAGTTGACTTCTATTTCCTTTTCCCTCAACCACAAAGGTAGAAGGTCTCCCTTCAACACCATTAAAGAGGCCTTCACCAACGACGTTTACAAAATTATTACTACTCTCAGAAACGTGGATAGGTAAAGGACAACCCGGAACGTCTAATCCACCATAAGTAATCTATAAAAGAGTTAAAAAAACACCGTTTAAATAATAATTATTATCATTAACTAATTAAAATTTCAATCAAATCAACGTACGTAAGCTTTAAAAGTTCCACTTTCAAAAGGCATAAAATTAGCAGTAAAACCTTTATCGTTCTTGTTTAAATCGTATGGAATATTCTCATTCTTTGGAGATGTAATCGTTAGATTTAACTCGGCAGAACCAGCATTAGCTGTAACTATTCCAATTTCCGCTCTCTCACCAACTAATAAACTCTCTGGAAGTTGTACGTGTATCTTATTTGGATCAAAAATTTGCACTTTAAAAGGTGTTCCCGCAACATGAATTCCCGCGTATAAAGCTTCGACAACATGCTCTCCTGTATATATCGATGTATATTCAACTTTAAAGTTTCCATTTGGAAGTTCGACAACCTTCGCAGGTATCATCTCTCCATTTGGAGCTAGACGAGGGAATAAATAAAGAAAAAGGAACAATTATTTATCAATTAAATAAGATATATATATATATAAGTTAGACGCTTTTAATTACTTAATCAATTATCTATAGTACCATTAAAAAGTTATTGCTTCTTTTTAAAACGATTAATAACTACTACTGAAAAAGGGATTAGTAAGATTGTTTTATTTGAAATAGTCGATTTAAACTGTGTAAAAAGAAGAATATTAGTATTAAAGGAAATAATATACATAAGAGATAGATAGATAGATGGAAAGAGAGATTAAAAATGAACGATTTATTAGATGTTATCTCTCAAAAGCATTTAGAAAAGTTGAACAATATTTGGTTATGAAAGGTAGATTTGAGCTTTCTTTTTAAATAAAACCTTTAATTGACACTTGTGATTCATCTAATGAAACTTGTCCTTGTTTTATTAATGTTGCCGATGCTAATTGATTGATTTCAAATGTGGTTGGTGAAGATGAGTCTAGCATGAGAACTTGATCAAGAAGAGCCATTGGTACTGTCTTAGGACAGCCTAAAAGATATATTAGTTTAAATTAATCAAAATAATCAATAATCTTATTGATTTACGTACCTGGAACTTGTTCTAAATTGAAAAAAACATTTATAGTGTGTTCATAAGGTCTTTGAACAATATAGTGATAACGATGTTCCGTATTAGACAGTTTCTCTCTCACTGTCCTTACCAATTGTTTCTCACAGTACACTTCTACATCTATATCTCCAGAACCTGCTTTACTAGTATCGACGGTAAAACCTAGTTTGTCGTCAAGTTTGCCGCCTGAATCGACGTCGATTACTTTAACCTTTGATACATCGTACGCAGTACATGTAAAGGGGCAGCCTGCTACAGGTTGACCGGAACAGGTGACAATAATTGTATAATTTCCAATAGTTCTTGGAATGAACTTTGGAATTAGTACGCTATTTCTCTTTTCAAGTTCATAGTGAACCTCTTTACTTGAAGGATCTACTACTTCAACTTCAATTTCCGACATTGAACCAGAAGGAGGTATGTCAACATTGAAAACTACTTCCTTATCGACAGGAATTGAACGAACTCTATCCCAATCTATCCTTATTAGAGAAGAATCAACAATAGGGCATATAAATGGTGAACCTTCAACTTCTTCTTTGTTAAAGTGAATAGCTATAGTATGAGGAGTTCTATCTTTCGGGACAAAAATAACTTCATAAACGAAATCACCAACTTGTTCTACTTGACTTATTGCTCGAGCTTGGTCTTCTGCTCGAATATCAACTGTTATTGTTCCTATTCCAGCTGTTTGACAATCGACTTGAAAGGCGACAGGTTTTCCGACATTACCTGGTCCTATTGAACTAACTTTTACAAGTCGACAATCATAAATTTCAGGATGAAATGGGCTATCGGCTATTTCTCTTCCGTTTAATTTAATGCTCACTTCATGCATTCCAACTTCTTGAGGTATATATTCAATCTTCCATCCCGATGAATCAGTAGGTGATGGAAGGGGATTCAATTTCCTTCCAGAAGGAGATTTAATTTCAACATCTAGTTCAGAGTTATCTCCCATAGACGAACTGACTACAAAGAAGGATGTTTTTTTCTGAACTGAAGCTAACCCTAATCCGTCTCCGTGAGCAGTAACTTCTGACGAATCTGTAATTTTAGTTACGAATGGACTTCCCGGAACTGCATAACCATTAAAGGAAACGTGCATTAAGTGATCCATAGCCTTTTCCGGTGTGAAAGATACATTTATTTTATGATCTTTTCCATACATGGGTACATTAGGCACATTTTTATTATCTACAGTAACTTTAATGGCTAATTGTCCTGCACCAGCGTTAGATGGGTCAATAATAGCTGTAAGTTTTTCACCAACATTTCCCTTATGAACTGGATTTACAGTAACTTTTGAAGGATCATAAGCTTTCGATTGGAAAGGTGATCCGTTAACATCCTGATCTGTAATCTTTAAATATAAATTGTGTATTCCAAGTTCCAATGGAGTATAAAAAACAAGAAAATCATGCTCGTCAACTTCTTTAATCTTTATAGGTAACTTCCTTGATTCGTAATCTATGTTTATATATAAAATATTCATTATATTTATTTCTTAAAGAAGTTATTAGCAAATTAATTAATTAATTAATTAGTTAATTAATGTTAATGTTTGAAGCTTACCTTGCAAAGGTTTAAATTGCAGAAAAGTTGACAAAAAAAATCATAAATTTTTGGAGAAAAAAATGCGGAAAAAATAGATGATTAAGCGTAAACAGTAGCGATTATCAAAGCGTTCATTTTGGATTAATTAATAAAGCGTAATTGTTAATTATGTTAATAGTTCGTTATGATTAATGCTTATTATATCAAACGTATTATAGTTAATTGTTATAAGCTTTAGATGATAAGCTAGATAATGAAACGTTGAACACTTACCCATTACCATTACATCTAACATACTTTTGTTGAATCCAGTACTAGGCATATTTAGTCTAAAGTATGTTTCCTCTCTACATTTCACTAAACCTATTCCATCTCCACTAACAGATACTCTCGATATGTCGAGAACGTTAAATTTAAAAGGACTGCCTTTTACGTGAAAAGAGTTGAAAGTGACTGAAGCTTCGTGCAAAGCTCCTTCCAAAGGTGTGTAAGTTACTTCAAATTTTCCAGAACCAATTTGCTGTACATGATTTTGAATATTCTTTCCAGATACAACACCAATAGCTATTTGTAAATTTCCTTCTCCAGCACCGTTAGCGTCTACAAGTAGGCTGCTTTTTCTACCAACAAAGCCATCATGGATTTCGGAGACAAAAATCTTTGACGGATCACTACAGCGAGCTGTAAATGGGCTACCTCTGATTTCTGTTCCACAGTATAGGATAATTATCTGATGCTTTCCAACTTCCTGTGCAACGTAAACAACTTCAAATCCTCCAGAGTAAGATCCATTAGTATCTATAGACAGTTTCTGATCGTTTGGACCTAAAATGTTCGAATAATAGAATAAAAAGGCAAATGTATAACATTATTATTACCGAATACTATAACTTCTAAGTCGGCCTCCCCTGCTGCTGTTGTATCAACGTGAAACATAGCTGGCTTATTAACAGTACAATTCTCTAATCCTTGCCCTCTTGCAACAACCCTCCCAGTGTCAAGAACTGGTATAGTTAAAGGACATCTTGGGGCTCTCTCACCATTGAAAGTTACGTCGACTATGTGAGGTGTAGATGTTCTAGGTACAAATGACAATACAAAGAGTCCTTTACGACCAGCAGCAGCAGGTTTAACAGTATTTTGTACTTGACCATTATTAACAGTTATCTCCAATGGACCTTCTCCTGCTGAGGAAACATCCACTGTCATCTCAACCGGCTTTCCTACTACAGCAATAGAGGCTTCCCCAATTTGAATAGCAGACGCATCATAAGCTTTTGCCGTGAACGGTGATCCAGGTATGATAATGCCTTCAAACTTAACATCAATTGTATGTGAGCCAGGTTCTAGAGGAGTATATGTCAACCTCGAAATTCCAGATCCTATGGGGCTTGATTGTATTGGGAGTATCCTTCCAGTAGGTGAAGTAACCTGAAAAGAAAAGCGTGGTTTGTTGAAATTTATCATGTTTTTGTTAGTTTTTTATTTTTTAAATTACATTTGCAGTTACGGTCCCATTGTTATTCAAGCCACAGTCCACGTCAAACGATGCTATTTGATGACAAGATATGGGACCCGAAAGTCCACGACCAGAAGCGTGAACTCTTTGTGCAGATTTAACATCAATATTCCAAGGACTACCCCTTAATTCGACACCATTAAATTTCATTCTAACAACGTATGTACCTCCCTCTAAAGGTACGAAGGCAGCGTGAAATTGCTTATTCCCCCGACTTTGAGCAGCGCATTTTACAGAACCGTCGTTAACCATAATCTCCAAATTTCCAGAACCAGCAAGTGAAGCATCTATATCAAATTCAATTGGTCGACCAATTAAGCCGAATGAAGTTAAATTCTTTATAACAATTGAACTAGCGTCAAATGCTTGCATTCTAAAAGGACCATTACTAATGGGTCTATTCATAAATAGAATCTCGATAAGATGTTCTCCTAAAAACGACAGCGAAATAGTTTGTTAACATTTTCTGATACCCCAATAGATTAAGTAAGAAAGAGAAATTAAATCAAATATACAACTTACCAACTTGTTTAGGAAGATACTCAACTTTGTAAACACCGCTGGATTGATTATTGATTTTAGATGGAACAGAACTACCGCTTGGCGCTAAAAAGTTCGTTGAGAGAAGAATTTGTTTATTTTTAATTAGTAACAGAAATTTTTTATCATATTTAAAAATCAACAAAAGCTCATATAATTATGATTTGTCTATAAGCAGAATTAAACTATATATATTATATATATTTAAATAAACAACACCAACCTTAAAAAAGGATAACATTTAGAAAAAAAAGGCGGGAAATTCGAAAAAAAAAAACAAAAGAATGCTGTGAAAAAAAGTTCAACGGATAGGATTAGAAAATGAATGAAAATCGGATTAGGAACTTTGGAATAGGTAAATATTTTAGGTATTTCGTGAAGCGCGGGCGTGAAGAAGAATAATAGGATTGTCTTTTCTTTTCCTTTTCTTTTCTTTAAAAAGTAAATTTTATGCGAAAACCTTGTGAAAGTTTGACAAGAAAAGGAAAAGATCTACTTTTTATCAGAGGGTTAAAGGTTAATAAACAATATCTCTATACAGTTTACAAGTGATAGTTAAAAGTTAGAAAAGATGCCTCTAGGACCAATAACGAAAGAGGTTTAAAAAAAGCGCGTCTACTTACAAGTGATGTCAACTTTTAAATCCGATAGTTTGGTTCCCGGTGAATCGGCGTAGATGAAGAAATTGGCAACATTACCCAATGCACTCGATTTTAAACCATCACCGCTAACCTCAATCTACAAATTAGTAATGTTTATGAACCTATATTTTTGTTTTAATGCATGTATATATATTTAATATTAGAAATATGTACCTTGGAAGCGTCTACTATCTCTAGTGTAAAGGGCGAACCTCTTATAGGCAGATTTGCGAAAAGAGCTTTAATTGAGTAAAGTCCAGATCCATGTGGAGTGAAAGTTGCTTTATATACACCTCTTGATTCCCTTTCAATTTGTGTTGGAATTGGATTTCCACGATGAGTGACTTCAACCAACAAATTTCCTTCTCCTGCATTTGAGCAGTCTGCTGTGAACGAAAAACTTCTTCCGGCAACTCCACCTTCCAGTCCGCTTATTACTACTCTATTGACGTCAAAGACTCGAATGCTAAACGGTGAACCTTCGAGATCTTTACCATTGTACAGAATAGAAATTAACCAATCACCAATTTCCGTAGGAATAAAATTAGATGTGAAAACTCCATCATACTCCTTAATAGACCCTTCGATAGTTTGACCGGACGGAGCTTTAGCCAAAACCCTCAAGTCTCCTTTGCCAGCATTGCTTGAATCAATCTGAAACGTTGGTAATTTTTTATGAAAGGTATTATTCACAAAACAACCATCTTGAAATCGTGTCCTTTCCATTTTTGCAAGACGTATACTAATTCAATATCTACTACGAAAATAACAAGTAAGTACTTATTCTTTCAGTTTGAATTATGACTATTGATTACCCACCTACTAATTAATATTCATAAAATATAAAAATTGCCTTTAAAGTCAGTGATGAATTGGTTTTCCTATAAATATCATTTTGACAAACAATAATTGAAATGAAGGCAGAATTATGATTAGAATAAGGTAAATACAATATGTAGTTAATTTGAGAATATACCCTTCTATATAGTATACAGTATATATAGTATTTATATATTTGAAACTTTATACTATACTATATATATATTTAATAAATTTAATACGCAGAGACTTTTTGTCTAAAAATTCGACAGAAATGAAAAGAAATAGTTTTTTATAGCTTTAAAATATCGATTTACGAACTTTTATGCCAATTATTAATTTCCATATTTTTTTCATTTATAATTATTCATTACACGTTTAACTGAATCATAATAGTTTGTACCTTTTATTGTTTATACTATATTGTTTGTTAAATATTAAATATCTTACCCTAAGTTCGTGTTGTGATCCCAATGCGCAAGTCTTCTCGCAATATGCTAGTCTTACTCTACTTGGATCGGCAAGAACTGGTACATTTATCGGACAACCTTCCAAAATAAATTTTCCATTTGACACTAACACTGAATGATCTCCGCTTACATCTGGAACAAATGAACATTCTCCAATATTATCTTTCCATGTTATATGTCTTGCATAAGATCTAGAATTTGGCGTTACTATTTCGCATCTCATTTGACGTTTATCTATACCAGGTTCGGCGGCAACTTCAACTTTAATAGCTTGGCCAACTATACTTCTTTGCGACACATTCAAGATTCGTGCAGAACGAGAAGGTATTACTTTAACATCAACTGACTTGGGTGAATCTTCTATTGGAAATCCCTTATGGGAAACAACAACTTCGTGTGGTCCAACTTCTAAAGGTTCAAAATTACCTCTACAATAACGTCCAGCCCAAACTAATTGAGGTTTTGGATTTGTGTTTGGTCCTCTAATATCGATACGAACATCGGATGAAGAGAATTGATCGTCTAGACTTTCTACCTGGAAATTTACAATTTCTCCCAAGTGTTTAACAGCATCAATTTGCTTCACAACAATGGCTTTTTGAGCAGGATATTTCACATTAACATATCCTGGTGAATTATTAACGAGAAATCCATCGTGCCTTGCATAAATTTGATGCTGTCCCGGTTCTAGTGGAACAAAGTAACATTCAGCCTGATTATTCTTCCATCTGATGTTAATATCCGGTTTAGTTCCTGTTGGGCTAATAATTTCTGCTTGAACTTTACTTGGATCGACAGATTTGTCTAGGGCTTCTAATCTGAAATTTGCCTGTTCACCCACTGACGTATATTCATCTGCTATTAAACTGACTGCCGACGCCGCTCTCATTTTGACCCTAATAAAAACGGGACAACCGGCTATTGCCTCTCCGTTATTCATAACTTTTAATTGATATTGGCCTGATTCCGTTGGCATAAAAGAGCCCCTACCAAACTTTCCAGTCCAATTAATTGGAGACGATACCGGAATAGTAGGGCCAACAATATCAACGCTTACATCATACGTTGGTACTGAATCATCAATTATTTTTACGCTGTACTCAACAGGTAATCCAAGCTGAATTTCTTTATTATAAGAAACTAGTTGGACGGCGCTGTCCTTTGAAATTTGAGCTTTAACCCAAACTAGTGCTGGACAGCCGCTTATTAATTCTCCATCGTTCAAAACCCTAATTTGATGTTGACCGGATTCAGTAGGCGTAAATGTTCCTCTACCTTGATTACCAATCCAATTGACAGCTGCAATGGGTGAGGAGTTTCCAACAATTTCTACACTTACATCAGAAGCGCGAACAGATTCATCGATTATTTTTAAAGTAAATTCCGAAGGTCGCTTAGTGATTGCATCCTTATTGAATGAGGTTAGCTGAACTCCATTAGCTTTACTCACGGCTGAGAGCTTTACTAAAACAGGAGCAGGACAACCTGTTATTACTTCGTTTCCGTTCAGAACTCTGATTTGATGTGTTCCCGGTTCAGATGGAACAAATTGTCCCTGTCCATACTTTCCAGTCCAATTTACCATCGCTTTCGGTCTGGTATTTGGGCCAATTATTTCAACGCGCACATCGGCCGTTGAATTTCCTTCCATTAATCGTAAAGTGAAGTCAACTGGTCTACCGCCGTGAACTTCTCTATTGTATTGCGTTAGCTGAACAGCGTTAGCCTTTATAGATGGCCGTGGTAGAGATTCTAGCGAGGCGGTCGATGTTTTTTGTATCATTTCGTGTTTAACAAGTCCATTTGTGTTAACTCCACTCTTTCTAACGTTCATAAACCAAGCAATATAGGCCATAACTCCTAAATGATCGACGTCTGGATCGGCCATTTCCTTTGCTGGTATAACAGGCTCAATGCCTAAAGAGACTCTAGCTTCAGTCATAACTGCTTGTAAATTTGCAACATTATCCTCTCCAAGATCTGGAGGCGACCCGCCGAATCTAACAACGAGAGATCGAAGTAAGATCCCGTCTATCCAGTCCGACGTAAAATTATTAACGTGTTTCGTTGGCATCTGATTTCGAACCCACTTTAAAGTTTGGTCGTATCCAGCAGAATTTGCTTTCATAAAATAAGATAAATAGGTCATTCCAGATAATTCATCAAGATCAACGGAAGCCATATGTTCTGGGGTAAGCACCTTGGGTATGCGGAAGAGATCGTGAGCCAAATCAAGGGCGGTTTTGCAGTTTTTAATTTTGTCATTCCTAGATAAATGACGCCAATCAGGACTAGCTCCTGGTGAACACCAATCAATAAGAGCATGCAGGAAGATACCATCATTCCAATCAGTAGATAAATTGGCTATTCGGCATTCTGGAAGAACTGCATTTAACCATGCAAGCATTAATTTTTTCGGAGGAGATCTTTTCCCAGTAGTGGGCGTTGTTTTTCCAGTCCAAATTTGATATCGTAAAATTAAATGCCATATTAGGGCTAATATAAGTTTAACATTCCCATTTACGACATCTTCAGAGCCTAAAAAACAGAAGAGTATTCAATTAGATAAGACACACTCTAGATTGTCCTACTAAACTATCAAATATGACTACTTGTATATTATTAGTAAAAAGTTGATATAAATATGATAAAAAACAATTCATATTCATCTTAAAAGAATTTACAATTTATAACAAAATACAACAAAATTTTTACACAATATGTTACGTATCCCGTGTTCAATAACGTTTAATAGAACTATACATAAATATATAAATATATGTAGTATATACGTCGTTTATTGGATAAAAAGAAAAAACAAAATTTAATGACGCAAAAATAATATAATCTTTTCAATTAAAGCGTAGTTTTTTTTTAATAAAATATGCCTTTTATTACTATTATTATTTAGTAGTATTAGTATAGTTCAATAAGCAAGGAATCCTAATGAAAAGCCGCTTAAATTCTCGTGTTACTTTTCTTCTCCCTCGCTTACCCACATATAGGCAAATTGTATTTAATATACTTTTTGTATATTACCCTACAACACAAGAAAGACTTTATAAAAAAGTATTCAATTCACTTGAACCAAAGTTTTAACAGAGAAACAACAACAATAAGGAATCCTATATATTATTCATGGGTTGACTTTTGAATGATCAATTTGATTGAATAGTTTTATCAATAATATTGTTTTTTTTTCATTAGAACTCTCTTGTATAATTAGTTAGAAAACGAGAGAGAGAGAAAGGGGCGGAGTAATAGGTAAATGGGGAATGCAATAAGAGAGATAAAAAAAATTGATCTGATAATGAAAAAAAGCTACTTGAAAATCAAAGATGAAAAGATATAAAACGTGAATGATGAAATATTTTAGGGATTATTCAAGGAAAAAAAAAGAAGAGATAGAGCATGAATAACAGTATTTTATAACCTTAAGGAATAGTAAGACTATGATAAAAAACTACAAAAAAGAGCGAAACATAAAATAATAAATCCTTTTAATATTTTGACAAGACAGAAAAAGGGGCGGGGCTTTTAGGTTACGTAAGATAAGGGTTAAAATCTACAGAATAAGCAATAACTATATGTTATGTATTTATTTAAACTTGTATTAGTATCAGTAAGAGGTCTATAACTGGTTAAGAAAATTTACATATATGCTAAAAGTGAACAAAGCCTCAGAAAAAGGCGTAAAATTTGTAATAAAACTAGGTTTTATGCGCATTTTACACACATTTTTAACAGTATTTCGAATATATATATACATATACTTGTATATACTTTATAAGAGTATTTAGCAATCTCATAGAATCTATATAAATGTACTACCAATAGCAATCTTATTCTATTGCTAAATCAATCATTGCGTTGGTTAATACTAAAAACTTCTTTATGGCCCTACCCCTACTTCCTTTTCTGAAGCAATACCTTTAAATTGTCAACATTTTTGGCTAATTATCAAGTTTAGAGTGTTTCTAAATTTAATAATACACCTAGAAAAATAGTTAAAATAGTTCAAGAATACTCTATATAAAAACGAATGAAAAGAATTAAGGTATATAGTATTTTTTCCATTAATAGATATTATAAATTGACAGTATTTCTTCTCTCTCCCTCTATCTTTCCCTTTCAGTCTTTCTATATGCTACTATATACTTCTTACATACTGATAGGTATGCATATATTTATTCTATATTCGTTTTATTACTTCTTTTTGTCTATGTTACGCTTTACTCCCCTGATTTGCTCTTTCATTCTTGTCGTGACAAAACAACTTTTTTGATTAGATCACTTACCAATATTTACCAATTTTACTCCGTCTCTAGTTATAGCACGCAAAGCCAATGTGACATTCTCCAATTTCTGGTGCTGATTATTTGGTCTTTTAACAATTCTACCTATCTTTCCTCTGGTTAAGAACGAGACTAATTCGCATAGTCTTACTCCATTGCATAAGTCCTTTTCCAGATTTTGAACTAAAAACGATTCATCGGCGCTGTTAATACGCAACTGTTCATTGACCCAATTAGAAAAGGTCGTTACTTGAATTCTTAACCACGCATCATCAGCTCCATGCCATTTACCATCATTGGCCATTTCTTGTGGGGCGCGGTTAGTCGACTGACTCACGTTGACACCGCCTTACTATGGGGATTTCTTAAATCCGTTGTAATTTCCTTCGATAATCAACGTTACAAGTTTTGGAAAGCGTTCAAAATGATCAAGTTAGCCGTGGAGCGCGTTGTTTATAAACTATAAACAGGCTGCAGGAAACAGTTGGAAGTAAAAAATCGATTGAACTCTATTGATGCGAACGGCGCGCTTGAATTGAATCGAGCTGTCTGCTATAGAACACCGAAGCGACATCTTACGATCTTTCGGGCAAAAGGGTAGGGACAGGAAGAAAAAAGAATGAAAGGTTAATAAGCATATTCAAAAAGTAAGAGTAGAAAAAATGAATTAGACAAATTGAGATGGTTGAATCCATTGAGCAGCTAAATAATACATAACTTATTCATAATAACAGGAAATAATACATTTATTCCGGTAAATAAAATGGGTTATTTAACTATTTTCGATATATCTGTAAACTTTTTACGTAGATCATTCATAAAAACGATCATTCAGGCTTAACATGCGACTTGTAATTTTCGTATTATCAGTATTTTTAGCGTTAGGGAAGACAGACGATAAATTCTTCGAATGTTTAGAAAATTGTTCAAGTGAATATGATTCCTGCTCCATCAAACTCTGTAAATTCAAATCAAGTGTAAGGGCAGACATTTTTGTTTAATGAATACAAGTTTTAATAGAATTCTTCCTCCTTTAGGCAGAGCTTTTACAGAATGAAGAGAAGGAACGTTGTATGAAAATGTGTTTCGTACTTCATTCAAATTGTCTAAATTATATTTGTGCATCATTAATCAATCGTAACATTACGTAATCTGTATTTTTGTTATACTAGCTATTGCATATTTCTTATATCTCTAATAATAGAGAGTAAATACAAGCAATCATAATACGTAAATGCTTATCTTATCTATTCTTTTTCTAAATAGGACACTTCGTTTAATTATCATTTTACTCAAATTGACCATGGCTAATACATCAAAGATTGACAATAACTTATTCAAAGTTCCTCTTAGCACTGGATTTAGGAGATTTTTCTATTTCGTCAAACCGGAAGAAAGCTCCTTTGATAGTCCCGAAAATGTACCTAGTTATATTAATGAGGTAATTACGAAAAAGAGGAGTTTTATGTAGTTTTCATTAATAATACGATACTTTCTTGTGTTTAATTTATTCAAATTTATTCCAATCATTAATTATCATTTCTTTCTGTTTTCCTTTATTTCTTGAATAAAAACTACAAAAAGGCTTTACCATTCTTCTTTGTATTGATAATAACCGAAAACATCATCAATTGGTACAAAGACAAAAAAATGATGAGACTAAACGATGCTATGTCATCTATATCCGCTGGTATAATAAGTCAACTACCTCTGTAAGTGTACCTAATCCTTCATCTTTTTAATCCTTTTAAGTATTTAATTCAAAATTTTCAAGGTTAATTCGTTAGATTGAAACCCCGATTGTATCTTTTTATAGATTAGATTTCGTAGAGATTAACATAGAAAAAAAATAAGAGATTTAATTCTCTGTTTTAATCATAAATACTTTGATTAAAGAAGAATATTATGTAATACTGTTTATAAAAGTCTGTTTTTATTGATGTTTTCTTGATATTTTATCTTTTTGATAGTCTATTTGGAAGGTCGATTGAAGTTGTCGTTTTTTGCTACGTTCACAAACACTATAAGATTGCAGAATTGAATTGGAATAGTCCTATTACATGGTGGATCGGCTTTTTGGGTGTTGATTTGGGATACTATTGTTTACATAGGGCTGGACATGGTTAATTATTCATTTCTAATAAGAACTGTTTGCAGTATTTTATTTTAACGTTTTGCAGAAATTAATCTTTTTTGGGCTGCTCATCAGGTTCATCACAGTTCTCAAGATTACAATTTATCAACGGCTCTAAGACAATCGATATTTCAAAGGTATTGTTCATGGATGTTCTACGCTCCTTTAGCCTTATTTCTTCCTCCTCAAGTGTACATGGTCCATGTACAATTTAATCTGTTATATCAATATTGGATACATACTGAGGTAGTTTAAATAGTTCTTGCTTTTATTAAAATACAAATGTAAGTCTGTGTGTTAGTTAATTGACACTTTGGGCCCACTTGAATGGATTATGAATACGCCAAGCCATCATAGAGTGCATCATGGAAGAAATCCATACTGCATTGACAAAAACTACGCGGGTACCCTTATTATTTGGGATAGATTGTTTGGAACTTTCCAAGCCGAAGAACGGGAAGTATCTTATGGCCTTGTGCATCCTTTACAAACCTGGAATCCTTTTAACGTACAACTATGCCATTTTAAATGGATTTGGTTAAGATTTAATCAGGAAAAAACAATCTTAGATAAATTATCAACCATATTCAAAGGTCCTGGATGGCATAAGGGAACACCACGTCTCGGTAAACACGAGGAACTACCAGAAGTAAGATAATTCTCCTATGAGGAAAAAATTACTAAACTTTAATTAAAAATATCCTCATTAAAAGGTAGAATATCCGGTTAAACTTTATGACAATCACCTGCCTTATTGGTACAATATCTACGTGTTTGCACATTTTTTGATACTAATTGTGGCTTATACGGAATTGGTTCAATTTAAAACCGTAAACTAGACATATTCCAACAAATTTATCAAAGAGAATTATATTTTTCTTATATATTTATTACAGATAATGACGTCATACCAAATAACTTTGGCTATATTATTTATTTTATACAGTTTAACGACCTTTGGTGCCCTTAACGATAAAAAGTAATTGACCTATATAAATCTAAAAATTAAAAATATATTTAATCTTTTATCGTTCTTTATTATAGAATTTATGGTTGTTATATGGAATCTGTAAGACTTTTAATATTCATGGCGTTATATTTCTATTTCGATCCGGAAAAGAAGTTTCCATCAAAACATTATTTCTATAATGTTAGAGTATTTATGTTAAACATTTAATTGAATATAAATAATGCTAATTTATTATTGTTTTTAGGGTATTAAAGTTTTCTCAACTTTTAGCTTTTGTTTATTTACTCTAATTGCTAATCGACAATATACAACTGGAATAAATTACTGCCATGAAATCACTCAAAAAACCAAGAAATTATTATAAGAATATTGTTTTTCTTTTATAAAAAAAAACAAAAACTGTTCTCTAGAAAGTTGTTTCTTTCTCTATCTATTCTATCTATCTTTGCTTGCTACCTATTTTTAAAAATGATCTTTAAGCTTCAAAATATATGTGAATAAAAAGAATTCCACTGATAACGAAATAGTTATACAATTGACCTAAGACTTTCTACTGGAGAGTACATATTTTTTTGTCTTAGTACTTCGGGTACAAGTACCAAAGACTAAATATCGTCCAGTAAGTAGTTTAGAGATTAAAATGTAACGGAATGATGTACGTTACAGAAATTGATGAAAAGGTGGGATAAAAAACACATGAACAGCTGTAAATAAGCAAATGGGATACAAAAATTCCCGTATTTTCTTCTATCTTTATTTATAGATACGGATGTTATCGATTTTTAATATACCCGCTTAAATTATTTACATAAATATTTCATATATAATTGATAATTTTTATGTTAGAAATGTTAATATTATTCGAATTTTTATGTCTCCCCTATAATTTTTCGCTCCTGTTCAAAAGCAGACTGGAAGATCAATACGTGCAGTTTAATTTCAATTTTATTACAGCCAACTTTCATTCAAGCAGAGACCTTGAAGAGTGTACATTTTCAAGATACGATTTATAGATTGATTTTTATTTTCTTAAATCTATATTATCTGTTCAAGATAAGGCATTATCAAATCAACAAATTTTTGTTACAAGAAAAATTATTAGATGCTTGCAATCAAACTATCTGTATTGCATTCAAAGGTACACAGCGCTTCCATGTAAGTTACTTCAATAAACAATAAAGTACATATCGCTGTTTATTTATTTTGTTGTAAGTACTGTTTGTAATTGACCGGACAAGAAATTACGAACGTATCACGCATACTGAAAAGTTTACAAAAAGTCTAGTTATATAGGTCATCGTCTTCACCCTGTTGAAAATTGGAACCTCCGCTTCCTCCAGCTTGCTGGTCACTGGAACCCTGTTCACTTGGGAAGCTAGAGATGAAAAAATAAAATTTCAAAGTATTTTCTTTTGTTTATTTATTTCGTTTGCTTACCGAAAGTTTGTTCCAAATCCTCGGCTTTGTTGTAAAGTCTGAGCGAACATCTGGTATTTACGAACATCATTATCAGTAACAGACCTTCTAGCAAATTTCATAGCTTCTTCAAAATGATCTTTTCTAATTTCTGGCACAGGATCGCACTCATCATCCATACCGTCAGGATTTTCAGTACGTCTTTTTTCTCTCTTGATTTCCTCATTAATGCTTTCTCTGATGGCTAGCTTACAAGCTCGTTGACAAATTTCCGTCAAATCGGCTCCTGAAAATCCGCGCGTTGTCTTTGCCAGATAGGCTAAATCTACATCGTCCGCAACAGGACTCTTTCTTAAATTAGACTTCAAAATAGAAATACGAGATCCATCATCCGGTAATGGTATATAGATCAATTGATCAAGACGACCAGGACGAAGAATAGCTCCATCTATTATATCGGGTCGATTGGTGGCGCCAATTATGAACACGTTCTTTTTAGATGTCATACCATCCATTTCAGTCAACAACTGATTGATAACACGGTCAGCAGCGCCTCCTCCATCACCAACAGATCCTCCTCTAGATTTGGCAATTGAATCTAACTCATCAAAGAAGAGAACGCAGGGAGCAGCTGCTCTTGCTTTATCGAAAATATCTCGAACGTTAGCTTCCGATTCTCCAAACCACATCGTGAGGAGTTCAGGACCTTTAATAGAGATGAAGTTTGCCTGACATTCATTGGCAATAGCTTTAGCCAATAGAGTTTTACCACATCCAGGAGGGCCATAGAAAAGAACACCCTTTGATGGAGTCATTCCGAATTTCAAGAATTTATCAGGATGTTCCACAGGGTACTGAACAAGTTCCTGAAGCTCCTTCTTTACCTTTTCCAAACCACCAATATCTTCCCAAGTGACTGATGGAACCTCGACTGCGGTTTCTCTTAGAGCCGAAGGATTAGATTTACCCAAGGCCCATCTAAAGTTCTCCTGAGAGACAGCTAGACTGTCCAAGACCTCAGCGTCAATCTGTTCATCTTCCAAGTCAATAAGGTCCATTTTTTCTCTTATTTGTTGGAGAGCAGCCTCAGAACATAAGGCAGCTAAATCAGCTCCAACGTGACCATGAGTTTCAGCTGCAACTTGTTCTAGGTCAACATCATCAGCGAGCTTCATATTTTTGGTATGGATTCTCAAAATTTCCAATCTTCCTGTGGCGTCAGGTATTCCAATATCTACTTCTCGGTCGAATCTACCGAATCTTCTGAGAGCTCCATCTACAGAGTTAGGGCGGTTAGTTGCTGCCATAACAATTACATGACTACGTTGCTTAAGACCGTCCATAAGGGTTAAAAGCTGGGAAACAATACGTCTCTCAACTTCACCATGAGTCTTTTCTCTCTTTGGAGCAATAGCGTCTAATTCATCAATGAAAATTATAGCGGGAGCATTTTTCTCTGCTTCTTCAAAAGCTTTTCTCAGATTTGACTCGCTTTCACCCGCTAATTTAGACATAATTTCAGGTCCATTGATTAAGAAAAAAAATGCGCCAGTTTCGTTTGCTACCGCTCTAGCAATTAATGTTTTTCCCGTTCCTGGAGGTCCGTACAAAAGAATACCACGTGGTGGTTTTACACCGATAGCTTTGAATAATTGAGGATGTCTAAGAGGGAGTTCAACCATTTCTTTAATCTGAGCCAATTGTTTTCGGCAGCCTCCGATATCGTCATAGCCAACTTCGTTCAAGTTTTCCTCCTCCTCTTCTCTTTTAACTGGTTCACCTTCCGTGTGTAGCACGGTATCAGGTGCAACTATACAATAAGGAGAAGGGTCCGTTTCGATTACTTTGAATTCAACAGCTCGCATGCCACCTCTTACAAGAAAAATATCACCCTTTCTGATTGGTCTATAAGCTTCCATAAAGTATGGTTTAAGGTAAACTTCGAATAGATTTCTGAAAAATTAAGTAGATTATTAACATAGCTAGGATAAATTATTATCATCAACAAACCCTGTTAATCCTTCAACTGTGTCATCTATTGGTAAGACATGAACTCTTTTACCGTACTTTACGTCAGGACAAGCCTGAACACTTACAATATCTCCCAATCTTACTCTCAAATTGTTTCTCACGCAGCGATTAATTCTAATTTTATCACTCTGGCATGTATCATCGGAGAGAACAATACATACTGTATCTCGACGACGCTTTCCCTTCAACATTACAGTGTCTCCTCTAAATAACTGAAGTTCGTCCATTTTTGCTTGAGAAAGGCTTACAACAGAATTGTCTTCGTTAATTGCCTCTTCAACGACCAATCTATTTGGCTTCTCCTTTTTGCGAAGGATAGCTGTTGCAAGATCGTCACTGAAAAGAATTAGAAATGTTATTTTATTATAAAGATAATTAATTTGTTTACTATATTATATTTTCAAGAGAAATAGCTCCTATTATGGCTCTAATTTTAGGGCTGAGTCATCCTAAAATTACACAATCGAACAGTATACGAAAGTGTTTTGATCAAATATTAAAATAATATCTCACTTTAATGTTTCCATTTCACATTTGTGGTTTTATTAACAAATGATCTAATGAGATGACTAGTAACTTTACAATTTCGAATGTAATATTGACAAGTTCGTGTTTATGATGTTTAACATTTCATCATTAAAGTTTCTTGAGAATTTTGATAGATTTGCAATATTATCGAGTTTGTTTAATAAATTATTTGAAAATTGATAAGCTTTGCCTATGCGTTAAAAAAAAAATGTTCCCATTTTCGTGCGGCTCTATAATGGTGACAAAGTAAGACTAGACAAAGCTCGATTTTATTTGGGTAAGTTTAGTATACAGAAAGTTTTAAGATGCAAAAAAAGTGACAAGTATACTTACTTCTGATTATCGGCCATGATTTTGTAGACTTTTCCTTTTAATTCAGTAACGTAGACAACGGATTATTATACTATACTGACGATACTGGTTCTCTATCGATATCGACAGGTCACCTAATTTCCGTTTCCTACACAGTGCAAGCGCATGCGCAAGTAGTCAGGACACTGCAAAATTTTTAAATTTCGAAATTACTTTTATTTTCTCTTTATGACACTTATTAAAACAGAAATTATATCAGTATTATTTATTATATTTGTCCAATAGCGTTAAAACTTTAACTTTGTTTAAAATAAACAAGAAGTTATGTAAGAAATGAATAAATGAAGCATGAATAATTGTGATTGCACAATGGTATATAATATGCAGACACGTAGCCTATGTCTTACTGGTAAATAGTCACTCACTATATTTACATAAAATCGATAGCATACTTTATACACAGTATATGCCGTACAAGTTTTAATCAATAGGGTTTTAGGTTACTCAATTTCAAAGGCATTTTCGACAGAAAACTGAAAGATTTAGACTCAATGAATCTAACAGACACTGCTAGACGTATCGAAATTCTAGATGAATTTAACACATTTCACAATAATACTATCGAATAAAAGAACACATAAGAATTAGTGAAAGTTCAGAGATTATACGAATTTCCTATAAAATCAATAATATTAATCATAATTCATTGATAGAAGATAAGGTTTAACTCTATTCCCCTGAATACGTATGAATATATTAAAATTCGGAAAGTAATGAAGATATGTTTACAGAAGAGAAAATTTAGATAAAACTCTTTGGGGAAGTAAAAAATCAAGCCATCAGTGATTATGTATACAATCAAATGTTAAGGATGTTTGATGGAACATCAATCGAAAAAAGAATATACGTCATTAGGATAAATTTGACGTTTTAGATATAATTTCTTGGGTTTAACCATCTTTATATACCATTATTAGAAGAAGACTCTCATTTGTCAATTTTAGTATATTATCTAAGAGAATGTTCTATTTAAGATAACGTTAATTTATCATATTTCTCCGAGATAAATTGTAAACTAACAAGCTGTTAGTAGAATGTCATTATATGTATAATATGTTCTATTATAGAAAAAGATTCTTATCCCGCCTCTAAGACCGTTATTGAAAACGATAACAATCTTATTTCGAGAATTACTAAATACTAGGTAGAAAATTTTTTAATACTTCCGAGAAAAATCTCCACATGTATAGTAAATTACTATATATTCTTTGAAAAGCTCTAAGAAAGTCGTGGATTTTAGGCAAACTTCCGGTAAGCAATATAATATTTAAGGCGAATAACATATTAATACAAATTTCCGTTATTAGTTTCTCCAAAGATCATAATTCTATTGATAGTAAGGATTTACTGTTTTCTAGCAAAATGGATAACGAAGACCTTTATTATTAGACCTCAAAGTTTTTATACAATACTTGACATTCTCCCTTACACAGTTTGTGGTAAACAGGAACAGTAGCCATTAATTATAAAGAACTCGTCTATTTGATATTTCCCTTCAATAAATTCTCTTTTATTTCATTAAGCGTTTGACCTAGAAATCCCTTCATAATATTACTATATGAAAGATTTTAGATTATGATTTTTTTAAACGTCTTCCAATTTGCCGGGTATCCTTCTTTATTATCTAAGATTGGTAGTATCACGTGATAATAGACCAAAAACCGGTGTTACCGAAAAGGTGCTACGGCTTGATCGGTAACTTTCAATAATTGTATTTCCCTTAAAACGTCGTTAGAAAGAGTCTAAATTAGATCATGTTTAAAACTGGGCGGTTAATAAAAAACTGCCTTAAAATATATTCTTCAAATCTTTGTCGAACGTTGAATATTTCGACGTTAAACCGAAATTTTCAACCTGCATTGAGCGATGAAGTTATTGATACAAATGATGAGAATACCTATAATATTTTATCGAATAATATGTTAATCTTTAAGGATTTTATAACGGTAGAGGAAGAAGATAATCTACTCAGAGAGTTAGAAGTTCACTTGAAGAGATTAAGATACGAATATGATCATTGGGATGATGTAAGAAAATAATAATAACAAAAAAAGAAAAACGGGACAAGGAATTTTCAAATCTTCTCTTTCAGGCTATTCACGGTTATCGGGAAACTGAAAGGAAATCGTGGAAGAAAGAAAATCAAACCATTGTCGATAGAATAAGAAATGTTGCTTTTGAAGAAAATTCCAAACTTCTGCCTCTTGTGCACGTATTAGATTTATCAAAAGACGGATGGATAAAACCTCATGTTGATAGTGTTAAAGTAAATATAACTTTGGAGGGAGGAAAAACACAAATCTAATTAGTAACTTAATTAATTAAATTTGTTATACAGTTTTGCGGTGATACGATAGCCGGAATATCGTTATTATCATCAGCAGTGATGAGACTAATTAACGAAGGGGATAAAACAAAATTTGGCGATGTTCTTCTAGAAAGAAGATCATTGTACGTTATGAAGTAAGTACTAAGAAAATAAGAAAGGAAAGGAAATAAAATTAAACTAGTTTTGCGGATGTATAAAGAGAATTTTGACAGTTAATTAACTAAGTGAATTTTTCTCTGTCGTTCCCGCAGAAAAAAGGCTCGCTATGACTACAGTCACGCAGTATTAAAAAATGAGGAATCACTTTTCAAAGGAAAACCAATAGAAAGAGAACGAAGGATATCTGTGATTTGTAGGTCAGAACCTTGTTGATTATAATACTGATTATTAGAACTTTATTATTATTATTATCATTTTCTTTTCATTTGATACGTAAAATACTTAAAAAGATTCGAAAATTACAAATCATGTCTCTATGTAGTGTTAATGTGTTTCTATTGGCTCTAATCGTAATCCTGATGGCGGCCGGTCGTTGTTCCCATAGAGTTCCATTTCCCTTAGTTGCGATCTTAATTTCGAAATTTCGTTTCTTTGCATATCGATTATTTTATTCTTGTCGGTAACTTCTAGTTCCAATTTGGTATTTGGATTGTTGTCGAGGAGCTATATAGAAGGAAATTATTAGACAAACAATTAATTACTATTGTTTATAATTTCTTTACAAACCCTTGCAAGAGTTTCAGTAGCTTTAGCTTGATTAGTTTTCCTATGTAATCCTAAGGCTGCTTCCAAGTCGTGGACGTGAGAGCGAGCAATCTTCAACTCTTTTCGAAGATCGTTTATTTCTTTGATTAGCGAGACATTTTCCTGCATAATTCTAACGTTATCAGCTTTATGAATTTCTGTATCCTTTACGAGTTTCTTCCTCAGGGATGCTACTGAACGTTCTAAATGTTCTCTTTGACGGGCATACTCTTTTTGGATGTCAGCGTCAACGCTCGCCTCCGAAGTCTAATGAGTAAAATTTTTTTTTAACTTGTGAAAAGATAAGAAATAGTTTTAAGACACTTACGATGTCATCCTGTACGTGTTTTTTATATAGAGCTCTGATACTTTCGCCTAATAGCTTTGGATCTTGGATATAGCCAACGCAATTATGTAAATCTGTTCTAAATCGTCTAACGACAGCTTCAACATCTCTGACTGTTTGACGTTCCTGATGCTTCTCCTTTTCAGTAGCCTTTAATTTTTGTTTTAATTCGCTAATGTTTAATTCTAGCTGGGTATTCTGCTTGTGGAATCTTTCCAATTCGCTTTCCATCTCTTGAATCTGTTCCTTTGAATTTTTAATTTCCTTTTCGCGGGGTTCAATTTGTTTTTTAAGCTCTCTAATTTTATAATCCAAGACGAATTTAAACTTTTCTAATTCTTGATTTTTCTTTTTCAAATCGTAAATTCTCTTCTCTTTATCTTGAATAGTATCGTCTCTTTCTTGAATTTCTTTCTTCAGACCTTGGATATCTTTTTCTAATTGATGTATCATGTTGTTGAGTTTTTGAATTTCTTGCTGATATTTCTTTATTTCTTCCTTATGATCTTCGATTTCTTTATTTAAGCTGGTAAACTTCTTTCTTAGAATACCTGTTTCAGCTTTCAACTTCATATTGTTGTCTTTCTCTTCCTTTAAGCGACGTTCATATCTATTTTTAATATCTAGGATCTCTCTATCAGCATCCTCCTCAATTTGCCTCTTAGTTTCTTCGTATTCACGTTTTTGTTCTCTCATCTCGTCATTAGCAGTTTCCAACTTCTTGTTCATATCATTCAATTTGGCTTCGTAGAATTCGGTCATCTCTTCCAGCTCTCTTTCTTTTTGCTCTTCCAGTTCCTAATTAATAATATTAACATTTAATAAATTAGTCTCCAATGAAAAATAGCTACAAGTGTAAAATAATCACAAACTTACGTGTAATTGTCTTTCGTAATCTTCCTGCATCTTTTGACTCTTCGTTTGTAATTCTTGATATTTTTCGTATTCGAGCATCAACTTTTGATTGTTTGCAGATTCTGACAGAAAAGAATAAACAAATAAATAAATAATTAAATAAGACTTATTTGAATTAGTTATACCTAAATCTTGGACTTCTTTACTGTGCCTTTCAATTATGTCGCTAACATCGTCTTCATGCTTTTGTTCTTGTTTCTCTTTCTCAGTTTTTAGAACTTGATTTTTGGTTTTCAGAGATTCCATTTCCTGAATAAACTTCTCAGTAAGTTCTTTTATCTTCTCGTTATAATTCATATCTTTCAATCTCATCTGATAGTCATTTTCCATCATTAATTCGTCTACTCTTGTTTTCAATTCAGCCATATTTGAGTTCTTTTCTTCTAAATCCGACTTTGTTATCAGGATTTCTTCAGCATATCCAATATCTTTATCCGCTCGTTTTTGAGCTCTACCTTCCCTGTCTTGTATCTTCCATATCATTACGCATGAATCATCCGAGATAGTAATTAACTGCTGATCGTCGTGAGTAACTTTCATCTTAACAATCTGAGAAGAATGACCGGTGTATTCAATCCATTCTCCAGGTGTCGTCACAGGAAACTTGATAGATCTTAAGGCTCCGTTATGCATGCCGGTGAAAAGCATTCTACCTGAATGTGACATAGCAACAGATGTGAATGTTGCATTATCTTTGGCATCAATTTCTCTGAGTACTTGACAGTCCGAAATTTCCTTAAGAGTTTTATCAGACCCTACAGCGTAATATGTCTTCCCTTCTGGACTCAGAGCAACGCCTGTATAGTGATTTGATTTAAGAACACTCTCTCCAGGTCTCTTTCCTGTGTAAGTTTCCCATTCGTAAACTGCGCCATCAATACCACAAGACACAATTCTACTGTCGTCCTGACTCCAGACAACAGCTTTTACTTTTCCATTATGGCCCTTTAGATTTTGTACCGTTTCAAAAGTAGTTGTTGAATAAACTTGTATTATGTTCCCATGGACAGCGGCGAATAAATGACCTCCATTAGAGAAAGAGCACTGAAAATGTAGATAATGTTTCAGTTTTAAAAGAGACGTCATTCAGTTTGTTTGAACTCAGAATACTTTTCATTTAACAATGGAGGCTATTTGCTTTTAAAAAGCCGTCTAAAAATCCACCCGCATATAAGGGTATTTTAGCTAAGGGTCAATAGTACTCAAAAGAAGACTAGACTGTTGTTTACTCTTACTATTATTATTCCTATGATTAATTAACCAAAAACATACTAATTTACCAAATTTAATTAAAGTGTTAAATCGAAAATCCTATCTGTCAATATTTTATTTTAAAAGAACTTTATATAATTTAATCGAATAAATGCTTCTTACCTCTCGACATCCTCTAATTGTAAATTCTTTAAATGGGCGGATATCATCAATAAGAAGATTCATCAGTCTCAGCTTATCGCTAAAACCAACAAGAATGTAGAGTCCACTAGGATGCAGAGCAATTGAATAAGCTTCTTCCGGAAATTCCTTATATAATTCTATATTATTTGTTTCGAAATTCCAAACCCTTATAGAGTGATCGAGGGAACAAGTGGCTATTAGCGGTTTTCTTATGCAAACATCCAAACCAGTCACTTGACCGTGATGGAAAGACTGCGCAAGGAATTCGAACTTGCCATATTCCCCTTTACCCAATTCAGTTGACGAAAGAGCAATGGAAAAACTCTGACCTTGATCCGTAATACAAACTAAACTTTCCTCTGATGGACTTATTGCCAAGGCTGTTATTGTTTGCGCTGCGTTTTTAGCTGGATCGATTGTATTTTGATCTTCCGGAATCTGTTTTCAAAATGTATTTAATTACCTAAGATTTATCTAACCTTGTCTCATTCATCATTTTGCTATTAATTACTCTTTAAATACAACTATTCCTCTCTTTCGTTTCTTATTTATAGTCTCACTTTTCAATAAATATATATTCATTAAGATAAAATTAGAATTCTTAGAACACTTTATGAAAGAAAGACTTAACAAGGTGACGCTAGATGCCTTTGATGTAATCTCTGTAAGACTAATGGATTACAACCTTTTAATGGATTTTACAGATTATTATAAAATACTTTTAAAAATAGATGGCGCTGTGTGTATTTTCCTTGGAATAGGCTTTCTTGTACTCTTACTATCCTCCAACAAATAGCACAAAGCATCGCCTCTTTAAAGTAGTTTAAGAAGGAATTTAAACATGATTTTCACAAGGCTAATTGAATATTCAAAGTCTAAATAGATGTATTTAATATAGTTTAATAGGGCTATAAAATAAATGATTGAAAAAACTACGTCTATTCAAGAGCAGTTAATTTGGAAATAGCAATGCTTATAAAATATTCTCAAAAGTGATAAAATTTACCTAAATTTATTTTATGACTAAAATAATGGCTTTCATTTACATTAACGCATCATAATAGACCATTTGGAGATTTCAATACAAAATAAATTATCCGTATAAATGGTATTATACGTGTTTTATGATTGAGAAAAGAACCATTTGAAATCTTGATATTATTCTCATGTGAAAATATACATATGTATATATATATAACATAATTAACTGAGCTAATAAATTTCTTCTGTTTGCGCAAAGAAACTTACCCTAACTTCTCTGGTTTTTTTGAAAACTTCTTTTTCTTCGCTCTTTTCAAAGATAAACACTCTTCCAGGGCCCACTGTACAGGCAAAACCTTTTGAAAAGGCGGCGATAGCTGTAACATTCACGGACGCATCGAAAGATTGTTCATCCGAAATTGTCGTCATTGTTTTCTCTCTTTCCAAATCGCTCTTTTCTCTGTCTAACTTGATTAGATCAGCAAGATTAATTTCACTTTTAACTTCTCCAGCTTCAAAAATTAGTAGCCTGATGTAAAAAGAAATAAATAGTTTTTTATTTAATATAAAAAAGGGGGCTATTAATTATTACAGACTTTCCGCTGTCCGTTCCAACTACTACTCTTTCATCCGAAACCCAGGCTTGGCATAAATAATTTTGTTCCGCTTTTTGAAAAGCGAACTGTTTCAAGGTCGTTTCACTATACCTAAATAGTTTAAAGATTGCATTGCCAGTCGCGCATATTTGCGTATTATCTTGTGGATTAAACGTCACTTGGTAGACAGGCAATGATCCCCTTGGATCCGAAGTCTTGGTAGATGCCATTACTCGTGACTTTTCCCAAGTCCAATACAAAAGAGTCCAATCCGGCTTACCTCCCTGCGTAATTAAGTACTTTGAATCTGGTGAGAAGGAAACGCTAACAAATTCTGAGCTCTGAACTTCGGGTGACGTTAGAACTTTCCTTTTTCTTAAAGAGTGTAGATCGTAAATTGTAACGGTCGCTTTTCCAGCGTGCCTTTCAGCCAAGGCTATATATCGCCTATTTGGAGAAACTGCCATGGCTGTAAGAGCTTCAACTTTATCGGAGCCTGGAAGATAAATAGGATTTTCTGTAATTATCGTAGCAATGAAATCATGATATAATTGATAAAGAGAAAGATCTATTTTTAGATATTTTCATCTCTGTAAGAGGTCAGCCCCGATGATTTTATTATAGGAATTAGGGCATAATTATTCACAATTGGGTTGACCACCTGTAATTTAAAACTCTTCCACTTGAAAATCTCATTCTCCTTTTCATTTAATGATTCATAACATTATAAATAAATTCCCTTATTCTTTTGATAAAATTCCAACTAAACGCTTACTCTACCCACCTCCCAATTTAATAGCCTAAGATGGATAGCGCTGTTTCCCTAGCAACAGACAACGTATGTTTCTTAGTTTAACGCGTAGCTTTAGATCTTTTTCTAATTAAAACTTAACGAAACATATTTATCAACATCTTAAGTTACAATCAAAATAAATTGTTATGTCTTAAACAAAAAGAAAAAAAAAAGATGAGAATGTAAAGAAACAATAAATAAAACAAAGAAAAGAGGGAATTGAACCAAATTTGACAGCTTGTAATATTGTTAAAATGTCGAATTGTCAGTAAATTTGTTTTTTAAAACAAAAAAGGATATAGGTTAAAAAAAGTTTGCAAGATTTATTTGGTTAAGACAGAGTATTTTGTACTTCAATGTCACATAACAAGAAAAAAAACCTATTTGGTTTCTTTCATACAATAGAATAATGCTATTAAGAAATTATTTGTTCTCCAAGGCTAATAATCTTTCCTATCTTTATCTCTTTAGCTCTCTCTCTCTCTCGCTCGCTCTCTGTGGATTTTTACAATTTGGTGGTCTACTTACTTTTGATGGAGATAAACAGAGTATCGAATCACTTATTTTTACAATACAACCTTTTAAAACCTTGTACATATATCAATGTAATTGTTTAGGTTATTAACTTATTGTCTTTGCCTTGTTTTTCCTAAATTACCTTACATCTTAATTTAATTAATTAAAAAAAATATTGATTTATTCTCGTAATTGTTTCTTTATTGGTGTTATTTATGTTTATGTTATAATATTGTCATAGAATTTTTATGCAAATACTTAAACTTTTTCAAAGAGTATATAACTACTTATGAATTGACAGTTTGCCAAGAAAAGTTGTCTAAAACGAATTTTAGTATTATGTATTGGTTTACTATATATTTCGAAATGTCTAAAATAGACAAACCTGGAGGTATGAATTTTTGTATCTTCTGATCCATATTATACATAATAGTATTGGATCCTGCCGGATAAACAACTGTTTGTTCATCATGATAGGCAATACTATTAGAGACGTTTCGTCGCAAGCCGAAAATATGCTTTTGAGTACACACTGCAATCGACATCTTTAACAACTTATCTTCCCTTTCCAATACACGGCTTGTTGTTATTGTCCAATGTTACCATTAGCAACGGGAATCTTCGCTACCCACAATTCCGTTTAAAAATAGTTCCACTTGAAAAAGACTAATTCTTAAATTGTTATTTTAAAGTAAAATTATATTTTTAATTTTTATTAAATTTTCTAAAAATTAAGAATAAATCATTTCAAAATAAAGCGGATTAACTGTCAAAATGGGTGAAAAAATAGTTCCTGATAAAATTAATACTTTTAAATAAAAATAAAAAAAAATGAATAAAATAATAATTGTAATCGTTGATTTTACTACTAAAATTTTACATAGACACCTATGAAAGAAGATATTTTAAAAATTTTTTAGGAAAATCTCCGGGACTCTTCCGTCGTCCGCGTAGGAATAAAGGTGTAGTTTTCCCTCGATGCTCGAGATAGCAAAATGGAAGTGTGGCGCTTGTTCGTTACGAACTTTACGAAATTGAACTTAATCCGGATTTAAAATTATTTAGAAAAGGAATTAACTAATCCAATAATCTGCCAGATCATCGATCAAACCGGAAAAGGATTATCGATCATTAGGTGGCTGAAAGGATTCTCGCATTTAGTGTAAGTTTTCGCGCGGTGCATTTAAGGACCGTTAATAAGGACGAGTTTCACTCAGATCGCGTAATTATTTGTTCATCATTGCATGGAAGAATAAAAATATTTGATGATTGTATAATTTGCATACAAAGACTGATTAAAATAATGAATAATAGTTGCGAAATGATTCAAATTCGTTCTTTGTTTTCAGCGTTTCGAGAAATGAACGTCGGTCAAGATAAGGAGCTTAACGATCTTCTGGATTTCAGTGCGGTTAGTATTCTGAGTATTTAGCAGTCATGTGAACAAAAAAAAATAAGATAGTAAGTAACAAGAGAAAAACAACATAGTTAACCAAAGAACGAGCTGTTTGAGAAATCTAAAAGACGGTGAGAAATCGAGAGGTCAAGTTATGGTTATCATAAAATACAAATTAGTATTGTTGCATTAATTTATGTTAATGTTATTCAAAACGCCTGAGAAATTTAGTATTAATAGGAAACATTTGAAATGTTTAACAAATTAAAGTTCCTATTCGAGAAGTTTTTGACTTATTAAAGTTTGGCCAAGAAAAAAAAGAATAGAATGTTTACTCTAACAATTTATTATTATAAACTATGATAAATGAAGTTTTTAAAGTAATAAACTATAATTATTCATCCTTATATAGTAATTTTTTTTTTTAATTTATTGAATATACATAACACTTAGAATAATTCAAGATGCTCTATTTTTTTAAAACACACCATTATATCCTTCATTATACATTATTCAAAGACTTGAACAAATTTTACACTGACTAACATATTAGGGCAATTAGTTAAGATGTAAAAGTTAACAGATGAAATTCTAACGATAAGTTAACAGATTAATGTAAATTACATCAACAAACGATCAATTTACATCTGTTTATGGATATTTTACATTCGAATGACATTACATTTTTTTTAAATACTACAACTATTTATTTTCTTTTATTCTTATTAGCAGTATAAAAGTATTAAAATATCTTTTAATGAATTTATTTTTAGGTCAAAGGTTAATTCTTAGATAAATAGAATTTATTTTTTTCCTTTTGGATAAAAAGATGAAATAATAGAATTATGTGTAGTGTGAGGGGAAATCAACAGGGAGGTTGTAAGTGTCTTTTACCGTTTCGCTTTTATTGATGCCATTCTTGGCTTGTTATACAATATATTTTAGTAGTATTTAATAACTTAACCGCAACGTAAAATACCAATGTTAACAGCAATAAAATGAAATAAACAATAAAGTCAAAAAATTCATAGCCAATTGTTAAGGTTATAGGTTAATACTTGCTATGTCTGCCACACAATTTATAATAGTAGTCGTAACGGCTTGAAAGACGTCTTTTACGCTTTAATCAATCGTTTAAGGTGAAAACATTGAAGGATTTCTGTCTCGTCTCTTTCTCACTGTCTATCGTTCATCTTAAGATGTCTGAGTAAGACGTTTGCAATGTGTATAAAAAACGATTCGGCAGTTATTAACGGTCCGGTTAGGGGATGACCGCTGGTCAAGAAACCAGGGTTAGGTTATAGGTTAATGTATACTACATCTGGCCGTGAAGAAAATGTAATTTTAATCGAATTTCAGATGTTCTCACCACCCGTTCGATCTTCAAACAGTAACGTCGAAACGACGTCCTACAGACACGGTTAGTGAAAATTTTTTTATACCATTCTTGAGATTCGTAAAAGAATGTGTGTGTATATATATAAATATATAAAAAAGATAGATATTATCAATAAACTTAGAATAAAACGGAAAGAGAGGTGATAATAATATAAAGTATAAAAGTTGAGCAAAAAAAAAATGCGATAAAAGATAAGGAAATGGGAACAGAAATAAAGTGAACTTATACTCTTGTTTTATTCGAGGCGGAAAGAAGTAAAAATTGAGCCCTGTGATTAGTAGTAAGTCGAGGCGGAAAGAGTAATGATATTTACCGCAACAGTCACTTCTTAGCTGCCCAATTGATCTTACCGCCCGGTAAAACGTTGCTATGGTGACGGATATCTATCAAAAGGCGTTTCTTACGGGCGTCTAAGAGGCGATTATGCAATATTTACTGGGGCGTCTACTTTTCTATTTTTCGAGGCTTCTTACATAAGCTACGCTGCTGGCGTTTTTTCAGGAAGCGGGTAAGATATAATAGAGGTGGAGATAGGGAAGGGGGTAAATGGAAAAACGAACGTTAGTTCGTATGTTTTTTGAAAGAATTACTTTAAACGACTGGTGATCTCTTATTGCTTAGTTAAGTGTGTTTTGGGGATTTTATATATTTTTTATACTGTCTACAATCGGACTATTTGTATATTGTTACTCGTAAAAGTAGGAAGAGGAAAGTATCTCGGAGGAAATAAAATAGCCTTTTCTTCTATTTTACTTTTTCCTTTTTCTTACAAAGATTTTTTTGGGGAAAAAGCGAAAATTGATTTTTTCCTTCTTAACTTTTTTTTATTCGACTATCCCATTCTTGGCAACAGGAGTACCAAGTGCGGTTCTATTATAGATCTATCTTTAACGGATTTGTTTACTGAATGACTTTTGTACCTTGTGAAAAAATCTTTCACGTCCTCGTCTTCCAAGCTCTCAATCTCTGTGTATCTCTCTTTTTCTGCCTTTTCTTCGAACAATAAACTCTGTACCTTTAGCAAGATCAATTTGGGAAATTAATTACGCGTCTTGTCATTTCCATGTGTTATTGTAGTTATAGCATACTTTTTTATGTTATTGAATAAAGAAGAGAGTATATAGCATTAATTGCTAACCTTATCAAATAATAGTTATCAGAATAGCTTATTTTAGGACTACTCGCTCATTTTTTATTTAAAAATTACGTAGTTTTCTTAAAAGATGTTGTTGAATTTTTATATAAAAGCATTAACTACATAGTTAAGTTTTTTATTATTATTTATGAGAATAGTGAAAGGTTAACTTATTAGAATTCATTGTGTGTTTTTGCGCGCGCATTTTATGTAAATTTGTAGCTAATTACTCGTAACTAAAGAACACTACGTAGGAATATTCTTTAGGGAGGTTTGAAAAAAGAGTAGGATTGTAAATCATGTATAAATAGGTAAAAAAAAACTTTACCCATCCGTCTACTAAATCGTGTAATAACCGACCGCAACCTACGTAAGGTTATCTAGAGAAAATGTATCGTTGCGGAACATTCGTACCGCCAATTGAAAACAGACGGAGATGTGCTTCCGCGAAAAATCTGTTTTTCCTGCTCGACTCAGCTGATCTTCCAGGCGCAGGTGGAAGGCATTAGACAGCTGCATCGGTAGCTGGAAGCAGGTGGTGTGCAGCGATTCGCCAGAAACAGGTGCCTAAATTCTCGCAACATTTGCAATGGGATGACGCAGCTGTTTCTGTTGAGCAGCTGGATAACAGATGGGTCGTCAGGGTCAATAAACCCGATATGAAAAGCGTTGAAGAAATTCTTTCGATATCTTGCCTCTGTTTTGGAATTTTTAAGCTATCGTTGCCCTCAAGCGTGGTATCTATGAATGCTCAACTATGTCTTCTCTCTCGATAATAATGATTTTTTATCAATCCGTTCGTCTCTCTTAACTAGGATAACAAGGAACTCGTTAGGCACAAGATTTTTTAAATGAAGTATTAATTTATGTACTTTTGTTTTCTTAACGAAATTTAAACTCTGTTGTCTTCAAATCGGGTTTGCTTATCTTAATTAATTCTTTCCACATGTTAGAAACGGCTATTCCTTTTCAATTATGGATGAATTTGTTATATTTTATTTTACAATCTTAGCCTCGACTCCTCCGCCTCCGTAACAATCAATCAAACTTATTTGAACAATTTCTTATATCAATTATAGACACATGGCAGTATAGATTGCCGGTTAGGGAATGGATAGTCTTAAACAAAGTTTATTGAACATGAGTGGGGAAGCTAAAGTTTTTTACATGTCCATTGATGATGAACTTAAAATAGAGGTATATGTAAAATTTGCCTGATAAAACTATTTCACAGAAAGTTTTCTTTCAAAACATTTCTGCCAGCTAGCTGATAACAGGTGGATGTTATCAGCCGCCAAAGATAGCGCCTTATCGGGCTTAAGTTTGCAGTAAGCGTGACGGCGAGTCGGTAAACAACGTAAACAAAGACTCGACCGACTTATTGTTTGTCACGTTCCATCGTTTGTTCGTACAATCCTCAACTGAAAGACAATGCTTAAAGCAATGTATAAATGCCAGTAAAAGGGAGTAGAGATCGTTTTTGCGCGTTGTGGGAAGACGACAGATTGTTACTTGATTAGACACTCATTCTCTATTTTAACAATTAAACGAGCTATGTAAACGTTCAATCAATTTTTTTTTTAATTTTATTTTCTACGTCACCTTGATTGGAGATAGAAAACAATTGTTGATTCTTGTCCTTTGAACTGAAAAAATATAAAAAGTAATATGGCACTATTTCCC